TCCTCTCTGCAACAAATCTCCACTACAACTTCTTCCCTTCCTCCTCCATCTCATTCAGATATCTCAACCACTCTCTCAACCAACTACCTCCCTCTTAGAACACCAGTCCTTGTCTGTCACAGAAACAGGGGTGAGGTTGGAGCTTGGAAGACTTTGCCCTGGGAAGGCCGCTGGTCCAGATGGTGTGTGTCCAAGGCTGCTTAGAGACTGTGCTGCAGAACTGTGTCAACCTCTCCTCAGGATCTTCAACCTGAGTCTACAGCTGGGGCGGGTACCTACTCTGTGGAAAACATCCTGCATTGTGCCAGTACCAAAAAAAATGTCCTGCTGAACTCAATGACTACAGACCAGTGGCCCTCACTTCACACATCATAAAAACCCTGGAGTGGCTGGTTCTACGATTTCTGAGGTCTGAGGTCAAAGACAAGCTGGATTCCCTGCAGTTTGCATACAAAGAATACTTTGGAGTGAATGATGCTGTTCTCTACATGCTTCACTGTGCCCTGCCTCATCTGGAGGAACCTGGGGTTTATGTGAGGATCGTGTTTTTTGACTTTTCAAGTGCATTCAACACCATCCAACCTACCATACTCAAAGACAAGGTTACAGAAATGGTGTTTCCTGGATAACAGATTACCTGACAGGAAGGCCACAGTTTGTCAGGCTGGGGAACTGTGTTTCTGGGACATTAATGAGCAGTACAGGGGCTCCACAAGGGACAGTCCTGGCTCCATTCCTGCTCACACTGTATACGTCAGACTTCAAATACAGCACTGAGTCCTGCCACATCCAAAACTACTCAGACTGCTATTGTGGCATGTATCAGAAATGAACAAGAAGCTGAATACAGCGATCTGATAAAAGCCTTCAGTGACTGGAGTCACAAAAACTGCCTCCTCCTCAACACCTCAAAGACAAAGGAGATGGTCATAGACTTCCATAGATCCAAACCCCCTCTTCAGCAAGTGAACACCTGTGGAGTGGACATCGAAGTGGTGGCATCATATAAATATCTAGGTGTACATCTGGATAATAAGTTGGACTGGTCTAAGAACATAGACTTCACCTACAAAAAGGGGCAGAGCTGCCTCTTTTGCCTGAGAAGACTGAATCCCTGAAGCAGCAGCTTCAGGAGGGAAGAAAATTGTAACTTTATTTAATCCGAAATGCAGGAATTCTGGGAATTTAATGAAGGCTCTATAGAGGCCATGGAATAATGTGGGATGCTTTCAAATCCTTTTTGAGGGGGCGGAAAAAAAGTTCACTCATTAAAAAAGCAGAGAGTCAAAGGATGCTTGAATTAGATCAAGATATAAAAAAAAACTTGAAAAGCAACACATGGAACAACAAGACACAGATACATTGTGAAAACTGAATGAGCTTAAATGTGAATTAAATGCCATTCTGAATAGAAAAACTGAATTTGCTATGTTCTGTACTAGGCAGAAATATTTCAAGCAGGGGGAGTGAGCTGGTAAAGTACTGGCACAAAGAGTAAAACAAATTCAATCTGAAAACATTATTCCATCAATCTTTGATAAAGACAATAACCCTATCACAAATAAAAGAGATACAAATACCACATTTAGGGAGTTTTATCATGAGTTGTATACATCCCAGGGTAGGATAGACGAAAATAAATTAGAACATTTTTTTTCCTCAATTGAAATCCCAGTTTTGTCACAGGGTGGGAGAAATCCTTTGGAGGAGGATATTTCCATTGATGAAATCAAAATAGCAATCAGAAACCTCAAGTTAGGAAAGGCCTCTGGAAACGATGGCTTTCCGGTAGATTTTTATCAGAAATTTATAGAAGAGCTCGCCCCTAGATTACTGGTGGTATATCAAGACGCCTTTCAGAGGGGTAGACTACCTGAAAGCATGAGGACAGCAGTTATTACACTACTGCATAAAAAGGGAAGAGATCCACATCAGTGCCCCCTATATCGCTAATTAATGTGGATGAGAAAATTCTTGCTAAAATCTTAGCAACCAGCAGAGATCGCAAAAGTACCTCAATTCTTCACTTCAGTGGAAGTAAAAGTACCTGTTAAGAAAATGACTGGTAAACATGAAAGTACTGATCCACATATCTACCCAAGTAAAAGTAAAAAGTACAGGCCCTAAAATGTACTCAAAAGTATTATGAAAAGTAAAAAGTATTTCTATTTCACACTTCACTGCAAAGCTAGAAACCATTTCATCAATTTTGTATGAACATTAGATGGACCTGGATTCTAAACTGTAGTGCCACAAATCATGCTCATAGACCTAACACTGCATCAACTTTTTTTAATAATACATCAATGCAACACTGTTTATAATTAACTAAAACTTTTTTTTTTAATTCAAACAGCTTTCTTTTTTTAACATCAAAATAATTTACTGTTTTTTAATTCAAAGAGCTCTCTTTTAAACATAAAATGAAACAATTTACTGTCTTTAATTCAAAGAGCTCTCTTTTAATACACAATGAACCTTTTTTTTAACACAGGTTCTTGACCTGGGTTACACAACACACACCAGTGTTTCCCACAGGATAGGAATCTAACTGTGGCGGTGAGTTAACCCATTAAGACCTGAGCCCTGTCTGAGACTCTGAAATCCTGAGGGCAATTTCGAGAAGGACCCCCAGATCCTGAGGTTTTCAAAAAAGCTGATATCGTAGCCTCTGTAGCAGATAGAAGAAAAAAAAAATCAAAAAGTATTTGAGAGCTTGCACATGTGGCTTTCAAGATAACTATCTTTCATTTTTCCGAACCTTCATCACATTATTGAAAACCTTGAACAAACAAACTCAAATGAAATAAAGCGGCTGTATAAATAAAAGTAAAGACTCTGCACTGGAAAATAACAAACTATTCGCTTTCTGTAAAACAAGTGGCAGTCATGATAATGTGTCCATTCAAAACAAATGTAAATATAAAACAATAAAGTGTTGAAAGGGTATGCAGCTGCCCTAGTATAGTGCCAGTACAAAAGCAGCACTAAAAAACAAAAAACTAAATAAATAAATAAATACATGGCTGACAGTGCGTTCATCTCTGTGCTCATCCAAAGTTTGCACTGCTGGATGTATCTCCGACGAAGCTGCTCTCTGCCTCCATCATTGTTTACTTTCGAAGCACGTAGTAAGATCCGAGCATGAATCCGGTCACTTAATATCCTATCAGAGGCAGACAGGTATGATGATTTGATTCACCATGACTCCAGAAATAATTGAAAAACTACAGAATGTTACAAAATGACGTATCTGTGCTCTCGGCTTAAAGGTCCTTTCACAGCGTTTTTGTCGTGCGATTAATTCAGACGTCAATGTTTTTTTTCAAACCCATATCCTGTCAATGCAAGCGTTCACATCAGTGACATATTGCCGTCCTGCGATATTGCAGCATTTATTTTTTGGGCTCATGGTTGATTTTTGAGTTTTGCACACTGTGTCCACTTCTGACCAATCATTGTTGTTGCGACGTCTGATTCCCCGGTATATCCAACATGGCCGACCAGCTGATTGTTTATGTGTCAGGGAACAGAGTGCTTTTTGATGAAAGACACAAACATTACAAAGATAACGACCTTTATCTTTAACTTTCATTTGTGCAAACGTAAGCTAACAGTTGTTACCATAGTTTCATGTGCTTATCTTATCGCCTCTGATTGGCTATAAGTGCTACCCATTTGGCTTTAGCATGTGATGACATTTCCAGCTTTTCTAGCCAATCAGAGGCGAAGGAGGCGGGAAAAAATGACTTTCTCTAGGAAAAGTCTTCCCCGGGATGCGTCTTTTCCCCCCTGGAAAGTCGCAAAACCGCATCGGGCTTTATGTGTATAGTCAGGCCCATCAAAATTCACCTCTGAATATTTCGTAATTTTGCGTTCTATATTTGCGTCAGCCCCAGTGTGTGAGGACCTTAAGCTAACCTGTTCAGATACAACATACCATATGTATTTTCACTGTCTCAAACTCAATCGCGTTGCTGTCGCAGCACCATTAGATCTTGGTTGTTACCTTACGTTTATGGATTATGGTTTAATGTGCTTATCTGGTACTGGCCCCGACTCAGTACATGCTGTCATGACAGAAAGCCATCTCAACCCTTGTGTCTAATCAGAACTGAGAAACAGTCAGTCTGCTGTTGTGTCAGTCTTCTCGCTCCTACCAGGGACGCGTCTTTTTCCCCTGGAAAGTCGCAAAATCGTATCGGGCTTGATGTGTATAGTCAGGCACATCAAAATTTGCCTCTGAATATTTCGTAATTTCGTGTTCCATATTCATGTCAGCCCCAGGGTGTAAGGACCTTAAAGAGTAGAAACGCGCAGCGGCACCGGCTTGGAAGGTTGAAATGCGTAAAAAAAAGCAATCTCTTCTCAATCACGGTCCTCTTTGCTGTCCATTTTGTACTCTTTTTCTGGCTGCAGCCTGCAGCTGCTCTGACTGTTTTGATTGACTGGCGGGCAGGCAGCCATGTCATGTGCTTCTTTCAAAATTTTTGTGGTACTTGTGTGTGTAGGTGCAGAAGGATCTACACAGAAGTAGGCTTCATGACACTGGCTTGCTTGTATAATAGGAATTTATTACAAAGACAACACAAGCATCAGAACAGCACTGCAGTTGCTGGGCGAGGACTGCCAATGATGTCCAGCTCCTGATGAAGGACCAAATGCATCCCTAATGAGTTTCAATGCATCTACAACACTTGTTATGTTGTCAGAGCTATCAGGTATCAAAGTACAAAAGGCCTCTCCAGTCAAGTTTAGCGCGACGCACAGGCCTCCTTGTTTGGCCAAAAATTTAATCCAGGGCAATGTCATGCTTCAATAACGTAAGTCTGTGACTCCTCTGAGTGTTTGACAAATATTCAAAGCCTTTTATTGTCTCATTTGCAAAACCTTGCAAGGTGTAAGTAATATTATAGTTTTAACAAACACCTTGGTGGTGCAGCTTGGACACATCCTCAGTGATGAACCCAGGGTCACGGGGTGTTTCGGGTCTTGGATCATCAGACACCCTCACCTGGGCGACCCAGCCGGGGCTGATCAGACCCCGACTTGTGTCCAAGCAGCGCACAAAACCATTTATCGCCCTTCTTGATCCAAAGCCACCTAGAGGCTTTCTCAGCTGCCTCACAGATGTTCTTGGTAGCTTTCCTCTCTTGAGCCCCCCTGATTCCAAGGAGCCTGAGTGCGCGATGCAGGCTCTGTCCCGGGAATCCTCTGCATCCAACCTCAATGGGCTCACAGCGGGCCCTCCACCCATTAAGCCTGCAGTCCTCCACCAGTTCCAGGTATTTAGCCTTCTTCCTCTCATAGGCTACCTCGATCCGGTCTTCCCAGGGTATTGTCAGTTCCAGTAGCACCACCTGCTTCGAACTCTCTGATGTTAAGACCATGTCCGGCCTGAGTGTTGTGCTGGTGATGTGCTCCGGAAACTTCAATTGCCTCCCCAGGTCCACCTTCAACTGCCAGTCTCCCGCTGAGGATAAAAGACCACCTGGGACCTTTGGCTGTGACTGTGGTTTCTCCCCAGCCCTGACGAACGTGATGTTATGCCTTGCTGGAGGCTGGTGCTTGCTTTGCTGGATTCCAGCACAGATCTGATCAATCTGATCGGCTAAAAATGTTACTCCATACCAAGGAAATATTCTTATACCCCATTTCTCTCCCAAACTTATTCTCCAATGGTAGGCCTCTAAATTTTAAAATTGTGCTAAATCTCTTTTTCTCCTGGTCCCAGGTGTTTCATTTGGTTGAACTTCATTTGATTTTTTGTCCTTCTGAATGACAAGCACATCATATGGAAGTTTCAACTTTGCCATATAACAGCATCCAATCCACCCGTACGGTAGAAATATGTATGCTGAATTACCACAAATCCACCAAATATCTTTGAAATTTCCTATGGACACGTTTCCAGGCAAGGTTTGATATTTCACATCTAAAGTCCTGCTATTTTGCTTCTTTGGTGCATGAAAAGTGACTCTAAACATTCTGTTATAAACTCTTGACTCACGTCTTTCAAATTGCATCTCATAAGTATTACATTCTGATATTACCATGAACATAACAGGTCTTTCCCTCGTGCCATTTGAACAAAAACAGATTTTAGCCTTTAAAGGTGTTACTCCCATTGCATCTGGAACTGCTGTAATATCTTCATGCTGATCATACAGATTGATATATAGTAAGTCTCTCAACCAAGTGCACGCATACCAAGGACTGAATAAGTTTACCGATATTGCCATCACCTCATCTATTGGTGCTTGCTGATTATACAACAGCCATGATAATGCGAAATATTGACAATCTGAAGCTAATGGTTCTGGTACTGTCTACAAAATTGCGGGCCAAGTGCTTGTAGATGGAACTCTCAATATACATGGACATTTCAATCCACTAGCCTTTCTTCCTGAATGAGTTAATTGTTGAAACCACAAATTCCTACTTGCCCATGGATCTGCAATGTGCAACACTGAAGCATCAAACCCATATGCTTTCCATTTAGTCTCTTGCTTTTGTAATGCATGTGAATGATCAGTCGTGTCTTCTGCTATCCAACCAGTCTCCTCATGGTCACTGACCACATCAGATGTAGTCACTTTATGTGATATGGACAAGTCTATATCCTCATTTCTGACCTTTAAATGTTGCATTTCAATTCCATTAGTTAACGTATCTCTTGAGTTTTTCCTGGATTCCTGATTCACTAGATTAATTCTTTAACCGTGGTAGACATCATTTTTGGTGTCTGTGATGTTTTGATAGACTTTGTAGTTGCTGAGATTATCATCGCTGTATGATTTATCTTTGCTACTGCAGTTACGAGAGTAGTACCTAAAGTTGATATGTTTGTACTATGTATTGTTTCTGGAGTTACAGTAGTGGTGTCATTTGTTCATAGTATCCCTCGGACAAGGTTACATTTACAAATTGCTTTCTGTCCTCTTTAGATACTGCAGATACCTGAACAGGCTCCAAATCTGTTATTAAGAGGCTCACCTCCTGAGCTCTATAGCCTCCCATCCAATAGCCTTTAATTGGATCATATTTAAACTCTTTATCATGATACATACATGCATATCCCCCTTGGTCTTCTTTTATAACATCACATATGACAAGTGAACACTCAGCCATCACTTGAACCCATGCATATCATTGTACAACACATACTTTCTTTGATTATGAGGCACACTTTCAACTTCAGGTCCCATTGTCATTATTTCTTTACCTCTGCTATCTGTCCAAATTGGGGAGGTTTTCCCACTTTTCCATTCACCACATATACATGGAAGATAAACCACACTTCCTAGTTTAACCTCAATCACAGTTTTCATAGGCTTTGGAGTTGTGGGAGTCAAATAGGGTATGTTTGAAGAAGATGCTTGGTATGTTTTCTCACTCTGATGTTCATTTACTACTGTGTTCACTTCACTCTTAGTCCTCATAACTTTTTGGTCTTTTCTTTTCTGCCGATGTCCAGCTCTCCCAAACCTGAGTTTGTGATCCTGTTATATAGGGTTAGAGGGTTTAGGTCCTCCTACATCCTCTGTTTATCTTTAGGTTATATTTCTGTACCATCTGCTTTACCATCCGCTTTACACCTATCTGATCTGTGACCTGCAAACCCTCAACAGCCAGAACGTTTGGACCAGGTACCATAAAAGAGACACAATGCCTACACTCCACACTTTGGTTATCTCAGGCTATCCCTGGGAAATACCTCAAGGCATTGCATGTTGGTGCTGTACTCCAGATACCACATCGCCTCTAATTTTTGCCTTATTTCTTGAACCCCTAGCAATAGCCCTGCAAGCTTATCCCATTGTACAGGGTGTGCAAATGGGTCAGGAAGAACATAAGCTTTTAATGTATGCGGATGATGTTTTGTTAATATCCAGTAACCCTGAATTCACAGTCCCAGAAATCTGTTAAGTTGTAAATTTATTTTCAGAGATATCAGGATATACTGTTAATTGGTCGAAATCAAAAGCTTGTCCCCCAGATATCAGAAAGAACTGGAAATTCAGGTGGATGCCAGAAGGATTAGCTTATCTTGGTATCATATTAACGCCAGGTCTGGAAAAAATTGTATTTTATTTTATGTTTTCAGTGTTTATTAATTTAAATCATAATAATGGGATACTAACTCTATACAAAACAAGACATAAATTGAACATCTAACAGAAACAAATACAACTAGCACCTAGCAGGGCACCAACATGCACAAGCAGTGTCTCCCCAGCACACCACTATTCTGTCGCACTGCCCGCTATCCTCGGTGCAGTGCTCTCCACAGCAGCCCGAACCTAAATGAGTTTTGGTACTTGTGACTGCCTTTAATTGTTGTAGGTCATTTAATGTGAAAAGATGTCAGAGTTTGAAAAATGCCATGGCCACGCCCTTTGACCTCAAGGTCTATCTAACAGACTGGAAACAAAATCACATCAAAAGTGTAAATGGTTTGCTTTGGAGGAAGCCATTTGTAGGCTCTTGCAAAAAGCCCTAGTTGTGTTCGAGGGGGTGCTGTTGCCAGACCAAGCCTCATTGTGAAACGTTATAGATAGATAGATAGATGGATGGATGGATGGATGGATGGATGGATGGATGGATGGATGGATGGATAGATAGATAGATAGATAGATAGATAGATAGATAGATAGATAGATAGACTTTATTGATCCCAAACTGGGAAATTCCCAATCCCACATCAGTCTTATACTATTGTGGGTACCTGTGGCTCCTGTTTCAGCTTTCTATTCATAAATCCCTAGACGGAGATACCTTCTAAAAAGAGCTTTAAAAGTGGGCAAAAATCTCAATTTTGATAGGGCTCTCACCCACTGCCTGCAGCGTGGGCTCGGGCCCTAATAATATAAATAACAACAACAACAAAACAAAAACAAAAACAACAAAAACAGCAAAAAAACCAAAACAAGTGAACACATACATAGGTTTCGGTATGATGCAATTTATTTAACCATCATAGCAGAAAAAGGTATTTGTATTGCAGTATTTAGCTTTTAAAGTGAAATCTCTAAATGCAGTAAAAAGTGCACTGATAGAAGTATCAAGTATTTGTATAGAAGAAAAAAATACTTGTTGATTCCTTTTTTTACTCTTCTTCCAAACAGAATAGTAAAAAATAATATAAAGTTCTGGAAAAGTAGTATTAAGTACTGGAGCAACAGCAAAAAGTACTGAAAAAGCTATAAGAAGTACTGGAACAGCTGTAAAAAATTACTTGAATAGCAATATTAAGTACAGGATCAGCAGTATAAAAAACTTGTCAGTCTTGCTTTCAGGTAAAAAATGGTTTCAAGTGCTCTCTATCCCTCCTTGTGATCCTCAGCTGTAACTGTAGGTCAGTGATTCTCACATTGAGGGCCAAACACAGCTCAGTTAACAGTTACTACTCCACATTAAGAATTGACAGTATGTTTGTAATACCATTGCAGTACTCTCTAAAACACAGATATAGTACTGTGATAGAGATATACGGTCATTTTGATTTATTGTTTTTTTTCAGAGGTCATGTGAGGTCATACAGAGGTCATATTTTCTTCTGCCTCTGTCTTACCACCAGGGGGCAGCATGGAGCTGCTGCTGTATCCACTGCACATATTTGACCACACGGGTGTAGACTCCGTACACCCTCTGACTGCCGCACTCCTCCGGTCCCCCCCAGGACACCAGCCCGAAAACCATCCACCTCTGGCTGACCACATCCTCCATTATGAACGCCCCTCCGCTATCCCCCAGGCATGTGTCCCTCCCCCCCTCGAAGTAGCCGGCACAGAACATGTTGTCAGTGATGTTGTAACTTACAGAGCGTGAAGCATAGCTTGCCTCACACTCGTTCTGAGTGACCACTGGCAATTTCACGTACTGCAGGAGATCAGAGGTCGCGTCTTGGTCCACCACTGCTGCCCCAAGGTCAGAGTTCAGAGAGGGAGGGCTTCCCAGAGAGGGGGAAGAGGAGATGTTCAGGTTAGAGATCCCCCAACCGGCTACTACACCCAGAGAGTGAGGGAGGGGAGAGGGAGGGTCACCCTGAAACACAGACAGAGGTCAAACGGACAGTAAGGACACACTTTGCATCAGGACTACATCTAAACCTTCCTTAGATTTTTGACTTTCCCTATTTTTTGTTTCATCCTTGTTTATAGCTAATTCTATACGTCCTGGCTTCCTGTTCTTGTGTCATTGTATCCTTTCCTTGTAAGTACTGGCTTCCTGTCCTTGTGTCCTCTCCTGTTTAACCTACCTGTCCTTGTAAGTCTTGTTCTCTCATGTCCAATCCCTCTGTGTCCCCCTACTGTTTGGTCAAGGAGTGTCTTGCCTCATTCTACCGCCCTTAAAACTTGTCCTCAAGTTCTCTTGTCACATACCCTGTTTTTTTAAGTCTTGTCCTCTTACATCCTGTTTTAATTCAACCTGTCCTACCTGTCCTGTCCACATGTTTTGTCTTCAAATATTTTGTCATTAGTTTTATCTTTAAGCAGTGTTGTAGTTGAGTCACCAAATCTCAAGTTCGAGTTGAGTCTCAAGTCCTCAGTGCTCTAGTACGAGTTGAGTCCGAGTCGAGTCCTCTACCCCTGAGTTGAGTCCAGGTTCAGTTAAATGAACACTTAAGGGTGCTTATGACATACTTTTTCAAATAATCTTTCTCATAAAAGCAAAAAATTTGAATGGTTATCACCGTATGTGAAAAAAAAAATTTGCACAATTTCACATTAAAAATAAAATTACATGTGTTACAAAGTTACAGAGCATGCTCTTATCTATATGATGTGTCCAGAAATGTCACTACTGCAAACATTGCAAGGCCAATCCTAAAACTTCTTTTCTGCATTTACAACTTATCAGGACACAAGAAACTAGTGGAACCTAGTGGAACTTTAAGAATTTAACTTTTAGTGAATTAAATATAATGATGAATATAGCCAAGATTGAGTTCAGGATGAGGAATGCTGCTGTTTGACTCCAAATTACTGGCTGTGTAAACCTGGACTGACTGTGTTAGACAATTTTGATGTGAATGCAGCCAGAGCTAGAGTCCAAGTCCGAGTCATCAGTGCACAAGTCTGAGTCGAGTTACAAGTTCAGCGGATCGACTTGAGTCCGAGTCCTGGTCTCGAGTACTACAACACCGTCTTCAAGTATCATGTATTTATATCTCCTGTCCTCATATTTCCTGTCTCATTTCCTATTTCCTGTCTCAAAGGCTCAAAATGTTTCTCGTAAATTAAGTTTATAGTGAGATTTGTTTCAGGCCTGGACTAGCTCTTAGTTATGCTGCTTTAGGTTTGGATTGCTGGGGGTACTGGTACATTGAGCACCTTTCCTCCTACTCCATCCTCTTTCTGTCTGATTCATAAACTCTAAATCATCATGTTCCATTAGAGTTGGTCTTTTCTGAAAGTCCCTGATCCCCATCATCCTGTAGGTTCATCTGGATCTGGATCTGTCAGCTGCTTCAACTGAGCATCAGTCTCTCCTCTGTCCATCTCTCTCTTTCATCTCTCTCTTTCTCCCTCTATTAGTCGCTCCTCTGACCATCTCTCTCTTTCTCCCTCTATCAAGCTCTCTTCTGTCTATCTCTCTCTCGTTCTACCTCTATCAGTCTTTCCTCTGTCCATCTCTCTCTTTCTCCATCTCCCTCTCCCCCCTCTCCAAACCCAGTTCAGTCTCAGCAGATGACTGTCTAACATGAGTCTGGTTCTGCCTGAGGTTTCTGCCTGTTAGAGGAAGTTCGTCCTCTCCACTGTTACTTGATAAATACTGTGAAGTGTTTCACTTCTGTGGTTAAGGATGGATTGGGAGTGGGTCTGATTTTACAGGATGGAGCTCAGTCTGATCCCATCTCTACACCAGGTCTTCGTAAACAAAGTCTGGTCTAGACCAGCTTTTTTTTGTCAAGCATCTGCAGATAACACTTTGCTGTGTTTTTTAATATTACAGTATAATGTGTATGATGTCCTGTGACCTTTGTGTGAAGTGGGGGGAGGCAGACGGGGCGGATGAATGCATTAAACTGCAGCCCCTCCATCAGCTTCAGGAGGGCAATGTCATTGTTGTAGTTGTTTGGTTGGAAGTCTGGGTGGAGGATTATCTGTTGCACCAAGCAAGTGGTGGCTCTGCCCTTATTTGCAGCATCATGGAGACCAAGAAACACCTGGAACACATGGTTGGGTTAATCCTGGTTAAAATCCTTAACCTGGTTGCACTGGTTAAACTCATACTGTCTAACCCGATTATCCTTGTGAAAGTGGACAACTCAGTTGAAGTGTATCTACAGCCTCTTTAAAAAACATCATAGACACTCTTTGGGAGTTCCAGTCTAACAGAGCATGCTTAGATAAAGAGAGCTGACTGTAAGGTATATATTCTTCTTCCTCACACCTTGACGTGTTCAGGGGCCACGGAGACAACACTGGTGTCCCTTCTCTGAGACCTTAGGACATGGGCTGCTGTGAGGACCCAGGACTCAGATAGCAGGGCCCCAGAGCCAAACCAGCGGTCCTCAGGGACCCTGGACAGGTCCTTCACGCTGAGCAGGACCTGCCAGGGGAATTGACCTGGCTCAGCACTACGACCTCCAACAATTCGCTTCACCTGTGATGGGAGAGGACGAACTGGCCGACCACAAGCTGGACAGAGAAGGACAAGACAGAGGTCATGAAGAGGACGAGCATTGACATCACAGAAGGCAGAAAAAGGACACATAGAGGACACAGAAGACAGACGGACAGAGGGCAGATAGACAATGGACAAGCAGAGGAATTAAGGAGGACAGACTGAGGATATGAAGAGGAATCGCAGAGGACAGACAAGTGCAACAGAAGAAACACAGAAGACAGAGAGAAAGAGAAATCACAGAGGACAGACAGAGGTCATAAAGAGAACATGCAGAGGACTTACAGAGGACAGACAGAGGACATAAAGAAGCTAGACAGAGGACAGACGACAGAATCACAGAGGACAGACAAAAGGGAGGTCGAGAAGACAGGCAAGGGAATCACAGAGGACAGACTAAGGAATTACAGAGGATAGACATAGGAATTAAAGAGAACAGACCTAGGACATACAGAGGACGGTCACAGGAATCTGGTAGGACAGACAGAGGACATAAACAGAACAGGCAGAGGAATTACAGAAGACAGACTGAGGACACAAAGAGGACAGAAAAATTACAGAGGAAAGACTGAGGACAAAAAGAGGTTATAAAGAGCATAGACAGTGAAATTACAGAGGACAGACTGAGGACATGTAGACGAAAGACAGAGCAATCACAGAGGACAGACAGAAGTTATAGAGAGGATAGACAGGAATTACATAGGGAAGACTGAGAACATGAAGAGGACAGACAGAGGTAATAAAGAGAATAAACAGGAATTACATAGGGCATACTGAGGACATGAAGAGGACAGATGAAGGAATTACAGAGGACAGACTGAGGACATGATCAGTATATCAGAGAAACCACAGGGTACAGACAAGGGACATATAGAGGACACAGAGAACAGACAGACTGAGGTTAGACCAGAATCACAGAGGACAGACAGAAGATATCGAGGACAATCAGGGGAGTCACAGAGCACAGACAAGACTCAGCTTAAAGGTGTATTTTTTGCTGTATGTTGTTTCATGTGTACTGCAGTTTTCACTGTTTACATGTACAGTTATTCATTAGTGGTTACCTGTCTGGTTGGTCTGCAGACAGCTGGGCAGACTGGTCCTCGGACTTGAACTGATCCAATTTCCACTGGACCCACACCTAAGAGTTACTACAACACACACACACACACACACACACACACACACACACACACACACACACACACACACACACACACACACACACACACACACACACACAGCTCTGTTACACACTGTGCTGCAGTCAGTTCTCTCTCTCTTTCTGATTGGTGAATGGTGCCCTCAATTATTTTTTTATTTGTGTTTTATATTGATGGTGGGCAAACTTGATTTGTAATTTGTGACTCAAACAAACCACCTGAATAGTGGGAGTGTTTAATAAAAGCTCTCCTGCACATTCAGCTGTCACTGATTGCAGTGTGAGGGCAGCAGTAATGCAGTGCGTTTTTTATTCCCTCCGTTAAAGTTCAGCGCTGTTTTGGGTTTGCACTGTGTCGCCGCTGTACAATCTTGACAGAGCAAGATCTCTGGGCCACCTTTCTTTTGGAAGGGTTAGATGACACTATTCTAACAGAGCAACTGATGACGTAGAGGAGCTGCTGGCAGATGTGGGAATGAATGCCAAAGCCTATGCGGTGCTAATCCTGTTCCTGGATGATAAAAGTTTGCTGCTGGTGATGTGAGAGGCAGCCGATGACAGGACAGAAGCTCTAAAGATATTGAGGCTACTTTCAAGGTAAAAGAGAGTCTCTATACAGAACTGATTTTACTTTAAAAGTTAGACAGCGAGAGTGTGACTAAGTATGTGATCTGGACAAAGACCTACTACGGTTCTGAAAGGTCTGCCTGAGTCCTTCATACCATTTGTGATCCATGTCACACAACGCGTTGAGACCATATTTTTTGCAAGTTTAAAACGAAGCTACAGAGCAACAGTATGAGGACACAGCAAAGATGCGTGCTGTTGCAGCCATAGATGATAGCGTAATAAAGGTGCGCACACAGCAGCAGAGAGAGAGAGCTGCCAGTACAGGTGACCGGGGAGCTGAGAGGATTGAAGCGGTGGATGTGGTGTGCTTCAAGTGTGGCCTGAAGGGACACTTGGCCAGAGCCTGCCAGCACAAACTGTGGTGTAGTCACTGTAAGAGCAGGTGTCGATGAGAGGGGCCTGATGGTTGACTGCAGGACAACCTTGCATATTATCACAGACCTAACAAGGTTTAAGAGGTTTGATGATGAGTTCCAGGCCGAGACACACTCTGTGGAGCTGGCTGATGGCACAAGGTGCAAGGGCGTGCAGAGGCGCAAAGGTGATGTCCGTCTGATCAATAGCAGAGGGAGACATCTAAAGACAACTCTGAGGCAGGCATTGTATTTCCCATTCTACCCACAAGAGATGTTTTCTGTGAAAGCAGCCACTGCAAATGGAGAGACTGTGATCTTCATGTAGCACAGACAACTGCTTTTTCACCTTAAAGCACCCCCAAAGGAATTCAGAGTGACCTAGTCACTGTGAAAAGGAGGTGGGGAGTGAATTTCCACACCAAATTGATGCCTTTTACAACCTCCTGGAAAATAACCAAGAGGTGCTCTCCCAAAAGGCAAAGAGTCAATCTTTTATACTTCAAAGAGACAGAGTTGCTGATTAACAACAGGACCCCCAGACTGAATAAACATTCAACCTTTCACCTTGGCTGGGATAGCTCAAAGTTGACACCTCAACCTTAAGAATGTCCCAGCGATCATGAGAACTCAACTCAAGAATGCATCAAGAGCACTCATTCTTTGAACAGATTCCAGCCATAAATCTCAGTGTGGCTGGTTTTTCCTGCGACTCTCTTTAGGTTCAGAATGAAGAGAATAACTGCAAATGGTTTTCTTGAAGACTCCAAAATCAGGCAACTGGACTGTGTAGAGTTGAGAAGACGTTTTGCTTCTTATCCAAGAAGGTTTTCAGTTCTGAAAGTTTAAATGAAGTGTGTAAATGAAGATTAAATTTTTCCTTACCCACCCACTATTATTAACCTCCAGTCTTAGCTCAATTCAAACCATTCCTCGATTTATCCATTAAATGTGCTTTTATTCTCATTATTTTATCATCATTTATTGAATTCATGTTATTACCTAGCATTTGTCAATAAAGTATCCATTTAATTTTAAGTTGTCATCTGTTAGTGGTCTTTCTAGAAGTGAAGTCCCTGAAATGAGAATTCTGGCCTCAGATGTGAGATTGATTTAAATCTGTTTAAGATTGATTCAACGTTTAATTACTTAATTAAACCTTGTTTTCTTTCTTTTTCCCACCGGTAGGGGTGGGTGGTGCCCCTTTCAACAAGTGCATAAATGTCATAATTTAATCTTGTTATTCTAGGACATTTATTATAAATTCAAATGGCTACATTCAAAAAGGGGAACAATGTTCAGATCCAGGAATTACAAGACGGTACAAAATTCAGTATTCACGTACATGATATACCGTGTTATTTGCATGCGATAAATGATGATGAATGTGAGGATCAATGTAAAGAGTGTCATGATTTACAGACATGGCATGAGATATGAGGACACTGTAACTATGATAGTGAAGTGTGCACTCAGGGGAAGTGTTTTATGAAACAGAGATCCTGATGTGAGAGCTAAAATCCCCCTAGAGCTAGTTCACACAGGTTTGGCAGGACCAATCCACCCTGAGTCCCGAGATGGGTATAGATATACACTTTCACTTACTTATGATTTTTTAGGTGCAGTGTTTGTGCATTTCTTAAAGAACAAGTGACACAGAAAAGTTTCTGGCTGATACTGCCCCATATGGCAAAGTTAAACACTTTATATCTGACAATGGTACTGAATTTATGGGAAAAGGTTACCAGACCTTACTTATTAAAAATGGGATCAGGCATGCAACATCAGCACCTTACTCTACACACCAAAGTGGCACTGCTTAGGGCAGCATGCATGCTAATTGTAATTGGTTTGCCAAAACAATTGTGAAATTAAGTTGTCCAGACTGCGGGTGTGGTGAGAAACACATGCTTTAGTAAACACACAAGCAGACAACAATCAAAATGTTGACAGGGAGACTGCCAAACTTGTCTAGAATGCAACAATTTGAATCAGAATGTTTTGTTTATCAACGAGACAAGAGAAAACTGGATCCAAGATGTGAAAAGTGTGGTTTTATCGGGTACGACAAAAACAGTCCTGCATACATTGTCTATATTCCTGTCAGTTAGAAGGCACTTCACAGATTGGTGAAGTTTGTGGCTAGAACATAAGTAGATCAGCAGACACAAACTCACTTAACATCTGAGAATGATGACCTCATACAGTACAGGTCCAAAAGTCCAAACTATCATGTTAAAGCAGAACATGAACCTGAAGTGAACTACCACCAACCACAGACAGTTGAAGTCAAGTGTGAGTTTGAGTCTAAATGATAACTGTTAGAATAATGTGCATAAATGTATATAGAAGTTATCATTATTCCTCATATTCTTATGTAAGAGTTTACTACAAGTATAAACTGTTTTGACCTCTTGTTACACATATAAGAGTGTTTTCTAACTTTTCTCTCCAGTAGCTTAATTACACAGCACATGAATGTTTCTTAACTTCTCTGTGACCTCGTTTCTCTTATCAGCAGGTGTGTGTGTGGGTGACGTATCCTCCGCTGTGAATCGTGGAAATAAGAGGAGGATACGCTCTTATCAGAAGGAGCTCGTTAGATGCAACAAATGTCGCCTTGACCTTCACATATTCACAGTTGTTCATTATTATGTTTTATGAGAGTGCTTACGTTGCTGCACATATTTTTACCCCACCCTTTAGAAACATTGTGTAACCAGGGACAACCCTAAATAAAGAGAATGGGCGGAAATACCTTTCAGAGTGGTTTCAAGATGGTACCTGATGCTATCTCTGTCCATTCTCCTCGAGTATATACCATTGTCTTTCTCTTCTTTATATGTTATCAGGTAAATGTTGCAGGTTTTAGACCTAACATTTCTTTGGTCCTTCGAGCCGGATTCCAATAGACCTGACGATTCCAGCAGGTGAGGTGGACGACAGATAAGACCGTGGCCACGGCAGACTCTTTAGTATGAGTCTTAAAGACCTCTTTGAGGAACTGGACTCGATCCGCCTGCTGGGATCCGACGGTTGACGGAAATCCGAAGCCAAGGGGAAAGACAAGTGGTGAGTTGGTCTTTTATAAAAAGAAACGTGGAATGACTGAAATTCGCTTCGCGTAGAGAATTTATAAAAGACCAAAAAGGATGCCGGAGTCCTACTAGAAATAGTTTAAATTCCGAGGAAGGATGCCGGAGTCCTACTACTAGTGCTGTGTCCGAATTGCCCGCTCGCATACTACATGCTACTGCTACGTGCTACTGCTAGATCCTACTCCTACATACTAAACACGTTGGCCCAATTCGGACACAGCTTAGATGAGTTTAAATTCCGAGGAAGACGCGCGGGTCCGGTGTTGTGCCGTGGACAAAGGCCTGATTGAGAAAATTCTGCAGAGCAAAACACGTGTTAAAAGTGTGATTGTGAAAGTGTGAGAGTGATTGGAATAGAGATATATCACTAGATATATCCTATTCATACCAAAACAGTGGGATTGTAAGTAGTGACCTTATTGTGGAAGCAAAGGCAAGAATTCTCCACTCGCAAGAGTAGAAGCGAGAATTACCACATAAGGAATTTTTATCACTACCCCATTGAAAGAACCCAGCTTAATAGGACACCCTAGGTGTCACCTAAGCTGGACCAAAACACATAAAAATGGGGACGGAAGCCAGTAAGGCTAAATTAGAAGAATTAAGATGTCAAGATTGGAGAATCTTTGAGAAAAAGCCAGAAAAGTTACAATTTCTCGAATTATGGGTAATCAAATTTGGGTTTGACGGCAGCCTAAGAACAAGCCAATTAAATAAACTGCATGTCTCTATAAACAAAAAAGCTATAAGTAAAGACAACTTTAATAATAATAATAATAATAATAATAATAATAATAATAATACTGATAATAATGCAGAAAATAAAGGTAGAAAAGGCAGTTAAAAAGGCAGAAAGGTTTAATGCAGACTGCAAATTTTTAGCAAGTTAAATTCTCTGTACAGTCTCTGTTCTCTGCACAAATGATAAAATGATACATCAAATGCCAGTTAGGACCTTGACTCCTCCAGAGACACAGCAGCCAAAGAATTCCTCCCTATGCAGAAGCATGCAGCTATCAAAAGACAAAACTGTGACTAAACTGTTACAGTCTATGAAGTGCAAGTTGTACATGTAGAAGTGTCGCTGGAGAAGAAGAGGTTTTCTGACCTCAGCTGGCATCCCTGTTAAACATTTGAACCAACTGATTGGTATTATATCTTATTGGAACTTAAAGAAGTAACCATAGTAAAGTGCAGAGAACACCAAAGCTAACTAGGAATTAAAAGCCCTCCCTATAATGCTATTTAATGTAAGATTAACTCCAAATGTGACAATGAATTTCATACTATATGAGATAAATAGGACGACTATGGGATAATAGGAGAGATGATAAACCATTTGATGACTATCACAGAGAGAACAAGGAAGAAGCAGGTTCAGAGGCAGGAATTTCAATAGAGAAGGCGATAGAGGAAGTAGAAGTTTTGACAAAAGTTTATGAATCACAGGAGCTGAGAGGTGAAGAATAGTACCCTGACCAAGGTCGTGAACCACAACATCAGAGAATTGCAGAGCTTTGGTCACTAGGTGAAGAGCTGTAGAAAAAAGTATCAAGCATGACTGGAAGAGGGAGAGACAGCCAGTATCATTCGACAGAAATGAAGAGAAAGTGTGAACAGAGAAGAGACAGGGGAGGAAGAAGTGCTAAACTTGGAGGAAATAAATATATATATATTTTTATATATTTTTTTGATAGATAGATAGATTGATATACTTTATTGATCCCAAACTGGGAAATTCTCTTGTTATAGCAGCAAAAAGAAAATATAAAATTAAATATAAGAGGAAGTACAATGCAGACTAAAAATAATAAAAATACTAAGTATATACAAGAAATACAGACTAGATATGCTAAACATCCTAAGAGATAAAAGTGAGATATGAAGAACGTGGGCTATTGAAATGAGTAATAAATATGGAATGAGAAATATTACAGATGGGATGATAGATATACAGTCAATTTAAGGTGCTCGGTAATCTGATGTGATAGGAGTTTTTAAAAATGGACTATACAGCAGACAGGTGTGAGTCCCTGTCTGACATATGCGAGTTATTTAACAGTGCAATAGCTTGTGGCAGGAAAGATTTCCTGTATCTGTCCCTTCGACAGCGGAGTTGCAACAGTCTCTTGGAGAAGGACTACATTATGCAGACATAAAACCACAGATATAGTTAATGATTCATGGTTTACCTGTAACCTTTTTGTGTGACTCCAGTGCAAAAAAAAAAAAAAAAGCTCTTGGACATAAACTGCCACAGATTAGGTTTTCCAAACGAAAGATTTTTGTCTGATCAGCAAACAGAGAGAGCTTTAGAGGCAGTAATAGCGAGTCATGGGCCTTGCCATGTCTCGACAGGAGGGATGAGTGTAGTAGTTAATCAACACTTTACCCCCTATTGATTCATAAATTATTTTAAAAAAATTATTAACTATTTGATTTGTTCAGTTTGTGCTAGACATAGTGCTCAAGACAGTATAAAACCAAAAAGAGGCAAATTTCCACCAACCAATGCATTATTTGAAGCCATGCACATGGACTTCATAGAATTAAATCAGTGTGAGAGAAAGAAATATTGTTCAATGTTAATAGATCCTTTCACTAAATGGATAGAATTATTTCCTGTTACCCATCCAGATGCATTAACAGTAGCAAAAATCCTGCGTAGAGAAATAATTTCTTGATTTGGCATTCCAAAACGAATCTACAGTGAAAATGGAACTCATTTTGTAAATGAAAAAAAAAAAAAAAATAATAATAATAATAACTAGAAAATGCAATTTCTGAAGAAATTGCGAGATGGATTGCTCCAGCTGAAATTGCCGTCGCTAAGCTGCTATTGTAAATGGTTTAAGTTCAAAAAATATGTGAAAGATATGAGATTTGAAGATTCAGAAAGGTTTAAATCAGTTTAATTGAGTTGAAATTAGTTTGAAAAAATTGAATATTGAGTGAAGAATGAAATGATTTAAAACTGGAAAATTAAAATGATCATAATCTGGAAGTATAGAGGAGTTGAAGGCTTTTAAAGTTGTGTAAAGAAAATGTGAGAAAAGGGCCAATTTGAAAATTCCATAATGCATTTCTAATGAGAAAAATTGGTCGGAAAACCTGGAATATCTCAGAAAGTATGAATGATTAGGAAAATTTTGAATATAAGCTGGAATCTCCTGAAGTTTGAATGGTTTTGAATACGTTGAAGTAAGTGGAAGGAATAAAAAAAAAAAAAAAAAAAAGGTACTACTGATGACACCCACAGCAGTAAAAATAGCACAAAGAAGTAGTTGGATACATCTTTCCCATTGCAAAAAAAACCTATATGGGTTTTAGTTAGGAAAGTCTGACTTCAAAGGGGGGCGTCCTTATAGTGGGCGTTCGTCTCAATGTCAGTGAAGATTAGATGGTCTTGAATTCCTTAGGAGCTTAGGAAAATGGGGAAGTTAAGTATCTTACTTCTGCTAAACCTGAAACTGTTAATTTACCTACTGAAACATTATTTACAACTTCAGATGAACTTAAGGAAGGAAAGAGAAGTGACAACAACAGACCAGATGTGGAGATAGAATGGCTAATGAAAGTGACAGAGTATTAAAAAAAAAAAAAAATGGTGGAAGAATAATATTAATAAAGAAATGAATAAAATATAGTGGAATGCTTCGCAATCCCTCTCAATAAATAATAAAAAAAACTCATTTGAAGTGAACATGTGGTACAGATATGCAAAATATCTAGCAAAAATGAAGAATCAGTCTAACTTCTATGTCTGTACTAGGAATTCCCTAACCATAACAAACCTGTTCGTGTTTTTCTGTAGCTGTACCTGAATGACAGCAGACTGATAATAGGGCCTTAGTGACCTTAATCCTAACTGTTGTAACTTTCCAGACCAGTGTGGCAAATTTAACCTCTGCAGTTAGTCTTATTCCTTTGTTGAGCCACTCCAGAGTAAAAAGAAACTAGAAAACAGAGTCAGACCCGACTAATATAGATAGTTCCTCGTGAGGTACCAGATGAGTATAAACTAGTAAATCAAGTTGCTGCAGGCTTTGAGTCTCTCGTCTGTCCTTGGTGTACAATAAAAAAAAAAAATAGATCGAATCAGAATCAACTACATCCATTTCAACGTTCAAAAGCTAGGTAATTGGACTGAGGCTGGTTTTCAGGCCGGTCACTCGCAGTTATCTGCAACTTCCCTGATGGCTTTCCAAAACCGTATAGCCCTTGACATGCTGCTCGCAGAAAAAGGAGGTGTATGTGCCATGTTTGGAGAAACGTGTTGCACGTTCATTCCTAATAACACTGCTGCCGATGGCAGCCTCACTCGAGCCATAGAGGGCCTTAAAACGCTTAATGGCAAAATGAAAGACCACTCAGGAATAGATAACTCCTTTTAGGACGATTGGATGAATGTCTTTGGAAAATAAAGAAATCTTGTAGATTCAGTCCTAATCTCTGTTGCTGTTTTTGCAGCTAATTTGACCTTGTGTGGATGTTGCTGTATTCCCTGTATTCGTTCTCTTCTTAACCGCCTTATCACCACAACGTTGTCCCCTGTGGAGCAGCAGATGCAGGAATTGTACCCGCTGCTCCATCAGCAGGACGAGGAGGACAGACTTGATGACACTCAATGGCCTGACCTGTGCCCCAATCCTGATGATGAGTATGATTCTGACTAAAGCAACATCTTGTACCTCCGTGTGTAAATTCTTTGTAGTTATAAACATGAACTCGCAGCTGAAAATCTAGAGAAGTGGGTGAACTAGAGGGATTATGAGAATTTGAGTAAAGTAATGATAAACAGGAGGGAAATGTTAGAATAATGTGCATAAATGTATATAGAAGTTATCATTATTCCTCATATTCTTATGTAAGAGTTTACTACAAGTATAAACTGTTTTGACCTCTTGTTACACATATAAGAGTGTTTTCTAACTTTTCTCTCCAATAGCTTAATTACACAGCACATGAATGTTTCTTAACTTCTCTGTGACCTCGTTTCTCTTATCAGCAGGTGTGTGTGTGTGTGGGTGACGTATCCTCCGCTGTGAATCGTGGAAATAAGAGGAGGATACGCTCTTATCAGAAGGAGCTCGTTAGATGCAACAAATGTCGCCTTGACCTTCACCTATTCACAGTTGTTCATTATTATGTTTTATGAGAGTGCTTACGTTGCTGCACATATTTTTACCCCACCCTTTAGAAACATTGTGTAACCAGGGACAACCCTAAATAAAGAGAATGGGCGGAAATACCTTTCAGAGTGGTACCTGATGCTATCTCTGTCCATTCTCCTCGAGTATATACCATTGTCTTTCTCTTCTTTATATGTTATCAGGTAAATGTTGCAGGTTTTAGACCTAACAAAAACCCTCCAGAGGGAGGAGGCAGCCAGACAGATACACAGATTGCAGTGTGTCTAAATATGTGTCTAAGGAGGAGACTGATCAAGTCCATAGTAACATAGATTACTGCTACTGAGTGATGTGTAACATACCTGTTTCATTTACAGAAGCTGTGACATCAGATAAGTCAAAGGAGTGGGTCCAAGCAATAGATGAAGAAATGCATTCACTTAAAGAGAATAACACGTTCACCATAACTAAGTTACCTGAGGGTAAGAAAGCAGTTGGAGGTAGATGGGTGTTGCAATTAAAACTAATGTCGACGGATCTGAGAAATACAAAGCCTGTTTTGTTGCCAGAGGATGCAGTCACAAGATGTGTGTAGATTATGAGGAAACATTTTCTCCTACAGCTAATGTGGCTAGTATCAGAATTTTGATGTGGAAAGCAGCACAGAAAAATTTGATCTCGCACCAACTGGATGTAAAGACAGTCCACTTTAATGCACCCATTGGCTGTGAAATCTACATGGAAAAGCCAGAGGGCTAAAAGATAAAATCTCACACAAATGAAGAGTTGGTGTACAAGCTACAGAGATCACTGTATGGGCTGAAACAATCAGGCAGGAATTGGAACAAACTCTAACATGAGTATCTGACCCAAAATAAGTTTCAACAAAGTCAGGCTGACCACTGTGTTTACTCAAGGGGAAAAAACATGAGAAGGAGATTATGGTAATTTAGGTTGATGACTTAATCACTGCAACAAGTGATGAGGAGTTCATGAAGGTTACAAAGGACATGCTTACAACAAGGTTTCAAATGAGAGACTTGGACAAAGAAAAACATGTTCTTGGCATACATTTTGAACATAGTGAGAACTGTGTAATAATGTCACAATCAAAGTATGTTGGTAAAATCCTGGAACGGTTCAACATGCAGGATTGTAAGCCTATATCAACCACCTGTGAGCAGAAACGGAATTTCACTGATGATGCTGCACTGATGGGGGATGTTACAAAATACAGAGAGGCAGTGGGCAGTCTTATCTATTTGACTGTTTGTACAAGACCTGATTCGAGTTTTGTTGCAAGCAGACTGTCACAGCAGTTTTCTGAACCTACTGAACAACAATGGGGTACTGTCAAACATGCATTGAGGTATCTGAAGGGTTCAAGTGACAGGAAGTTGTGTTACAGAAAATGTCATAAGAACCTGGGTGTACAAGCCTACAGTGATGCAAATTGGGCTGCTGATGTCAATGATAGACAAAGTGCATCTGGGTACTGTGTAAGCCTAACTCAGGCCAGCAGCCCATAGTGGCACTGTCTGCCTGTGAGGCTGCAACCATTCAAGAGTGCCTGTACCTTGCACAGCTCTTAGCTGGTATTGGTAACCATCTGTATGCACTACCCAGGGTGTATGAGGACAATCAGGGCACAATTGCTCTAGCCAAGAATTCTGTCGGAAGACAGAGATGTAAACATGTGGATATTTTACTGCCCATTTTACTGTATTTTAATCTATTGCCCTCCTGGCCCAGCTGGTGGGTTTTTATCTGACTTCACTGAACTTTTAACTTCTATTATCAAACTGGATAAGGTTCTAATTATCGGTGATTTTAATATTAATGTTGATGATCAGTCATCTAATACTACTGCTAAGCTGTTAAATATCACTGAGTCTTTTCACTTTGTGCAGCATGTTTCTGGTCCCACACACATCAAGGGACATACACTGGACCTTGTCTTCTCACATGGATTGACTGTTGAAAAGCTTCATATAGAGGATTTTCTTGTCAGTGAGCACAGCTGTGTCCCCTTTGATATGGAAAATGTTGAGAAGCACTTATTGTGTAGTGTTCAAGGAAAGAAACGTTTTATTAATTAGCCTGTTGTTGAGAATTTTATATCCTTGTTTGATGCTGAGCCTGCTTCAAATGCTAATTATGATGATGAGGATGTGAATTCACTAGTACAGTGTTTTAATGATTTCAATAATTTAATTCCATGCGATTTTTTGCATAATAGTGTTGCCAGGAGACAGACTCAACACCCTGAGGCACTAATAATAATAATATCAGTGGAGTTCAACCATGTCACCCTCTCCTCTCACCTGACTGGATTCACACAGTTTGTGAACTGTCCTACCAGAGAAAACAAAACCCTGGATCTACTGTATGCCAACGTCAAAGAAGCTTATAGAGCTACTGCCTTACCACCACTGGACAGATCAGATCATAACTTGTTCTATCTGCAGGCAGCCTGCAACTAAAGTCAAAATCAGAAGATGGACACCTCAAACCAGTGAAGCTCTAAGGGACTGTTTTAAATCAACAGACTGGACTGTGCAGCTGGAAACAGATGTGGATAGTATGAACATTGATAGACAGGTTGACTGCTTTACTGATTATATCAACTTCTGTAGAGACACAGTTATACCCACAAAAACTGTTCGCTGTTTCCCCAACAACAAACTCTGGATCACAAGCAACATAAAAGCAATCCTTGACTAGAAAAGCACTCGGAGAGCGCAGACCTCCACCAAGCAGCTCATGTCCCTCTTTATATTGTGATTCACACCAAAACTTTTACTGTTACATGTCTTTTATTAACTTTTATTTGTACTTAAACTGGTATGTTCACTGTTCATAATGTTCCTAAAACAAGAAATGCCCTGACCCGGATTCGAACCCAGGACCTTCTGGCTGTGAGGCAACAGTGCTAACCACTACACCACTGTGCAGCCCATTGGCTTTCAGCATTGAAAATTCCAACGACACCCTAATTTTTGTGTGTTCTGGATCACAGTATCCGGAATTTTGTCTGGATCAGGATCAACCTTTGAAACCTCATAAAACTCATTGAGATCCTTTTGTGTAATTTTTGACTAAAGACTCACCATTTTTATTAAAGAGTTAAATGCAAAAATTCCAAAATTTGCCCTATCTCACAATGATAAAGAATCCTTCAAAAAATTCCTGGATCCAGAAGGCGATCCCGATCACCACCAAAATGTAATGGGATCCTCCTGGGGCTGAGATGCATCTTTGGTGAAAATTTCAGGTCAATCCTTCTGTAACTTTCTCCGTAAAGTTTATATACATTTTAACCATGTCCACAATTAAAGAAATAAATAAAAAAATAAAAATTATAAAAAAAGTTGCTAACAGACAAACAAACAAACAAACAAACAAACAAACAAACAAACCAACGCTACCAAAAACATAACCTCCTTGGTGGAGGTAACCAGAAAAAGAAAGCTTTTAAAGATGGTGACAAAGAACAACTCAAACAAGTGCTACAAGAGTTGAAGAGGTGACTGAAGATGGCAAAGCTGGAGTACAAAAAGAAGATAGAGAATAATCTACAACACAGCAACATCCATGAAGTGTGGAGAGTAATCAGTACCATCTCTGGACACAGCAATAAAAAGAAAAGACAGCCAGTTGTGGGTGATGTGGAAAGAGCTGATGAATTTAACCTGTTCTTTAACAGAATTGACAGTGCTGTCACACCCACTTCCACTGCTACTCCACCTTCCTCTCTGCAACAAATCTCCACTACAACTTCTCCCGTTTCTCCTCCATCTCGTTCAAATGTCTCAACCACTTCAACTGCCTCCCTCCTAGAACACCAGTCCTTGTCTGTCACCGAGACAGGGGTCAGGATAGAGCTTGGAAGACTTTGTCCTGGGAAGGCAGCTGATCCAGATGGTGTGTGTCCAAGGCTGCTTAGAGACTGTGCTGCAGCACTGTATCAACTTCTCCACAAGATCTTCAACCTGAGTCTACAGCTGGGTAGGGTGCCTACTCTGTGGAAAACATCCTGCATTGTGCCAGTACCAAAAACAAAATGTCCTGCTGAACTCAATGACTACAGACCAGTGGCCCTCACTTCACACATCATGAAAACATCATGATTCTACGCCTTCTGAGGTCTGAGGTCAAAGACAAACTGGATTCCCTGCAGTTTGCATGCAAAGAACACATCGGAGTGGATGATGCTGTCCTCTACATGCTTTACCGTGCCCTGTCTCATCTGGAAAAACCTGGGGTTTATGTGAGGATCATGTTCTTCAACTTTTCAAGTGCATTCAACACCATCCAACCCACCACACTCAAAGACAAGCTCACAGAGATGGGTGGGTTTCCTGGATCGCAGATTGCCTGACAGGAAGGCCACAATTCGTCAGGCTGGGGAACTGTGTTTCTGGGACATGAATGAGCAGTACAGGGGCTCCACAAAGGACAGTGCTGTCGCCATTCCTGTTCACACTGTATACATTAGACTTCAAATACAGCACTGAGTCCTGCCACATCCAGAAATAGTCAGATGACACTGCTATTGTGGCATGTATCAGAAATGGACAAGAGAGAGGTCACATGATGCACTCAGGGTGAGAGGTTCACTTTCGCCTAGCTCCTGCATCTCAGGCCAATTAGTTTTATATTTTTAACCAATTAAATCCAAGATATTTTGGTGACTTTCGTGTCTGGAGCCTAAGGAAATACAAAACCCTATTCCATCAAGGTTGGGAAATTGTGATAAATGTAAATAGAAACAGAATACAATGATTTGCAAATCCTTTTCAACCTATATTCAATTGAATACACTACAAAGACAATATATTTAATGTTCAAACTCATAAACTTCATTTTCTTTTGCAAATAACAATTAATTCAGAATTTCATGGCTGCAACATGTGCCAAAGTAGTTGGGACAGGGGCATGTTTACCACTGTGTTACATCACCTTTCCTTTTAACAACACTATCTAAACGTTTGGACACTGAGGAGACTAATTGTTGAAGCTTTGAAGGTGAAATTCTTTCCCATTCTTGCTCGATGTACAGCTTCAGTTCTTCGTTGTCCTATTTTACGCTTCATAATGCACCACACAGATTCTTAGATTAGATAGATAGATAGATAGATACTTACGCCAGGCTGCGCGGCTCACCAAAATACCAAAATGTGCTTGGGAACGCCTTGTCAGCGCGGCAGATCTGACTGACGCTGCGCTTGCGGCACGTCTCCGGCGAGGCACGAAAATAGAGCCCATAGGCTTAAGGACAACAAGGGATTATCACTGCAAACTATTCAGGGCAGCGATTGCGGAAGGGACAAAGCTCTTACTGAAGCATGCCCGCTTCCACCTCAAAGTCCTGAACCTTCGGCCTGAGGGCAGCAGGCAGAAGTGACTGTGGAGGGGGTGGTCTGAGTCTACGCTTCATAATGCACCACACAGATTCTTAGATTAGATAGATAGATAGATAGATAGATAGATAGATAGATAGATAGATAGATAGATAGATAGATAGATAGATAGATAGATAGATAGATAGATAGATAGATAGATAGATAGATAGATAGATAGATAGATAGATGGATGGATGGATGGATGGATGGATGGATGGATGGATGGATGGAGATAGATAGATAGATAGATAGATCAATCTTTATTGTCCCCGGGGGGAAATTCATTTTAACACACACTGGCATGGACACATAGGGCTCTATTTTCGTGCGCGCCGGTGAGGCAGCGGAGGGCGGTGAGCCCCGCGCAGTTGTATTTTCGTCTGGCGGAGCCCGGCGTAAGGCCAGTTTGGTATTTTCTTGGACTGAGCCGCACTGAGGCGAGCCGAGATCCGCCAAGCTGGGCGTGGTGGCGTGGCAGGGGGAGGTGTCGACAGAATCAGCAGGCGCAGTGACATTTTCGTGCTTGCCACCGGCGTGTAAAGTGCGCTGAAAGCTCGCCGATTCAAACCTGGTCATCTTTCAGCGCATGGTCCAGTAGTATTTTGGTAGACCTGCGGCGTATCGACATACGTCACTGATGCCTCACCGGCAGGTTTCCACTGTGTCAGGCACATTTCAGTGCAATAAATAATCATCATCAACTATTAATCTGAGTCAGCACATATATTTAGATCTATATAGATATATTCTGATCTATATCTGATCTGATGAGCGCGTTTGGCACGATTTGGACACACAACCTGACCGAATCAACACAGCTGAAACCGCATCAAATTAAATTAAATATCTAGTAAATAAACACACATGATGAAGTTGACAAGATATGTAATTCGTCTCCCTCCTTTTCTTTCTTCCTCTTCCTCTTATTTCTCGCACAGCTCGACCTGGACACGTCTCCGTGTCCTCTGTCCGTCTTGCTGCTGCTGCGGCTGAACAGATGATTTGTTTCAGTGCTCAGATGCGTTATCTACTTTAAGCCAACATACGGATATTATAATATTCAGTTTTGTGGGCCAAATTTATTTTATTTGCCAACATCTATGAAAGAAAGAGCCAGGCCACGGAGCGCGATGCGTCATTTACGCACAGATGGTTCCGATTTTAATGCCATTTTTGGAGTTTATGTTGTGATCTGTGCGCACAACCCACCTTTGTCACGTGAGGTTTGAATATGAGCAACTTTATGTGAGTGTCTTTATTTGTGGAAAAGGGTGTTTGTCTTACCAGTGGGTCCAACATTACACACACCAAATCCATCTGTGCTCATATGAAAGAGTGTGGAGGACACTTGTTGAGGAGCTGCCCTCTGTCGCCATCTTGTGGCATTACTGTCTTAAGACATCTCTTGATCTCTTTGACTACTTCATGAAAATAGTAATACGCCTCGCCTGTGGTGGGTTTAAAGGCAAGGAGAAGAGCTTATGTGATTGGTGAAAACAGGTCTCGGCTGTGTTAAACCCACTCCACGCCCTCTCTCCTCCTCGTCTACGACTTATGCTGCTGGGAGGAGCTGAGTTAGGGAGGGGGGATACTTACGCCAGGCTGCGCGGCTCACCAAAATACCAAAATGTGCTTGGGAACGCCTTGTCAGCGCGGCAGATCTGATTGACGCTGCGCTTGCGGCACGTCTCCGGCGAGGCACGAAAATAGAGCCCATAGACTTAAGGACAACAAGGGATTATCACTGCAAACTATTCAGGGCAGCGATTGCGGAAGGGACAAAGCTCTTACTGAAGCATGCCCGCTTCCACCTCAAAGTCCTGAACCTTCGGCCTGAGGGCAGCAGGCAGAAGTGACTGTGGAGGGGGTGGTCTGAGTCTGTGCTGGTTGTCCAGGCCATGCGTGTGATGGAGATATTGTTGAGGTGTGAGAAGTCTGTAATGGACAGGCTGATGATTTTGGATGCTGTGTGGGTGACCTTGGTGAGTTTATTTCTGTTAGTGATTGACAGCATGTTAAAGTAACAGGGGGAGCAGTATAGAAGTATGGGTTGAATGATGCTGGTGTATAACAGTAGGAGAAGTTTTGGTTTGACAGACATGGAACAGAGCTTGCGGAGGATGTGGAGTCTTTGCTGGGAACATTTATGGATATCTGTTCCTATGTCTATCCTCTGTAATTCCTTAGTCTGTCCTCTGTGATTCCCTTGCCTGTCTTCTCGACCTCCCTTTGTCTGTCCTCTGTGATTCTGTCGTCTGTCCTCTGTCTAGCTTCTTTATGTCCTCTGTCTGTCCTCTGTAAGTCCTCTGCATGTTCTCTTTATGACCTCTGTCTGTCCTCTGTGATTTCTCTTTCTCTCTGTCTTCTGTGTTTCTTCTGTTGCACTTGTCTGTCCTCTGCGATTCCTCTTCATATCCTCAGTCTGTCCTCCTTAATTCCTCTGCTTGTCCATTGTCTATCTGCCCTCTGTCCATATATATCTGTCTGATATATACTGATAACTGTTTTTGTTTCTGTCTTGTCTGTATATGTACCCACCATCACTATTTTTGTGTTTTTGTTTTGTTTTGTTTTGTTTGTATGTTATATAAGTTTAAAAAAAATAAAATATAAAAAAAAAAATAAAAATAAAAAATTGTTTAAGAACCTGAGGAACAAATATATGTTAAAGCTATGGTCTAACATTTGGAAGCTTGGTACTTATTAATAACATTGTTTATAAGTTCGGAGTGGTCCATAAGTCCATCCAATCCCCTGTCTTCCCTGCTCCACGCCGCCCCGCTCATGGTCCCGCCTCCTCCCCACTACCCCCCTCACGTACATGTGATTAGTAAGCTGCACAGCTGCTGAAGCATAATGGAGCCGGACAAGACAAACACCAAAACCAGGAGGCTGCTTCTGTTACCCTCCACATCGAAGGGAAGGAAACAAAAAAGTTTCGAGGAAAAGGCTGAAGCAAGGAAGAAATATGAGCGATACAGGTGCAAACGGAGAGTCTACATTGGAGAAATGTACGACCTGTGGAAAAAGCTGCAGAAGGATTTGGGACTGAAAACTGACGCTGAGACAGCCGAATTTCTGTTGAACAGGTGATTACTTTGTTTACCACAGTGGGAAATGTCTGCTGAATAACTCTGGTTAGTCTGTGCCTATACTGGCTAATGACTGAACGTTGTTGGTCGGAAAAGGTATGCTCTTTCAATAGATTTTAGCACAAGTTAGCCACACATCTTTAGCATTGTAAACTGAGCTGGTGAAGACACGCCGAGAAAGGTGAAGCCTCACTAACAATCGGCTCTGCTCTGACCGGCTAGCAGTGGCGACGCCAGACCCGCTTCGCCCCGCTAATATATGGTTTTGATCGCGACGGTCCAATTGAAATAGCTACCACTGTGTACCACTGCTGATATTTTCGGCTTCTTGCTCTATCAGAGGGGGCATGTTGTTAGGAGAGGACACGAGCTGGGGGGACGGGAACATGTAGGGGAGGGGTGAGTGAAGGGGGGGCAGGCTGCGTTTTTCAAATCTGTCTCAACAGCCAAACTGGTTTTCAGATCGTAGACCTAAGACAATAGGGAAAGTGCTGCTACTAACAGCCACTCAAAACATACCTTAAAGAGGTCACAATGAGTCTGCAGACTCAGAGAATAAAGGTAACTTCAAATCAATTTTGAAGACAATTGCTAACCATGACAAAGCTGTGAAAAAGAGGTTGACTTCCTTTCATAATGCAAAGTACACATGCAAAATAATCCAGAATGAGGTTCTAGATTGTCTAGCACACATGGTTCGAACTAAAATTGCAGAAGAGGTGAAAAACAGTGAAGTCTTTAACATTATGGCAGATGAAACAAAAGATGTTAAGAAGAAGGAACAGATCTCTTTCGTACTGAGGTACTACTACAAAGGAGCGATTCAGAAAAGTTTTCTCCATTTTGAATCCGCAGAGAAGCTTGATGCAGCAGAGTTTAGTGAGAAAATCATCCACATTCTGGAAAGTCACAGTCTGGAATACAAAAAAAACTGGTGGGCCAAGCATATGATGGGGCCTCTGTCATGAGTGGCAAGCATTCAGGGGTCCAGGCAATAATCAAAGAGGAATCAAAGTATGCATTTTACATCCATTGTAGTGCCCACTGTCTAAACTTAGTTCTAGTAGACGCCATCAAAGCTGTCCCGGAGGCAGAGGAGTTTGTCTATCTTCTAGAAAAACTGTATGTGTTCACATCTGGATCAGCTTCTCATCCTAAATGGCTATCAATACAAAAAGAGATGTACCAAGGTCCACCATATAAGGTCCACCTTATATATATAAAAGGCCAGAATCAGTTGGCCTTTTTGGACTGTGCTGTACACTTGGAGGCAGATGGGTGTCTCAACGTTGAAGTGTACAGGAAACCAACACACACGGATCAATATCTACTTTTTGATTCCCACCATCCTCTGCAGCACAAACTGGGTGTCATCAGAACACTCAACCACCGGGCCGAGAACATTCCCACGAAGAAAGAAGGTATGGAAAAGGAACAAAAGCACATCAAAAATGCCCTGACAACCTGTGGATACCCTAAGTGGGCCTTTGTGAAGAACAGAAAGAGAAATAACACTGAACAGGAAAGGGAGGAGAGACGCAAGAGCACTGTAATCCCTTACGTTGCAGGCCTGTCGGAAAAACTCAAGAGGATCTTTGGCAAACACCACATTCCTGTTCATTTCAAGCCTGGTAACACACTAAGGCAGAAGCTAGTCCGTCCCAAGGACAAAACACCGAGACATAAACAGAGTAATGTGGTGTACGCCGTCCAGTGCAGCGAGGAATGCTTGGACCTGGACATTGGGGAAACGAAACAACCGCTTAACAAGCGCATGGCTCAACACAGGACTCAGCTGTCCACCTTCACTTGAAGGATACGGGTCACTCTTTTGAGGACAGCGATGTACAGGTGATGGCTCGAGAAGACAGATGGTTTGAAAGATGAGTTAAAGAAGCCATCTTTACCAGGCTGGAGAAACCTTCTCTGAACAGAGGGGGTGGACTCAGACACAATCTCTCTGGCACTTACAATGCAGTTCTCAGCTCTCTCCCCAGGAAGCTCCACAAACATTCACACCTGGAACCACATGACTCAGGTGGCATGAGTCATGTGGTCACATGATAGGAGTCGCTAACGACCCTTTCAGGATAACGACTTGGGGGACACACACCGAGAGATGGGTTTCTACGACCCATTCTTTTCAACTCTAGCCAGTCGTTAACTGTCCCCCTTCTCCAGTAAGATAAATATCTGCTCCTGACACTAGCACTTTTAGAACTGAAGAAGCTTCTTGGATAAGAGGCGAAACGTCTTCTCAACTCTACACAGTCCAGTTGCCTGTTTTTAAGTCTTCAAGATCTGACCATTTTTGTGTGTTTTTTAAAATCAGCAGTTTTAACCAGAGGGGGAGCCCAGTCATAACGGTGAGGAAACGCTACCTAACTTCTGAAGTGGCTGCAAATTTTATTCACATCCTACAGAACACCTCTCCACAAATTTTACCAGCACCCTGTGATTTTATCATTGATAATTTTAACAACAATCTAAGGTCAACACTGGACTCAGTTGCTCCACTTTTAACCAAAACAATCAAGAAAAAAGCAAGACCCCCCATGGAGAAACGAGCATATCAAAGAGCTCAAACGAAAATGCAGGAGTGCTGAAAGAAGATGGAGAAAATCAAAATTAACAGTCCACCTTGAAATTTTTAAACACCACCTCAAAACCTACAATAGCACAGTCAAACAGGCAAGAACTTCCCACTACAAAAAACTAATCGCTGACAATAAACATAACCCCAGATTTTTTTTGACAACTATTGATCTTTTAACTAACAATAATTTTAACAGAACCCCTGGGTCATCCTCTGATACCCTCTGTGAGGATTTTGCAGACCACTTCAGAAGTAAAATCGACAACATCAGATCCAGTGTTTTATCTCAACAGATTTTAACTGCTCACATACCTGGATCACTGCTTTTACCTGAGGAAAGACTGGAGAGTTTTGCACTGGTTGATGTGCAGACACTTGGTTGAGTTTTCTTCCAAGTAAACCCCACAACCTGCCTCTTAGATCCAATTCCCACACGGTTTTTTAAACAGTTTTATGGATTCTTTGAGGAACAGCTTTTAAACATTGTAAATTGCTCTCTTCAGACAGGGGTTTTTCCCACCTCCTTTAAAACAGCGCTGGTGAGGCCTCTTGTGAAGAAGAGCAATCTGGACCCCAAGATTTTTAACAATTACCGACCTGTATCCAATTTACCATTTTTAAGTAAAATCTTGGAAAAACTTGTTCTTCAACAAGTAAATGTTTTTTTTTAAATACAAAGAGCATTTTAGAGAAGTGCCAATCAGGTTTTAGGACATCATCAGGAGGCACGGCATCAGCTTCCACAGCTATGCTGATGATACACAACTGTACATGGCCGTGTCTCCTGATGATAGCGGGCCAATTGATGCCCTTTTAAATTGCATTTTAGACATTAAGTCCTGGATGGCAGCCAACTTCCTGCAGCTTAACCAGGACAAAACAGAGGTTTTAGTTATTGGTCCTGAAGGCCTGAGAGAGACACTTTTACCAAAACTACAAGATTTTAAAGTATCAACATCCTGGGCGTAATTTTCGACTCTGAGTTAAGTTTTATTCCACACATCAAAAACATAGCAAAGGTAGGTTTTTACCACCTTAAAACTATAGCCAGAGTCTGCCCGTTTCTCTCTCAGGCCAGCACAGAGGTGCTGATGCATGCTTTTATCTCCTCACGTTTAGATCATTGTAACACTTCAGCTTTTACAGAATTCAGCTTCAAGAGTGCTGACAAGGGCCAGAGGGCGAGAGCATATAATGTCAGTTTTAGCACCACTGCATTGGCTCCCCGTCCGTTTCAGGATTGATTTTAAGGTTCTTTTATTAGTTTTTAGATGTATCAATGGTCTTGGCCCCTTCTATTTATCTGATCTAATTTTACCATATCAACTCTTGCGGACCCTGTGGTCCTCCGGCACAGGCCTTTTAACTTTACCCAAAGTCAAAACAAAAACACACAGGGAGGCGGCGTTCAGTTTTTATGGTCCCCGGTTGTGGAACAGCCTGCCGGAGAGCCTTAGGGCTGCAGAGACTGTTGATATTTTTAAGAAGAGGCTCAAGACTCACTTTTTTAACCAGGCTTTTTACTAATTGCCATTTTAGATTTCTCTTATTGCAAATGTTAATTTTAATCAAAGTTCTTGATGTTTATTTTATGTCATTCTATTCATTATCTCTGTTCTTAGCCTTTTTTAATTTCAATTTCCTGTTAGTTTTAAAATTTTCCCTTTTATTTATTTGTTCATTTAATATTATTAATTTCTTATTTTAGTCCATCAGGTTTTACTCTTTTCACCATTTTGATCTCTATTTTTATCTCCAGTGTTTCCTGAAGGTAGCTCTTTCCTCATGTAATGTCTCGGTGTCAGGCCATGTCTCTTTAACTTATATCGTAAATTCTCACACTGTGTGCGGTTGTGTGCGTATGTGTGGGTGAGTGAGGGTGGGTGTGTGTCTTTGTGTGTGTGTGGGTCCATGGGTGTGTGTGTGGGTCGAAGGGTTGGGTTTTTGTTTTTATTGTTGTTTTTAGCCTCTGTGAGGCACTTTGAATTGCATTTCCTCATGCACGAAAAGTGCCATATAAATAAAGCTGAATTGAAAAATTGAATTGGATCAGAATCAACCTTTGACACCTCATAAAACTCATTGAGCTCCTTTTGTGTAATTTTTTACTAAAGACTCTGGCCATTTTTATAGAATTAAATGCAAAAATTAAAAAATTTGCCCTATTTCACAATGATACAGAATCCTTCAAAAAATTCCTGGATCCAGAAGGCGATCCGGATCACCACCAAAATGTAAAATGTAATGGGATCCTCCTGGGGCACCTCTGGTGAAAATTTCAGGTTAATCCATCTGTAACTTTCTCCGTAAAGTTGCTAACAGAAAAACAAACAAACCAATGCTACCAAAAACATAACCTCCTTGGCGGAGGTAAAAATACAGACAGGGATGCAAAGACCCTCCAGTACAGTAGAACTAGTACAGTTCATTGAACCATATAAAGATGTCTTTTTCGAGCTCTACAGGCTTTGCAAAATAGCTGTTGCCATCCCAGTGAGTACTGTGTCTTGTGAGCAGAGTTTTTCTACATTAAAGCTGGTGAAAACTTACCTCAGATCCACCATGAATGATGATCGACTAAGACTCAATACTGAGTATTGAGTCTCGGAGGGCAAAAGCTTTGAATCTTGAGTCTTTTGTTGATCGATTTGCCAGAAATCACAAAAAATGCAGAATACAGTTGCTGTAACATTATATGCTAAAAAGGAAAACAGATACTATATTTGTGAATCACAAATGTGTGGTTTTGAATGGAACTCTGAAAAGTGTTCTTAAAACTCATTACATTTGATTGAATTTATGTTTCAATCTGTAAATTGCAGGCAAATGTCACTGGGCCTGATGTGATGAGAAAAGCAAAGTATTGTGTTTTAAAGTTTGTGAAAACAGTGTTATTTTATTTTTACCACCTGAATAATCTGATGGCTTGTTGGGTGTTTTTGAAGCACACATAAACTCAATTTGTATTACATAATCTTATCACACTTTATTCTGAACCTTAAAGAAGACTTGAACACTGCTTTATTAGGGAAGTGTTTATTTTTATTTGTTTAGAAATTCTTTGGCTTTTTTTTGCTTGAACTATTCTATTCATGATTTAAACTAAAGAATCCTAAAATGTGTATTTGTTTGTTTTTATTCCCTATGATTGAACGTGCCCCTTTGACAAAACCTTGGCCCCACGCTGCCTAACTGACCTAACTGATGAAGACCAAACCGGTTTTATCCCGGGGGGGGGGGGGGGCAGATACACCAACCCAAGCCCTGATTGGCAACCCAAAACTAATGAAGTCACTACAAGAATAGGTAGACCCAATAATTCTACACACACTGATTATTTGGTTTGATTTTGAGAGACTATGGCCTCGAAAACAGAGAACATTTCAGATTTCTGCAGTTGCAGGACTATTTTATAAAGGAAATACAAAGTATAAAAAACCTGAATGGTGTACTTGAGGCAATGATCAGGACATACAATGGAACCAAACTGAAAGCAGTTTCAGTACTGTACCAAAATTTAAGAGACTCAGGAGACGTCTCCACTCTGTACATTAAGGGGGACCTGTCATAAAAATGTAATTTTTGGGATTTTTTGTGTCAGATAAGGTCCATATTATGTTCGTCTTATGTTGTAAATGTGAAAACAAACCGTTACGTCGTTTGCATTCTGTAAAGGTTTAAAATAAAGGAACGAGTAAACCAGGCCAATTGAAAAAGCAGGTCAATCTGACGTTGCGTTGACATTGCTCATTATTATTCACGAGCGTGTCCTCGGTGAGCCGCGCCCACTCTCTTGTTTTCGTACTCAGTCACAGCCAGAGCGAGACCCAGCTACCACTGTATCCGCTATGGGTCTCTTCCAAACGACCGGTGTTTCCTTCGGTTCACTGCTGGGAAAATGAACTTAAAGCTGGACAGAATGAATGAGAAAACACCGCTGGAGATCTCCGGCTTCTTCCTCAACTTCCACCTTCTCTTCGGACTCGGGGTCTAAAATATATGGTTTAATACCTGCCGTTTTTAGCCTTTAGCATAAGGTGACCAGATGTCCCCGATTTCCGGGGACAGTCCCCGTATTGGATGACCTGTCCCCGGCAAAAGCTGTCCGCGAAAATGTCCCCGATTTCGGCGTTTCATGAATGAGAGCAAAAATGTTGCGTGTGGGCTCGAACAACGGTTATTACAGTAGCCGAACAGGTAAGAAGCACAAGTAAGCAGTCCTGAACAACAGTTCTTACAGGGGTTATTACAAGGGGCATGCGCTGCTACTAAATAGTACTGAGATTTTGTCTGTGATCGCACAGCCCCTGCAGCCCCTGCACCGCCGCCGCCGCACCAAATATCACCGGATATCATTACAGACATCTGGGCACCTTACTTTAGCACACATTAGCATATGCTATTAGCATTAGCATAATAACAATGGATAAACCGAAATCCAACCTCCACTGCTGAGCCAATCAGAGCACAGCAGGCGTCACAGCAGTGATCCAATCAGAGCAAAGCTCATTACCATAAATGTTAATGAGCCAAAACCAGTTGGTTTTCCTGTAAGGTTTTTAAGGCATACTAAAACAAACCATCAAATAACTTTTCAGCTAAAATTATGTTGCAAACATGATCAGAGGACATCAAGGATTATGAAAAAATGATAAAAATGGGTATGCAATTTTGGTGGCAGGTCCCTTTTAAGAAGAAGTGGGAGAATGAATTGAAGATCAACATAGAGGAGTGGCAGAATATGTGTGAAGCACAGCACACAACCACAAACTCAAGAATATGGTGGGAATTCGGTTGGAAAAACCTAACCCGTTTCTGCATTGCTCCCAAATAAAAAGTAAACAAACAGACTCCCAGCATACTTGCTGGTGTACATGTGGAGAAAGGGAAGCGAATCATACATACATTTTCTGGGGATGTCAGAAACGTTATCCATTTTGGGAAAATGTACACAACATAATTAAGGCCATCCTGGGTTATGAAATACCTAAAGAATGTAGTGCTATGTACCTTGGGAACTTGAATCATTATGTCCTGATCAAAGACAGAAATTTAATAAAAATATTACTGGTCACATGTAAAAAAGCAATAACAAGAAAATGGTATAAAGCTGAGCCACCAGCTATGAATGAGTGGTTAGAAAATCATTAGAGAAGTCCATAACATGGACAGAATGACATATAAACTTAGAATGAAATACTGCCTTTTTGACTACATGGGAGAAATGGATACAATGGGACACAGTTGAGAATACATGATATATGTTAATCATATTCTTTTCTTTTGGATCTGTATACAATACCTTCATTGATGCAAATTCCATTTTTGACACCTTCCAATCAGGTTTCAGGGAAAAACACTCTACTGAGACTGCCTTAATTAGAGTTTCAAGTGATGTCCTAATGGCAGCAGACTGGTTAATATACAGTCCTGGTAATGTTAGATCTTACTGCAGCATTTGACACGGTGGGTCATAAAGTGGGTCACTAAATAGACTCAGAGACAATTTTGGGATTACAGGTACTGTTTTGAATTGGTTTAGGTCTTATCTGACCGACAGGAGTTTTGTGGTCCATGTCAACCAGTTATTATCTGACACGACAGGGCTAGGCTGTGGGGTCCAACAGGGATCAGTCCTTGGCCCTTTTCTCTTTTTGCTTTACATGACCCCTCTTGGACAGCTTATCAGTAAGTTCAGTGATGTCTCCTATCATCTATATGCTGATGATGTTCAGCTCTACTGCTCCTTCAAGCAAATTGAGCTACATAAGTTAGACAACTGATCTGCCTGTTTGACTGCCATCCCACAATGCCTAAATGACAACTTTCTCCAACTGAACTCTGCCAAAACTGAAACTCTGATCATTGCCCCGAATAGCGCCATTCCCCTCATAAAGCAGCATTCAGGTCGGTTAGGTCTTTCTGTCAAACCTAGCTTACGAAACCTGGGTGTTGTGTTTGACAAGGACATGTCCTTGAATCACCACTGTAAACTGTTGGTGAAGAATTGCTTTTAACGTCTGCAGAACATAGCTAAACTGAGGTCCATGATTTCAAGACCTGAAATAAATATGTTGATAATTTATGCCTTTGTTTCATCTCGCATTGACTATTGTATTGCTCTTTTCATGCTTTAACAAAAAGACTGTAATTCACCTTTAAACTGTACAAAATGCAGCTGCAAGGCTTGTAACTGAATCCAAGAAAAGGGACCATATCACCCCAATTTTATATTCCCTACAACAATTACCAGTTAATTTTAGGATTCATTTTGAGATTTTAGTTCTTGCTTTTAGAGCCCTCCATGATTAAGCTCCCTCGTACATCACTGAGCTACTGAGACCCTATTCTGCCTCACATTCATTAAGGTCATCAGACCACAAATTCTTGATGGTCCCCCGCATAAAACACAAGGTGACTACTCTTTCCAGGCCAGCGACCCTCACCTTTGGAATGTACTACCATTGACCTTACGCAGCATAGAGTCCACTGAAAGTTTTGAGAGAAAACTTTAAACCTATCTTTTAAGAGAGGTTTTTAGCTGATGTTGATGTTGATGTTGTGGGTCCTCTGTGAAGTTGCCTGTATCTATGCCGTTATATGTATTGTGTTGTGATCTCTGTATTTTTATGCATTTTATCCTTGTTGTAAAGCACTTTGTGATTCTATCTATAAAAAGTACTATATAAATTAAATTTACTTACTTTCTTACTTACTGAGATTAAATATTGTGTACGGTCCTCTGTAAATGATTAGAAAATACCTTTGGATTATTGTCCAACTGACCAGATAGAAACAGATTTGATGACTAAACCCCTAACAAAATTTAAGGGCATTAAGTGTTCTAGGTTTATGTTTGTAGAAAACTAAAGTAAAAAAAGAAACCAAGGAAATGATGGTGTACTGACACTCTATGTGTGTGTGTGTGTGTGTGTGTGTGTGTGTGTGTGTGTGTGTGTTTATCTGATGGAGACAGACTCTTACTATTGCTGCCATCCTCTCTGCACACATATTCCACTGTAGATCCGAACATTGTGCTGTTGTCATGACTATGAAACATCACATCAGCCATGGCAACAGCTTTTGGTCTCCCACAATCCACCACTGTGACAGAAAGACAGCCAATCAGGCGCCAGTGTGAACATGATGACCATAATGAGATTGAAAAAAAAAAGACATAAATATATGGAGAGAAAAAAAGATGAAGGTGATGAATAACAGGCGGATGCAGATTTTGGCAGACAGAAAAACAGCTTGTGCCAAAAAATGCATCCACCCATAAAGTTATTATTTTGATTCTTTGAAATTACAAACTGTTGTCAGTCCATTTTGTGGACTTTCCTGGTGTAATATTTACACAACTATGACTTGTTATTGTCTCAATCACTAATTAATCACAGACAGAAAAACAGCAGATATACAACTCAACAATGAAACTCTTTGATTTTAGTTGCTTGTTTACCTCTCAGTGATGCTAAATGATACAGTACAACAGAACACCTTAGTAACAGTTACCCAAATTTAATCGATCATCATAAGTTTGCGTTTTCCGCATTGAAAAAAAGTCACACCAGTGAAATGTTTTGGCTGATAAAACATCTAATCTCAAGGTCTATTCAACATACATGACACAAAAGGACATAAACTTTAATTTTAGATCATTACTCATCACTGTTTAGCCCCACAAATAAGAATTGTATGGGTTTTAAACTGTACATTTCTACTATAAGTGAAAGTAGTAGAAATGAAAGACCACTCTACTATAAGTGGTGCCCATTTCTGCGACGTACATGCAATTCTTGGCCCCTCCCATCAAGTCATTCTCTCTATTCTCCTTTGGACCCTCCCACTGACTCCTTCCCTTCATTCTCCTTAAACCCTTGCTCTAACTCTTCTCCTTTCTTTTTTTGTTGACCCTTCCCCTCAAGTCCTCCTCTATATTCTCCTTTAATCCTTCCTACTGACTCCGCCCTTTCATTCTCCTTAAACCTTCCCACTAACTCCTACCCTTCATTATCTTTTGACCCCTTTGGTCTAGTCCTTCTCTTTTTTTCCATTAATCCCTCTAACTGACTCCTCCCCTTCTCTCTACATTATCTTTTGACCCCTCTCATTAAGTCCTCCTCTATTTTCTTCTCTAACTGCTCCCACTGACTCCTCCCCTTCTTTCTCCTTAAACCCTCTCACTGACTCCTTCTTTTTATACTACTGTGTAGGTGATAGTGTACCGATGTGTGTGTCTGTGTGTGTCTGTGTCTGTCTTACTGTGACAGAGGGGGGGGCTGCTGCTCCACGCTCCATCAGCCTGACAGTCCAGCTGGTAGTGATCCAGATACTCTCCATCCTGATTGAACACACATAGACACACACACCATCATACAGTTCACCACTTTAACAGTACTGCTACAGTAATTCTTTAGTACTCACAGAGTTCATACAGATGTACTGGTGTAGTATTCTGATAGTAGTCCTACGGTACTCTGCTGCTATTTTAACAACACTGCAGTTCTATGTAGTAGTAGTGTAGTTTGGAGTAGTAGTACTGTTATTTGAGTGTCAGCAGTCTACTGGGTTACAATAGTGGAAGGTGTTCAAAGTTAATGAAATAAAAGTCTGTATTTTAACAGAATAAAGTCTGGAGGGAAGACCGGTGTTTGGTGTCACATGGGTAAGTTGTCACATCTCAATTATCTTTGCCACCAGAGGGCGCACTAAAAAGTGGAATACTAGTTGTCTTCTTTTACATGGTCAGGGGTCAAGTCCTGTCTGAGAAGAGAACATTGTGAGCTGAGATGAGTGCCAACTAACCATTTCGCACAACCCAAAGTAAAAAAAATTGAAATTTGAAATAAGCTTCTTCTGGATAAAAATCCTAGCAGTGATACATGCGGACTTGGAAAGATTAAGGCATCCTGCCATACCTCAGTCATTATCCTATTTTAAACTAACTTTAAGCTAGAGCTATAATTAGCAAACATGGTAGTTTGGGGCAACATGTCAGTCATTTTGGGGTTGGATGTCCCATGTTTAAAAGGGATTAAAATCAACATAAAGGGCTCTTTTTTCATGCCTCGCCGGCGACGCGGCGCATGCGCGGCGTAAGTGAGGTCCGCCGCGCCTACAAGGCGTTCCCAAGCACAATTTGGTATTTTGGTGAGCGGTGCAGCCCGGAGTATGTATCCCCCCTCCCTAACTCAGCTCCTCCCAGCGGCGTAAGTCGTAGCGAGGGAGGAGAGAGGGCGGGGAGTGGGTTTAACACAGCCGAGACCTGTTTTCACCAATCACATCAGCTCCTCTCCTTGCCTTTAAATCCGCCACCGGCGAGGCGTATTACTATTTTCATGAAGTAGTCAAGGAGATCAAGAGATGTCTGAAGACAGTTATGCCACACGATGGCGACAAAGGGCAGCTCCTCAACAAGTGTCACTGTAAGCGCTGTATTGGGCGTCCTCCACACTCTCTCATACAGCACAGATGGATTTGGTGTGTGTAATGTTGGACCCACTGGTAAGACAAACACCCTTTTCCACAAATAAAGACACTCACATAAAGTTGCTCATATTCAAACCTCACGTGACAAAGGTGGGTTGAGCGCACAGATCACAATATAAACTCCAAAAATGGCATTAAAATCAGAACCATCTGTGCGTAAATGACGCATCGCGCTCCGTGGCCTGGCTCTTTCTTTCATAGATGTTGGCATATAAAATAAATTTGGCTCACAAAACTGAATATTATAATATCCGTATGTCGGCTTAACCCTTTGATGCGCAACATATCCACACCCCCTCTAATGCGCAACATGGGTCTAAAAAGACCCGCATTCATTTCCAATGGTATTTCATGCTGGCTGAGTTTTTCTTTGTTCTATCTTTTGAAATCAGTTTATTTTCTGATTGAATATTCCAAGTATTCTTTAAATATCTTGTTTTTGATCACCACTGATCATTATTTCTATTTTTCTTTTCATACTTTATGAAATAATATAGTTTCTATATTATTACATCAAGTTTACACACATGGGTCAAAAATGACCCATTCATCCAAGTGTGATTTAATATTGAATTACCTAACACTATAATAATAATTTGTTTCAAGTAATGAAATTAGCAGTGAGTGGGGCCAAACCATAGACTGTATATACTATGTACAACTTGGTTCCGCCTACCGCCTGTATACGGATTTGGAGCCAAAAAGCTCTCGGTATTTCCGGGACTTTTCTACATTTCTGAAACCAGAGCTGCGCAGTTGCGATGCGTGCATTCGGCCGCGCAGTTGCTGAGAGTCGCTGTGATGACGCTCGGCTCAAACAGCGTATCACCCCGGGAGAGCTACGCAATCCCTGAACGCCCATAGGCTGTATCCATAGACTGTATATACTATGGACAACTTCGTTCCGCCTACTGCCTGTATACAGATTTGAAGCCAAATAGCTCTCGATATTTCCAGGATTTTTCTTCATTTCCTGAAACCAGCGCTGCGCAGTAGCAATGCGCCCATTTGGCCGCACAGTTGAAGAGAGTCGCTGTGATGACACTCGGCTCAAACAGCATATCCCCCGGGAGAGCTACGCAATCCCTGAACGCCCATAGGCTGTATCAGGTGTCAATCATAGCAAACATGAACCCCTAATAACTTTTAAAAATGGAGCTTCACAGAAAAAAAGAGGACTTGGGCACAAACCAGTCTGACTGTAACTATATGTCAGCATCACAATCAGGAGGGATAAAAATTTATGTTCTGTGTAATACATTTTTTAAGTTTGTCCACAGCTCCATAATCTTTGCTGGCGGAGGCGGGATTTATGACCTATATTGCAGCCCATCAACAGAGGGTGCTGTTCTCGGAGTGGCTTCACCCAGCGCGGAGGCAGACTCTGTCCATTCTATATACAGTCTATGGCAGGTGTCAATCATAGAAAACATGAACCCCCTAATAACTTTTAAAAACATAGCTGTACAGAAAAAAGAGGACTTGAGCCCAAACCAGTCTTACAATAACTACATGTCAACATCACAAGCAGGGGGGAAAAAAATGTATGTTCTGTGTAATAAATTTCTAAAGTTTGTCCACAGCTCCATAAGGTTTGCTGGCGGAGGCGGGATTTATGACCTATACTGCAGCCTGTAAACAGTGGGTGCTGTTCTCGGCTTCACCCAGCAAGGAGGCAGACGCTGTCCATTCTTTATACAGTCTATGGGCCAAACACTTATGTATTTTGTATCAGCAACATGTTTATTTGTCATTTTGTCACATACACATGCGTCTGATTATAGCTAGCTGAAATAACGCTAGCTGTTTTACCTGTAACTGTGTAACTTTCCAACATGTAATGTCCTCACTCTCAAGGTAACCTAAACCTAATCAAATCAAATCTATGTACAATTATATTTCACAATTGTCATCCAATAATTTCTAAGATAATGTCAGAACAATTGAAAAACCATACTTATATGTTTTAGACGGTCTTTTCATGCTAAATGCTACAGTCACTATATGTGGGTCGTTTCTGACCCATGTATGTAAACTTGATGTAGAAATACAAAATCTGTGCTTCCTCATAACGTAAGAAAGGAAAAATAAAAATGATTATTTTTGCTCCACTAAAACAAGATCTTTACTGCATACTTGGAATAGTAAATGATAAAATTAATTTATTTCAAAGATATACCATAGAAACACTCAGCCATACATGAAATAACATTGAAAATGGATACGGGTCATTTTAGACCCATGTTGTGCATTAGAGGGGTAGTGATACAAAAACGGTTTTTATTCTAAAAGTAAAAAAAGAAAAATTAACGTAAGGATGAAGGGTCGTCAAAAACAAGTTAATTGAGGAATTCCTTGAGTACCGGCTGATGGAATTAATTTTTTGAAAAGATATATAAAATTTAAACTCAGCCGGGTCTTTTTTGACCCATGTTGTGCATCAAAGGGTTAAAGTAGATAACGCATCTGAGCGCTGAAACAAATCATCTGTTCAGCTGCTGCTGAAGCAGGAGAGAGAGAGGACACAGAGACGTGTCCAGGTCGAGCTGTGCGAGAAATAAGAGGAAGAGGAAGAAAAAAAAGGAGGGAGACGAATTACATATCTTGTTAACTTCATCATGTGTGTCTATTTACTAGATATTTAATTTAATTTAATGCGGTTTCAGCTGTGTTGATTTGGTCAGGTTGTGTGTCCAAACGCGTGCCAAACGCGCTCATCAGATCAGATATAGATCAGAATATATCGATGTAGATCTAAATTTATGTGCTGACTCAGATTATTAGTTGTTGATGATTATTTATTGCACTGAAATGTGCCTGACACTGTGGAAACCTGCCGGTGAGGCATGTGTGACGTATGTTGATACGCCGCCGGTCTACCAAAATACTACTAGACCAGCTGCGTTCTGCCTGCGCTGAAAGCTGACCAGGTTTGTATCGGCGAGCTTTCAGCGCACTTTACACACCGGTGGCGAGCACGAAAATGTCACTGCGCCCGCTGATTCTGTCGACACCTCCCCCTGCCACCCCACCACACCCAGCTTGGCGGATCTCGGCTCGCCTCCGTGCGCCTCAGTCCACGAAAATACCAAACTGGCTATACGCCGGGCTGCGCCTGACAAAAACACAACTGCGCGGGGCTTGCCGCCCTCCGCCGCCTCACGGGCGTACACGAAAATAGAGCCTTAAGAGTCTGCCTATCAGCAGTTGTCATAATAAAATTTTGACTTTATTTTTACAGAGAAGAGTGGTTTAAAGGAGAGGAAAAAGCAAGAATACATGGTCAGGAATTACAAAAGAAAAAACAGAACGTGGCAGTGCAGTGCCTGACGCGATGCTGAGGGCAGTCAGGCACGTGATCCTAGCTAATAAATCAATCTGGAGCACAATAAAGGACTTTAATGTCAACTACCATACCTTGGCTTGGTGCTGCAAAAACGTTTACCCCAGCCGAAATAGAGTCAGATAGCTCTCCAAACTCCAGAACATGTTGCATAATATTTTATGTTTATGTTTTATGTTTTATGCTCTATGGCTATGTTCAGTGACTTTTTCTAGCTAAATGAAAAACAATTTCTGTGCCTGACTTTGATGTTCACTTTCATGTGAAAAAATGTGAACAATAATAATTTTGTCCTTGTTTAATAAGCTTGACATCTTACCCCATGTAGCGAGACCACGTACCCCATGGTGGGGCCACATGTCACATGTTCACACTCTCTATTTGATTGCTTATAACTGCACTGACACAAGATATGAAAATGACATGATTACGAAAAATATACCTGAGACTTTGGTCTTTCATATGGTAAACATTTTGTTTATATATGATGTATTGATTCCAAGAAATATACGAGTGTAAAAAGTGTGACAACAAGCTCTCCCCTTCTTCCTGCACCTTCAGCAGCTTGTAGCCCTCTTCACAAGTGAACAGCACATGGTCTTTGAAGGAATATTCTGATTGGACAGGATTCATTAGAGTATGGGGTGGGACTTCAGGGATGGCACACTGACTTCCTGTCAATACAAAATAAAAGCATGAAGGAAAAAGACAGTATAAGTACATGGATAACAGAACAGCTTAATAAAGTTAGGTCTTAACGTGAAGAGCTCTCCCTGCTGTCTGTCAGCAGTACAGTTCATTAACCCCACCTCCTGCATGGGAACAGATAGGACATGAGCCAGACTCCACCATCTTCCTGCCCATCCACACACAGTGTATATTTTACCTTGTCATGCAACAAGGGAAGAAATGATGTGAAAGTTGCAATCATCCCCTACACTGATCACATGAATGTCTTCACATATACAAGACCTCTCTCAATTTCAGGGATCAAATTAGAAGAAAGGCAGTCCAAGGAAAGGAGGAGCTTCAGTGTATTGTATGGACCATGATTGGGGATGTGAGTGGCCACACCATTCTCGGAAATAGCAGCACACATAGTTATATTGCCCCCGCACATGGCCAATAATGTTAGGGTCACGTCTTTGGCCTTTGGCCAGGTGCCTCCATGGTCAGAAATTGTACTGGTCCTGGTCAAGCTCTATAAATAATTATTGGGCAGCATTCACAATCATGGACAACACCTGTAAGGTAACTAAACACACTGTTTGATTGTTCATCTGAGATGTGTGAAACTCCCCCCTCATTAGTCATGCTCCAGTTTTAGCTGACTGTCAATTAAAGTAATCAATTTATCCAGTGTTCAAAAAGTTTCATGTTTGGTATTTGTGGTTTTGCACTTTTTGCCTACTTTTGACAATTGAACAGACTATTGTGCATGTGATGACATACAATGTGTAATGTAACACAATAGCGAGCGACTAAGTTAAAACTTTTTATTTTGAAGTGGAGATGGAAGCACATGTTCACACATGCTGGAGAAACCGCCATCCATCCTTCTTCTGTTTCATTCTTATGGCATTGCCAGTGAGTATATAATAGTTGACTGTAGTAATAGTAAACTGTATAGTAACCCCGAGATCACACACTGGCTCTTTGAAGGAGACACAAACACAAGCCGGTAACACTCATGTCAACAGTCGCGGATAACAAACGTCATCAGAGCGACGCGTTGCCATAGGAACTTATCGCCGCGACCAGTGGGAGCTGCAGCAGATTCGGCACAGTGAAGTCCCTTTTTTTTTGTTTTGTTTTTCTTTGTTTACCAATATAACTCGCTTTTTTGCTTTTGAAATTGACTTTAAAAGAAAGCAGCTTGGGCACGGCTGGTGCACAGCATAGTCCTTTTTGATTTCCCTTTTTTTTGTGATGTCGTTTCTTGTTTTTTCCACTTTTTTATCTCAAGCACTGCAAGACCTTATTTTTTGTTCGTGCACCCACACACACACACACGCACACACACACACACACACACACACACAAGTATATGTATACACTACTACCACTTCATACCCTATTCCCCCCTTCGGTCTTTCTTCTTCTTCTTCTTCTCTCTCTCTTTCTCTCTCTCCCTACCTCTCTCTCTCTAGCTCTCTTTCTCGCTCTAAATTATGTCGACTATTAAGTTCATAAGTTGGAACATATGTGGAATTGGGAGTCAGGCCAAACAGTTGAAAGTTATTAATCATATCCTCAAAATACAAACCGATACATGCTTATTGCAAGACACTCACCTAAGTTCTATAAGAAGTACTGTCCTGGAATCTACACATTTTCCACACGTCTTTACTGCAAATTATAATTCAAGGCAGAGAGGAGTTGCAATTATGATTAATAATAAAATTAAATTCAACCATAATACTACAATCTCGGATCCGGAAGGGCGATATATTATTATTAACATATCTATAGATAATAAACTATTTACAATAGCTAGTATTTATGGTCCTAATAATGATGACCCTACATTTTTCCATAACCTTTTCTCCATTCTTAACAATCTACCCAGCTCAGATATAATTATAGGTGGGGATTTCAACACAACATTGGACCCAGCAATGGATAAATCAAACACAACAGGGAAGACCAGAATACCTCAATCCACTACAGTCTTGAAAGCATACATGGAGGATTGTGGACTTGGCGACAGCTGGAGGCTAAATCACCCCACTAACAGGGAATACACTCATTTTTCAAAAGTTCATTGTACATACTCCAGAATGGATTTCTTTCTCACTAGTAACTCTTTACATTCTGATATTTCTGAAACAAAAATTCACTCAAACACAATCAGTGACCACTCATTGGTCTCTGTCAAACTGCATACCAAAACAATCCTCAGTACTTCAACTAGATGGAGATTCAACACGTCACTGCTGGAGGACCAAGAATTCAACAGTTATTTTAAGAGAGAGTGGGCATTCTTCATGGATATGAATGACTCCCCAGACACCCCTGCTACTTTACTCTGGCAAACTGGGAAGGCTGTCTTAAGAGGCAAAATAATTTCATATTCATCATACAAAAAACGGAAAGATACAGAACTGCAATCTGAACTGGAGGAAAAAATTAAAGTACTTGAAAACCAGCACGCAAGTAATCCTAGCAACCATATATATGGGGAATTACAGAAATACAAAATGGAGCTGAGCGATCTTATAAACAAAAAAACTAAATTTCTTATAGAAAGACTCAGACTCAACACATCTCACCACAGCAACAAGTCAACAGCATATCTGGCTAATCTGGTTAAACAAAATAAAGAAAAAACAACCATAACTGTAATTAAGGATTCAGCAGGGACATCATACCACAACCCAAAAGATATCAAAAATATATTTAAGAATTACTATGAAGACCTGTATACATTATCTCATAACCCAGATACTCGAGAGATAAATACATTTTTGAACAATATCAGTTTACCTCAATTAACATCAGAACAAACTAATTCCCTAGAACAATCACTAACCCCACATGAAATTCAAGAGGCCTTAAATGAAATGCAAAACAATAAAGCACCCGGCCCAGATGGCTATCCTGCTGAATATTTCTGGCCCACCATCTCCCCCCTCTTTTTCAGAATGATTAATGAATTTCATACAACCAATAGAATCCCTCCTTCTATGAATACTGCTTTAATCACTTTGCTTTTAAAGCCCGATAAAGACCCCACACATCTATCCAGTTATCGTCCTCTTTCTCTGATCAATACAGATATTAAAATCATAAGTAAAGTATTGACAAATAGGATTGAAAAAGTAATCTCATCTATTATTCACCCGGATCAAACTGGCTTCATTAAAGGAAGGCAATCATCCCATAACACCCGGAAATTATTTAATTTAATGCAACTCTCAAACAATAAAAAATCTGAAACGATAATCCTCTCATTAGATGCACAGAAGGCTTTTGACAGAGTAAACTGGCAATTTTTATTTACAACATTACAAAAATTTGGTTTTGGGGAGTCATTCACTAACTGGGTCAGAACTCTATACACCTCACCAACAGCCGCTATCATAACTAATGGGTTAATCTCACAACAATTCACGCTTCACAATGGTACCAGACAAGGATGTCCACTCTCTCCCTCACTCTTTGCAATTTTCTTAGAACCTCTTGCAGCTAGAATACGACAAGATAATAACATCAAAGGTATTACATCATTATCCACAGAACACAAATTAATCCTCTATGCAGATGACGTGTTGATTCTCCTTCAAAAACCCCATTCATCATTACCAGAATGTCTCTCCGTCATTAAATCATTTGCATCTCTCTCCAACTACTCGATCAACTTGACAAAATCCACTGTTTTACCCTTATGTATGGACCAGAGGGATGTGGCAGCCCTCACCTCACAATTTCACCTCCCTGTAGGAAACATCAGATACTTAGGAATTCATATATCCTCCAAGCTGTCAGAGCTGTTCAATTTAAACTCCACACCATTACTTAAAATAATACAAAACAACCTCAAACGCTGGACAAACCTACCCATCTCACTTTTGGAAAGAATCTCAATAACAAAAATGTCAGTCCTCCCCCAGATTAATTACTTATTCACGATGATTCCCTCCCTTCCAAACCCACCCTGGCTCAGTTCTCTTAACACATCAATCTCCCAGTTCTATTGGAAAAACAAAACACCCCGTATCAAATTATCAACTCTACAAAAACCCAAATCTCTAGGAGGACTGGAACCACCAAACTTCGAACTATATCACCTTTCAAGTCAGTTAAAACATTTACAACAATGGATCACACCTTCAGACCTTGACGCACACTGGCTAGAAACTGAACAAGCACTATGTAATGATATAAATCTCTCAGATTTGCCATTTATCAGTCAGACGATTAAACATAATAAATGCTTCCAAAATATTTCCATAGCCTCAGCCCTGACAGCTTGGTGGAAAACCATTCACATCAAAGGGTCCACGGTTGCACCATCCACTCGTTCACCGATTTGGAACAACCCAGATTTCACAATAAATAGGAAACCACTGAATTTCAGTTCATGGAAAGATAAAGGGATAACACATCTTCACCACATAATTAAGGAATCAAAAGTCATCAATTTTCAACAATTAATTAATATATTTGGCATTGGTGATAATCAATATCTCCACTATTTACAGCTTAAGTCCACCATGCACTCAAAACTTACACATACTTTCAACACCCAGGACCAGTCCACCATTATAGACGACTTTTTGAAAATCTCTGGTTGTAATAAACTTTTGTCCAAAATATACATATTTCTAAATAATTCTGACACCTCCATCTCACTCCCAGCCTCAAAATGGGAACAGGACCTCTCCATTACTCCTGATGCAGACTTCTGGCCACAAATTTGCAAAAATAACTTCAACTACTGTAAAATCCCAAATTTACAACTAATTCAATTTAAGGTTAATCACAGGACACATTACACGGGTGAGAGGTTAAACAAAATGGGTTTCATCACATCAAATAAATGCACTCAATGTACACAGAACACCATAGACAATTATTTTCATGCCTTCTGGCACTGTACATTGGTTCAGCAATTTTGGGTCCAGGTCACAGAGCATCTATCACACATACTAGGTTGCCACATCCCTCTGTCCCCCAAACTTTGCCTTCTAGGTGACATGTCAGTTTTACAACTTAATAAACACACTAAAACTACATTGTACACAGCTCTAGCTGTCGCCAAGAAAACCATCCTTCTAAACTGGAAAGCAAGAGATCAATTAAACATCACCCACTGGAAGAACTTACTCGTAGATCAAATCTCAATAGAAAAAATGTCAGCATCACTTAGTCATAACACACCTTGCTTTAATAAAACCTGGTCTACATTTATTAATAAACTGACTTTCAACGATCGCCGGACCCCCCCAAACCACAGCATCCATAAAATCTGGCCCCATCTTACTCACATCCACATAATCAGCACAAACACATCAACACATCTGCATCTGCCCCCATGCATGACATCTGACATCCTGCCGGACCCGCTCTCCACTTGAGCTTACAGCTTTTACGCTGGTCGGTCAGGGGTCTCCTTGATTTAGAAGGGGGTTTGGAGCAATGGGGGGGGGGGGGGGACGACCGAAGGGAAAATGAAACAAAAGCTTCATACACACACGTGCACACATTCACATGCATACACACACTACTTTAAGATACTGTTAACTGTTTTTGTTTCTGTCTTGTCTGTATATGTACCCACCATCACTATTTTTGTGTTTTTGTTTTGTTTTGTTTTGTTTGTATGTTATATAAGTTTATAAAAAAAAAAAAAAAAAAAAAAAAAAATTGTTTAAGAACCTGAGGAACAAATATATGTTAAAGCTATGGTCTAACATTTGGAAGCTTGGTACTTATTAATAACATTGTTTATAAGTTCGAAGTGGTCCGTAAGTCCATCCAATCCCCTGTCTCCCCTGCTCTGCACCATCCTGCCCATGGTCCCACCTCCTCCCCACAACCCCTCTCACGTACATGTGATTAGCTAGCTGCACAGCTGCTTAAGCGTAATGGAGCCAGACAAGACAAACACCAAAACCAGGAGGCTGCTTCTGTTACCCTCCACATCGAAGGGAAGGAAATGTAAAAGTTTCGAGGAAAAGGCTGAAGTAAGGAAGAAATTTGAGAGATACACATGCCAACGGAGAGTCTACATTGGAAAAACGTACGACCGGTGGAAAAAGCTGCAGAAGGTTTTTGGTCTGGAAACTGACGCTGAGACAGCCGAATTTCTGTTGAATAGGTAGCTGTTGAAGACACGCTGAGAAAGGTAAAGCCTCACTAACAATCGGCTCTGCTCTGACCAGCTAGCAGTGGCGACACCAGACCCGCTTCGCCCCACTAACATATGGTTTTGATGATACTTGAGCCATGGCTCCACGCTCCTCTCCATCCGGCTGTGCCTGCTGCGCCTGTCTGGCAGAAAAGATCCAGGAGCTGGAGAGAAGGATCTCCACCTTCTACCAGATCCAGGAAGCCGAGAAAATCATGGACACCATCATCTTCAGAACACCACATCCCAACTCCACCGGCTCATCGGATCCAGACCCCGCCGCTCCCAACACCTCTCCTCCAGCTGCTGCGACCACCTCTCCTCCGCCTGCTCATCCATCCCTCTCCCCTGACGTCTCCTCGACAAGGCTGGGAGCAAAACCCAAGGCTAAACCAGAGTCTCCGGCTAGTTCCACTCCATCCCTGCAGGAGCACTGGTCCCACATCACCGCCTGCACCGGGGAAACAAGGCTCCCACCTCAGGCTCCCCTCTTCCACCTCCACCTGGAGAACAGGTTCGACACCCTGGACCTCCATGACTTCCCCCCGCTGCCCGCAGGATCCCAGCCAATGTCCACCCGGCTGTCTCACGGGTCCTCCACCTCTCCGCCGTCCCCTTCCCGTCCGCCCCCCGTGCCCGACCATCTGCACGCCGGGTCTCTCCGGCGGCACTCGATGCCGTGCTTCACACCTGCACCGCGGCTGGCCGGTGTCCCTCCCGTCTTGTCTCCGATGTCCTCCTCGGCGAGTTCCCCCCCTCCTCCGACATATTCCTCTCCGGTCACGCAGTCTCCACATCCACTTTTCCCTCCGACGACTTTAATTGTGGGTGACTCCATCGTGAGAAACATCCGCTTTTTTAACGCTGTCACGCGGTGTTTCCCTGGTGCGAGGGTCCTTGACATTTTAACACTCCTCCCCACTCTGTTAAAATCTCTCCCAACTTCCATCCAGAGAATCATAATCCATGTCGGTACAAATGACACGTCCCTCCACCAGACCGAGCTCACGAAGGACCATTTTACCCAACTTTTTAACTTTCTGAAGAACTGTGAACTGTCTGTTTTTATCAGCGGTCCCATTTCCACTTCTGGTCGTGGGTGCGGGGGCTTCAGTAGAGTGCTCAGCCTGCACACCTGGCTCCAATCTGCCTGCCAAGCTCATAGCTTTGCCTTCGTGGACAATTTTAATCTTTTTTGGAACCGTTCGTCCCTTTTTAAACTGGATGGTATCCACCCGAACACCACAGGTAGCCGCATATTAGCGGCTAACCTGCAGCACACTGTACACCAGGGGTGTCAAAGTCAAATGGACGAAGGGCCAAATAAAAAATTTAGCTACAAGCTGAGGGCCGGACTGATCGAATGTTCATTGAAAATTTTTTAAATGACGCATATAGTCTAGTTAAACTAATTGAACCTACTGAAAACCTAACAAATATATTCCAATATGATCAGATAAATAAAGCAATATTTTCTTATGGCTCTGTCAGTAATCTTTAATTTTCAACAGACACAAAAGACAAATTTCCTTTATATAAAAATCCCCATAACATGAACATTAAATGAAAGAAACCCGTATTATTCAAGGCACCATCAGTAGCCTATATTTTCTATTTTAGCAAAAGTGGGCTAAATTTACTTAAAAGAAAAAAAAAATAATAGCAATTTTCGATCATCCACTCAACTGAAATATTTTTAAAATATAATTGGATTGAAATACAATAAAATAAAGTGCAAAAATCCGCGTGTTTCGTTTCATAATGTCGTCTCAGATTATACTCTTTCAGTACCGCCACACTTTCTCCACACAGAAGACACACAGGTTTTCCAGCTACCTCCGTGAACATATACTCCGACTCCCACCTTGTTTGAAACCCCCGGTTCTCAGTGTCCACCTTCCGTTTTGCCATTTTTGATGGGTATCTGAAAGTTAATTTTACTGTTATGCTGACGACTGCTGTGCTAATAAATATTGAAATGAAGCAGCCTACTGCTCGGTGCGTCACCGTTGCATTGTGGGAAATGTAGTATTGGTGCGTGTAAAAGATCTGCGGGCTGCCGGCTTGCTGCGGTCTGCGGGCCGGTTCTAATAATAAATCAAGATCATCCCAGGGGCCGTAAAAAACCTTCTCGCGGGCCACATCCGGCCCGCGGGCCTTGACTCTGACATATGTGCTGTACACTGTTCACCATGTGACTGACTATTTACTTCCCCCCCACACACACCCCCCTCTCCCTCTGTGGTGCACCCACTGTTGACAGGTCCTCCCCAGAGCTCTCCCTGCTGGCAAATTCTATCACCGACTCCCTCTGCCACAGGTCTTTCCGTCATCTTTTCCCCTCTCCCAAATAATCACAGTAGCATCCAACTCCTCCCTATTCCTGTCCATATCACCAACAGACACCACTCTGATAGATACACCACCAGGACTGTCAATCACATGTTGGCTCCCATCTTCACCAAACATGACAATAACTGTGTCAGCTTCGGACTCCTCAACACCCGCTCACTCAACAACAAGGGACACATCATCCATGATCTCTTCACTGACCGCAAGCTGGACTTCCTCTGCATCACTGAAACATGGCAACAACCAAATGACTTCTCATGACTCAACGACTCCACCCCCCCGGACTTCACCTACCTCTCCCACCCCCGCAGCCACGGCCGTGGTGGAGGTATCGCCGTCATCCACCACAAGAAGTGGAAGGTTCTACCGCTGTCCCTGCCTCTCTTCTCCTCATTCGAACTTCTGGCACTTACACTCCCTGGACCCACTCCCACCAACTACCGCCCCCCAAGCCCCACACCGACTTCTTAAATGACTTCTCTGTTCTACTCACCCATCTATGCACACTCTCACCAAACACAACAATACTGGGGGACTTCAATATCCACATTGACAACACCAACCTGCCCCTCACCATAGACTTCTCATCATGCCTGGACAGTTTTGGACTCCATCAATTCATCAACTTCCCGACACACACTAAAGGACACACTCTGGATGGATCTACTCTGCTGCTCTGGCCTCATCCCATCCAACTGCACAGCCGATGATCTCCATGTAAGTGACCACCTCCTCATCTCCTTCAGTATTCCTCTCTGCCTCTCTAGAATTAACTCACCACACCTCATTTCATTCCGCAGTCTTAAGAACATAAACATTGACACTCTGCGCTCTAACATCTCCAAATATTTTGATCGCGGACTGTTCCGCTACCCCTGATGAAATAACATCCCATTACAACACCTGTTAAAATAACATCCTCAACTCCCTCACTCCAGTCAAAACACGCTCTGTTTCCTTGTCCACAATTGCTCCCTGGTACACCCCCCATCTCCGCTCCATGAAAACCAAAGGCCGCCAACTGGAAAGACTCTACAAGAAAACTGGACTCTCCATTCACAAAGAAATGTACACTAACCACATCCGCCACTACAAGGACTCAATTTCTCAAGGCAAGACAGATCACTACTCCGCCCAGATCATCTCCAACAAAGGAAACACCTGGGGCCTTATGTATCAACGCTTGCGGCGCAAGAAAACCTTGCGTACGCCAAAATCGGCGCACACGTCCAGATTTATCATCGCGAAACGAGCGTCGGTTCCAGCGCTAATCAACGCAAAGTCTGGAGGTGGTGTAGAAATTGGCGTTGAGCTGATACTTGCGTTGACTGTGATTCGCACTTTGGCGACGCTGTGTGGCGGTGTTTGGTGACTCACTATGTGACAAGCGTGCACCACATCCCCGTGGCCGAGCAGCACGTCGCCCCACATGACGAACCAGCAGCAGACGGAGGGATGCGAGCTGATCCCTGCCGGGCCGCCGTCCTCGCGCGGGAGAATCTCATCGCCACAGTGTGAACGGGTAAGAAGTGAATACACAGTTCAATGAGCCAAATGAATTTATTTTCTCCACCAGACGCTCGAGGACATTTACGAGCCGGTCCAGCCGCTCGTTGATCCCCGCGATCCCCCTGATGATTTCTTCCTGCGATTGCAGGACCCCCTCCGCGAGGACCCTTCCACTGCGTCCGGGTGGTCCAGCGGAAGCGCCGCGGCTGGTGGACGCTCCACCGCTTGTCGGCGCGCTGGTGCTGATGCTGGTGCTGGTGCTGGGGCCGGAGGCCGGGGTGGCCCGAATGCCGCTGGTCCTGGCCGACGACTCCGAGCCGGTGGACGGGCTGCCGCGGGCCGGGGTTCCGCAACCCGGCGACACGGCCAACAAATTGATTTCTGTGACACAATAAAAATATTTGTTCATTTCAATTCCTGCCTCTGTGTATCTGTTGCGTTTACATCTCTCTCCACGGTATCATAGGTAATGTAATCCAGTATTTAGAGGTCAGTTATGCACATTACAGTTGTTTATTGCATAAAAAGTTATCGAAAAATGAAGTTAAGGGCGAAGTATAAATCACGTCTAAAAATAGACTGAATCCCGACGGTGAAATGAAGTATAAACTTAGACTAGACGTCTAATATACGTCTTTTGCTCAGTGGGATGACAAAGCATGTGGACATTTGTGTGACACGCCACTTACCCTATAATAATAATCGCCACCACCCGCTGCTCAAACGGTGTGAGGGTCTCCTCCCCCGGACCCCCACCTGTCTGGCCAGTACTCCTCCAGTGGGCAGCTGTACGCCGCTTGACCTCCACCTTGAGGTCTGACCACTTTTTTTTAATCTTCGCGGGGGTGCGTGTCTCGGAACCCACCGCATTCACCCTGTCGCAAACTTTCTCCCACTCCAAGCATTTTCGTTTTGCACTGACGCCACTGGACAGGCTGCCAAATAAAACACGCTGTCGCTCCTCCACCTCCGCCACCAGCACCTCCACCTCGCACGCCGTAAATTTAGTTTTTCTTGTCATTTTATCTGCGTGCGAGGACAGGGAGACCCCATTTAAATAAATCTGCATATTTATAGGAGGGCGTAACGGGGACGGGCCCAGTCACTCCGACATCTGCGCTCAATTCCACGCTGATTGGGATTTATCAAGGAAACACACGTGGATTTCGGCGCCCGCACACATTGATACATAAGGATTTTTTTCAGCGTGACGGACCTTGCGTGCGCTCGTTTCTGGTATGAGTTCCACGCAAGTATTGATACATAAGGCCCCAGATCACTATTCACTCTCCTCAACAAGTCTCTCCAGCCACCAGACCCCCCCCCCCACCTGTATTCAACCCACACCTGTAACACCCTAATGCAATTTTTTGACAAAATGACAAAATCTCCAACATCCACCAACAACTGCACTCAGGCTCTCTCCCCCCGGACCTCCTCCGACCCCACCAACTCCCCTGCCACACCGTCAGTACTTCTCCAGTTTTCTTCTCCCCGTCGACTCTGAAATCTACGATCTCATCCGGAAATCCAAACCCTCAACCTGTCAGCTGGATCCCCTTCCCACCACACTGGTCAAATCATGCCTCCCGTCTGTGCTTCCTCTCATATCTGCCATCATTCACTCTTCACTCACCACTGGAACTGTTCCCGCATCCCTCAAGACAGCAGCCATCACCCCAATCCTGAAAAAACCTGGCTCTGACCCCAATAACTTCAGCAACCTCCGCCCCATCTCCAATCTACCGTTCACAGCCAAAATACTGGAAAAGGTCGTCACCAGCCAACTTCACACCCACCTAACCCAGAACTCCCTCTACGACCCCTTCCAATCTGGTTTCTGCCCCCGCCACAGCACCGAAACTGCACTGCTAAAAATCACCAATGACCTTCTCACTGCAGCTGACTCTGATTCACTTTCCATCCTCATCCTCCTCGACCTCAGTGCAGCCTTTGACACCATCTCCCATCCCATCCTCCTCCGTAGACTCTCTTCCATCGGTATCTCCCACACCCCTCTCCGCTGGTTCCACTCTTACCTCTCAGACTGCACACAGTTCATCCAGCTCAAATCCTTCAAGTCCGAACCCTCCCCAGTCAGTTCAGGTGTGCCCCAGGGCTCTGTCCTGGGGCCCCTGCTGTTTATCACTTACCTCCTCCCCCTTGGTTCCATCTTCCGTAAATTCAACATTCAATATCACTGCTACGCGGACGACACCCAGCTCTACCGCTCCAGCTCACCAAACTCCACCCTCCCACCTACCTCCCTCCTCACCTGCCTATCTGAAATTAAATCCTGGTTCACCGCCAACTTTCTCCAACTAAACAGTCAGAAAACAGAAATTCTTCTAGTAGGTTCCAAATTCACCCTATCCAAAGTTGACAGTCTCTCCCTTCCCATCGACAGTTCCTCAGTTTCCCCCTCCCCTCAGGTCAAGAGTCAAGGCGTGTTGTTGACGCGGGGGGGGGGGCAGGCTGCTGAAGGGGGGCAGGCTGTTGAGACAGATTTTCAAATCTGTCTCAACAGCCAAATGGTTTTCTAATCATAGACCATAGCTTTAACATTAGACACAGGTTACCTTAATTATTGTGTATTTATTTGATTCATGTTTGTATATTCAGTGATATTTTGACAGTTTGTAGCCAAGTGTTTGTTAAATTTACCTGTAGAATTACCTTATCTGTGTTATTTCTTTTTTATTTCAGTTTTACCTTTTCTTCATAAAATTCCTGCCAAATTCAACATGTGGCCTGTTCATTGGAGGAACTTCTTGGAGGGATGAATTTTGCTAGCTGTTTCATGTATATGACAACAGTATACAATAAAATGATGCTGACATGTTTTGGAGAGAACAACCATGAGACTGAGAAGTCCACAATCAACAAGACCTATTCAGTTGGAAATTGTGCTTAATGCACGCTATCTGTATTTAATCATTAGCAACGTAGCATTAAGACAACTCTGTGTGTGAAACTCACACATTCCTCACAGGACAGGTTCCTTATCTGGTCCCAGGACACAGAATCATATAAATCTTTCCAGACTTGTTTGTACTTTCAGGTTACCCAACTGACCCAAACGGAGGTTGACCCAAACCTTTAGTTCTTCACAATTGGTCAATTTGGAGAAAAGAGACAGAGTTGTTCATTGCCTTCCAAACTGACTCCATCACTGACCATCTAAATAATAATTTATGCCTCAACCCAGGTCTCCCATTTGAGATTTACTGTCTTAAAGTGGGTGAACACATGGAATCCAACCAAAGGTCTGAGGAGCTGGATGCTGACCTCCAGACATCCGTCATAAAACCCTGCTCAACCATATATTGCTAAAAACTACATTCCTTTGGAGAAAGAGGACAAATGACTGATAATGACGTCTTATACATTCAGCAATGTACTAATCTGTCTCATCATGAAATTTGTGTCAAAATGAGATGTGTCCCATTTTTCGACATGCTCCAGAAGCCAAGCTATTACTCTGACAGAATAAATCCTTATTCTTTAGTTTCTTTAGACCAACAGCTTTTCAGACTGTTTCAAGAACTTTTAAGAGTTAAATTTATTGACTATAAATCATGACTTTACTCTAAGTAATATAAATAGTTTAGAAATATTTGGCTTAGGTTTTAATTATTACTTTATGGGCTCTATTTTCGTGTCCGCCAGTGAGGCGGCGGGGGGTGGCAGACCCTGCGCAGTGGTATTTTCGTCTGGCAGAGCCCGGCGTACAGCCAGTTTGGTATTTTTGTGGACTAAGGTGCACCGAGGTCCTCCAAGCTGGGCGTGGTGGCGTGGCAGAGGGAGGTGTCGACAGAATCAGCTGACATTTTCGTGCTCGCCAGTGGCGTATAAAGTGCGCTGAAAGCTCGCTGATTCAAACCTAGTCAGCTTTCAGCGCAAGCAGAGCGCAGCTGGTCTCGTGATATTTTGGTAGACCGGCAGCGTATCGGCATACGTCACCGATGCCTCACCGGCAGGTTTCCACAGTGTCAGGTACATTTCAGTGCAATAAATAATCATCAAAGACTAATAATCTGAGTCAGCACACACATTTAGATCTATATCGATATATTCTGATCTATTTCTGATCTGATGAGCGCGTTTGGCACACGTTTGGACACACAACCTGACCGAATCAACACAGCTGTAACCGCATTAAATTAAATTGAATATCTAGTAAATAAACACACATGATGAAGTTAACAAGATATGTAATTCATCTCCCTCCTTTTCTTTCTTCCTTTTCCTCTTATTTCTCTCGCAGCTCGACCTGGACATGTCTCCGTGTCCTCTCCCCGTCCTGCTGCAGCTGCTGCTGCAGCGGCTGAACAGATGATTTGTTTCAGTGATCAGATGAGTTATTTACTTTAAGCCGAATACAGTTTATGAATATTAAAATATTCCGTATTGTCAGCCAAATTTATTTTATACACCAATATCTATAAAAGAAGGAGCCAGGCCACGGAGCGCTATGCGTCCTTTACGCACAGAAGGTTCCGATTTTAATGCCATTATTCGAATTTATGATGTGATCTTGGCGCACAACCCACCTTTGTCACATGAGGTTTAAATATATGCAACTTTATGTGAGTGTCTTTACTTGTGGAAAGGGTGTTTGTCTTACTAGTGGGTCCAACATTACACACACCAAATCCATCTGTGTTCATATGAGAGAGTTTGAAGGACGCCCTCTGCAGCGTTTACAGCGACACTTGTTGAAGGGCTGCCTTCTGTTGCCATCGTGTGGCATTACTGTCTCCAGACATCTCTTGATCTCTTTGACTACTTAACGAAAATACGTTTTAATACGCCTCGCCAGTGGTGGATTTAAAGGCGAGGAGAGCTGATGTTATTGGTCAATACAGGTCTCGGCTGTGTTCAACCCACTCCACGCCCTCTCTCCTCCCTCTCTACGACTTACGCCGCTGGGGGGAGCTGAGTTAGGGAGGGGGGATACTTACACCGGGCTGCACCGCTCACCAAAATACCAAATTGTGCTTGGGAACGCCTTGTCGGCGCAGCGGACCTGACTTACGCTGCGCTGGCGCCATGTCTCCGGCGAAGCACGAAAATAGGGCCCTATATTGTATTTTTAACCATCAGGTGGTTATAATGTCATTGAATAATCTGAATGTGAGTACATAGAATCCATTATCAATCATGATGAAGTTCATTTACATGTATTTACTCTTTTGTTTGTGTTATTGTATTATCTTATGTTACTGTCTGTTTTATTTCAGAATAATTTAGCATGTTCAACGTGATATTTAAAACATAATGAGAATGTTTGATGTGGTTCTACATTTCTTCATATGTGTTTAGTATCAAATCATTTATTATGAACCAAGCTTTTAATAACATTAATCATAGTGAGTTTCAGATCTGACTCCTTTACCAGCCAAAAGTATAAGCTAGATCAAATAATCAGGGATCCTGAAGGTCTCCTCTAAAGAAGATGCAGCAGGCGACCAGCAACCCCTCCTCTCTCCTCCTTACACACACCGTGAGAGACACTCCCAGTTTGAAGAAGATAAAACCAGTAAAGTTGGGGTACTCACGCACTTATTCTCCTCTTATTCACTTATTCTCTTGTGCTCTTACTCTTCTTCTTGCTTCGTCTTACTTTTTCCCAGCTTTTAAAGTCTTATGCCACGTGTTCATTCATATTGTTTCATTTTTTCTCTCACACATCTTAGTTCAAGTTTTGAAACTTCAACTTTTTTGCGCACATTGCAATCCAAGATTAAGTTTGTAACTAATTTTTCTTTCAGTCATTTTTGAAATAGTTTTGACTGGCCATTGAGCCTCTTTTTCTTAGTTATCTGTGTTATTTCAAAGTCGCCCCTGAATGGCACCCAGCAGGCCCAGTTCTAAAATACACTTATGGTGTAACAACTTAAGACACATCATCAGTGTTGGCACCTGGGTTCACTGGGTGTTTTGGGTCTTGCAACAGACACCCTCACCCAGGGGACCCAGCCGGGGTGATCAAGTCCCGGCTTGTGTCTTAAGAGCATGTGGCCACGGATCACCCCGCTTGATCCACAGCCATCTGGACGCCTTCTCTGCTGCGTCGCAGATGTTCTTGATGGCTCGCCTGTTGTGCAGTCCCCCCACTCCCAGCATCTTGAGAGCCCTGATGAGGGACTGGCCAGCGAATCCTCTGCATCCGACCTCGATGGGGTTGCACCAGGTCCTCCATCCCCTGCTTCGGCATTCACTTGCCAGCTCCTCATACTTGGCTTTCTTTCTCTCAAAGGCCTCCTCCATCCTGTCTTCCCAGGGAACAGTCAACTCCAGCGGGACCACTTGCCTTGTTGTTTCAGACACCACGACCATGTCTGGCCTGAGCGGGGTCACTGCGATGTTCTCCGGGAATTTGAACTGTCTCCCTAGGTCGACTTTCAGCTGCCAGTCCCGGGCTGTTGCCAGCAGCCCCCCTGCTTGCCTCCTGAGCTGCTGCGGCTTCTCCCCAGCCTTAACGAAGGCGATGGTCTGCCTTGATGGTTGTATGTGTTTGCTGGTGGAGATGCCTGTGCTGATGGCCTCCGCAATGACCCGTAGCACTTGGTCATGGCGCCAGCGGTAGCGCCCCTCTCCCAGTGCTCTTGGGCAGCAGCTCAAGATGTGTTCCAGTGATCCTGCTCTTTGGCAGAGAGGGCACAGTGGGTTCTCAGCCAAGCCCCAGCGGTGGAGGTTGGATGGGCTTGGGAGGACGTCGTAGACCGACTGGATGAGGAACTTGATCCGGTGAGGCTCAGATCGCCATAGCTCTGACCACGAGACCTTCCGGGCAGCTGCCTCCTCCCAACTGGTCCATGCCCCCTGCTGCCGCATCCCCACTGTCTTGCTGCAGCGGGCTTCCTCCACCCCTGCTCGGACCTCCTCCTGGATCAGCTGACGCCTTTCCTTCCCCTTGGCCTTGTTATATGAAGGTCTCGGGTTGCTCCCAAGTCCTGCCCGTCCAGATGCCACTGTTCCCACCAGTTCACTGTGCCGCAAGCGGGACTCAGCCTGATCGACTGCCTCTTGAGCACACCACTTCCTGCCGGTCCTCACTTCTACACCAGCCGAGGAGACTCTGATGTCACTTGAGTCCCTATACAGCAGCACCTCTCTTGCACTGGTAACCATAAACTCCTCCGTCAGACTGCTGAAGGGTAGGTTAAGTTTGTTGCTCTTCCCGTACAATGCGATGCTGCTGAGGCTTCGTGGTAGGCTCAGCCACTTCTGCAAGAAAGAGCTGACCTTCCTCTCGAAGTACTCGATGGTGGTCACAGGCACATTATAAATCAGCAGTGGCCAGAGAAGTCGAGGTAGGATGCCATGTTGGTAAATCCAGGCTTTGAACTTGCCTGGTAGCCCCGACTTATCCACTGCCCTCAGCCAGGTTCCCAACTCCATCCTCTGAACCAGAGTTTTGCAGTGGGAACAAAGGAGCATCCAAAGGACACATAAAGGGTGGTTCTGCATTAAGGGCTGTGTGATGTGACTGGCCCATCTTTTGTCTGACTACGGTCCTCTTCTGATTCGAACCTCTCACACAGCCTGGACCTTCGGTGAAGCTGCTCCATCTTCTCCAATGATCAGCCTCACTTGAGTATACAAACCTCCAGAGCTCCAAACAGGACTTATGCTGTCTCATGTGTTCATGATTCAAATAATCACTAATTCGGGTTATCCTAAATTCATCCAAATCCACCTTCAAATTTATCTCTACACCAAAGTTAATGTAGGTTAATATGTCTGAGCATATTCACTCTCGATCATTAACTTTTGTAATCATAAGCTGAGTCAGAGTCTTTAATTCATCTATTATATATCTTCATTATCTTATTGTCATGTTGTACCATCATTTATCTTGTAATAAATATGTAACCTACATGGATATTAAACCCATTTATGTTATTTGAAAGCCTTTATAATGCCCCACCACAAGGTGGCGTATCAGCTGTTACTTATCGTCATGGTCAACGAGAAAAAGCCCTTACCTCACTGGTAAGGAAGTCAAATAGAGGTTGGAAATTGCTGATTTACCACTCTGAAGCATTGTCTGGTGAGTCCTTCACTTATTAGGGACGAGTGTGCTGTATTATTTTGGATAAGTGGGGCCTTTTCACCTTGTGAGCCTGTGAGAGATCTCCTGTAAGAGTGGTTGCAACATGTTAAGAGGCTAGAGCTGTTTTCGAATTTGCCTACTATACTAGCAGTACATACTAATTTGCCCAGAATTTAGTATGGAGTATGCAGTAGGCGAACAAATGCGAAGTTTGCAGTATGCCAAAAATACCAGATGACGTACTGATTTGGGAAAATTCACAGTATGCATCGGAGCAGTCTGCTTCACCAACTGTTACCCATAGTGGAGAGTGGCGAGACTTTTCACCTGAGCACTCATTTTCTAAGAGGACAGCCAAGATTTCTCCTTCTGATAGCCTGTCTTCTCCTCCTTCTTTGAGCAGTATTTGTGCAAACCACTGACAAGAATGCCATGTTTTGTTATCATACCATCCAGTTTTTATCCTCTATTTCCATCGCCTCAAATTTTCCTGCTTCTCCTCATCCTTTATACAGTACAGTACGCGTGGTGTTTAAAACACACAGGCAACTGGCATTAGAGGGGGACTAAAGCTTTAATGCAAAAAGGTGAGTAAATGTTAAAGCAGTCAGACTCAATCAGCAGCCAAGACGGTATTTGAAATAAACTGACAGGAGACAGGAGTTTCTATAAGAGGGTTTTTACCGTACTTGTCAAACTATCGTTTCATTTAAGCAGTAAACAAGGACAACATAACTTTGCTGTATTTACAGTGCCGTAAAGAGAATCAAATGCTGCCAGATCGCCGAGTTATTGCATAGACAGAGCAGGTTTCGATGGCTGGTGTCAGGCTAACAAATCCCCCAAAAATAATATTAATAAACACATCAGATTTTTTCAGTGCATAAATGAATGGGCAACACTGTAGTGTTGATGCAATTAACCAAGGTACAATGTACTTTTCCATACCGGAAACCAGCATACTACAAAATAACAGCCGACTTACAGTCATACTATGTACTCCTTTCAAACAATGTATTCAGTATGCAGTATGTACTGCATACTGTGGTCGGCAAAAGTATGCAGTAGACCAATTCGAAAACAGCCTAGGTTTCGTTGTGAGCTTGTTGGTGAAGCTCGTTATGTGAAAATGCCTGTCATTGAGATACTTTTGTAAAACCAATCGGAGCTACAGGAATATTTCCTAATGTTTGAATCCACCATGGTACTGTTAGTATCATTGTGAACCATGTAAATGAACTTTAAAAAGATCGCTAGCTATGTTAGCACAGAGCTAATGTTAATCGCGAGTGGCACTACCGCTACGCTTGCAAGTGTTGATGTTGGATAAGAAGAAGAGTTAAAAAAGCAATATGCTTCAGTTAAAAAGAGTGGTTAAAAGAGCTGTTTAAAAATTTAAAGAAGTTCATTTATGTTAAAAATATAAGTTTACAATCGATAACTGTCATGATAAAAATACTTGTGTTGCACTGTGAATGTGTACAGACTAGTTTAGAGTTATCTGAGTGCTGTATATCCTGCATCTGGATATAGCTATACGATACTAAGAGTAAAAAGTGAAAAAGTAAAATGATGGCAAGTGATAGAATAGTGAAATGATCATATTTTCTGCACTCTATGGGCTCTATTTTCATGCCTCGCCGGTGACGCGGCGCATGACAAGGCGTTCCCAAGCACAATTTGGTATTTTGGTGAGCGGTGCAGCCCGGCATAAGTATCCCCCCTCCCTAACTCAGCTCCTCCCAGCGGCGTAAGTCGTAGCGAGGGAGGAAAGAGGGCGGAGAGTGGGTTTAACACAGCCGAGTCCTTGCCTTTAAATCCGCCACCGGCGAGGCGTATTACTATTTTCATGAAGTAGTCAAGGAGATCAAGAGATGTCTGAAGACAGTTATGCCACACGATGGCGACAAAGGGCAGCTCTTCAACAAGTGTCACTGTAAGCGCTGCATTGGGCGTCCTCCACACTCTCTCATATGAGCACAGATGGATTTGGTGTGTGTAATGTTGGACCCACTGGTAAGACACCCTTTTCCACAAATAAAGACACTCACATAAAGTTGCTCATTATCAAACCTCATGTGACAAAGGTGGGTTGAGTGCACAGATCACAACATAAACTCCAAAAATGGCATTAAAATCGGAACCATCTGTGCGTAAATGACGCATCGCGCTCTGTGGCCTGGCTCTTTCTTTCATAGATGTTGGCATATAAAATAAATTTGGCTCACAAAACTGAATATTATAATATCCGTATGTCGGCTTAAAGTAGATAAAGCATCTGAGTGCTGAAACAAATCATCTGTTCAGCTGCTGCTGAAGCAGGACAGAGAGAGGACACGGAGACGTGTCCAGGTCGAGCTGTGCGAGAAATAAGAGGAAGAGGAAGAAAGAAAAGGAGGGAGACGAATTACATATCTTGTTCACCTCATCATGTGTGTCTATTTACTAGATATTTAATTTAATTTAATGCGGTTTCAGCTGTGTTGATTCGGTCAGGTTGTGTGTCCAAACGCGTGCCAAACGCGCTCATCAGATCAGATATAGATCAGAATATATCTAAATAGATCTAAATGTATGTGCTAACTCAGATTATTAGTTGTTGATGATTATTTATTGCACTGAAATGTGCCTGACACTGTGGAAACCTGCCGGTAAGGCATGTGTGACGTATGCCGATACGCCGCCGGTCTACCAAAATACTACTAGACCAGCTGCGTTCCGCCTGCGCTGAAAGCTGACCAGGTTTGAATCGGCAAGCTTTCAGCGCACTTTACACGCCACTGGTGAGCACGAAAATGTCACTGCGCCCGCTGATTCTGTCGACACCTCCCCCTACCACGCCCAGCTTGGCGGATCTCGGCTCGCCTCCGTGCGCCTCAGTCCACGAAAATACCAAACTGGCTGTACGCCGGGCTCCGCCAGACGAAAATACAACTGCGCGGGGCTCACCGCCATCCTCCGTCGCCTCACCAGCGTACACGAAAATAGAGCCCTATGTGTAGATTGTTTTTTTTCCGGATAAGAAGTGATTCGGATTCTAATCCATGGAGGTTCGGTGCCGAGCCAGGAAGGAACAGAGCACAGTGTGGCCAGCCATGGTGTCCACTTCAGAGAGCCCCAGACGTCTTACTTCACTTTCTAACTTAGATAAGAAATGACTGAAAAATCTACCCGGGTAGTCGTGGTCATATAAACAAAACTGAACTCTTGACTTGTAAGAGGGGAGAAGGGATATTAACTGTGATTTTCAACCTTAGGGCCGAGGTACACTGGCGTGCCGTGAGAGATCGTCAGGTGTGCCGTGGGAAATTATCCAGTTTGCAAATAATAAGCCATTGTCGAGTGTCTGTGCTGTAATAAAGTGAGCGTCGGAGCAGTTCTCTTCTATGTCACTGGGTGGCAGCAGGTGGCTAATTGCCTGGAAAAAAAACTGAAAACAGAGAGAGGCTGGAAAGCTGTAGAGGAAGAGCTTTGTGTATCTTTCTTCCATTCCTGCCAGGATATCAGCTTTGTGTAAAAAACGGCCAGGGCTCACACTGAGTTAGTATGAATAAATTTAGAAACTATGTTACTAACTATATTCTAGGGATGCACCGAAAATGGCCAAAAACTGCATTTTTGGTTTTGGGCCAAAACACTTTTCTCACCGAAACAACACAGCCAAAACAGATGTTATGATAATGCAAGCAAAAACCACAACCAGTACGTGGCTGTGGTATGGCTGTATTCCTGTTTCTGAGAGCTACGAATAGTGATTGGCATAGTGTTTAATGCTAAAATTTCAAGAGGGGTGTATCTGCAAAGAGTTTATTCACGTTGGGTTTAATTTATCACCTGATATCCAAACATCCTGATCACTATTTGGAATATGAGATGAACATGAATGCGTCACAAAATGGGAAAATCCCTCCGAGCACGCCCACTTTGTCTGAGGCGAAAGTTGCAGCCGAGTACACAAGCAGACACAGGGGGAAGTTTCACGTCTTCTTACTTTTATTGATAGATTTAACAGGAATCAACATTGCAGAATCCTGCTCAGCTCCCACTCTCGGCTGCTTCACAGGTGTGCCTTGTTAGGGTTACTTTGAGACTGACAGAGTCAGTCACAAAGTACTTCTGTCATCAAGAGCAAAGGGGGGCTATTTTAAAGAAACTAGAATATAAAACATATTTTCAGTTATTTCACACTTTTTTTATAAGTACAAAATTTTGCATGTGTTCATTCATAGTTTTGATGCCTTCAGTGATGATCTACAATGTAAATAGTCGTACAAAAAATAAAGAAAAGACATTGAATGAGAAGGTGTGTCCAAACTTTTGGCCTGTATTGTATATAGTCCTTGTCTTCCCTTGTTTCTTTCTTGGTTCATTGTGAATTTGTGTTGTATGTCAGTGCCACTGTGTGTCTCCAGTGTCTTCAGTGTTTCTTGTGGTTTTTCCCCAGTGCCTTTGCTGGATTTTGGATTTTTGTGTCTTGTGGATTTTGCCTTTTGTGTTTTTGCCTTTGGGAGTTTTTCTGTTGGACATTCTGAGGGTTTTTTTTGTAAAATTTTATTTGGTTCATTTTGAATAAATCTTTTGTTTCTGCATTTGGGTCCTTTCCTTTTTGCTTAACTCAAAACCGTGACAGTACTAAGACATTTGCAGTTAGATGAAATGAAAGAGAAATTCAATTCTGTTGTAAACAAATGCCAAGTAGTTTAGAGGTTTGCCCAAGTTATTTTGTGAGTTTAATTTCAGTTTCAAAAAAATTAGCCAAACCAAAGGAGAAAACTGTAATGCAAGTTTGATCTGTTTCTGCTCCATTCATGTGGATTTATGTCAATATTCACTCTTGTTAATGAAAGTTCTCATTCATCCAGGTCATGGTATTCCAGGAATTCCTCTCAAGAGGCAGCTGGACTTCTTGGATATTCTTGAAGACATTTTGCCTCTTCTCCAAAAGGTTTCCTCAGTTCTATAGCCTAGGGTGACATCGTCAGTGTCAGGGGGTGGTTACCATGCCCTCTGACACTGATGATGTCAGGCTAGGCTAGGCTATGTATTCCAGCTCAAGAAACAGTCCCCCTCAGAACTGAAGAAACCTTTGGGAAAGGAGGCGAAACGTCTTCAAGAAAACCCAATAAGTCCAGCTGCCTCTTTAGAGGAATTCCTGGAACATTTACTCTTGTCAAGAGTTTTGATTGGATTGGTTATTTGAGTCAATCTGTGTGTGTGAGTGTGTGTGCGCATACCTGTACATGTGTAAGTGATTCTCCAGCCAAGGTTTTCTCCCGAGTTGTCACTGTGGAACATGACAGTAACGACATTGCTGTCAGTCTGAATCTCTCCTGGAGATTTGGTTCCGCAGAACGGACCAAAGTCTGAGCTACCTGCTTTAACCTGTGACAAACACACACACACACACACACACACACACACACACACACACACACACACACACACACACACAAACAAAACATGATCTGAGTGTATTACAGTATCCCTTCGGGGTAGATCTCTTCTTAAAGGAACAGTCTGTGTATTTTTAAATGTCTGTTAGGGTGTTAGAGTGTCAGTCAGTGTGTAGAGTTGTATCCTGATTGGGTAAACAGATCCTGTGGTCCATGGGTTTGTCATTATGCTATAAAAACACTGAGAGCTAAACTCTGACTAAAAACATTCTAACATTCAGCTTTTCTGCTGTTCTGAATGAACTACTGAATGTTGAAAAAGGGAAACAAACAATCTTCTGTACAGCAGTGGACTCTGGATGGTCATGGTCTCAGACTGCAGCAGTATGAGAGTTGCTGATTCCCCTAATTCAAAAAGGTCTGAAGGTCCTGTTGGCACCAAGTCTTACCAAACCACCAGATGATCACTGACAGGCAAATGTTTTTGTGTATGCGTCTGTGCCCCTCTTACCCTGACATAGTCATAGGGGCAGTCGATGTCTGGGTGATCCTCCACGTCAAAGCGAGGATCAAAAAAGAGGCGGAGTCTGAAGCCTGGCTCAACCTCAATCCGATACGAACAGTCAGAACTCTTTGGGTACGCGGAAGGAAAATCAACACTGCTTAAAGCACCAGAACGTTCCCTGAACACATCTTCACTACACTCCACTGAAACACACATACAAAACACACACACAAACACACATAGTTTTAAATCACTTTCTAAGGATTTCAACTCTTTCGCTCTCTCTCTCTCTTTGTGTGTGTGTGTGTGTGTGTGTGTGTGTGTGTGTGTGTGTGTGTGTGTGTGATCAATCTGCTGGAATGCAGCTTAGCTGTAACAAAAACACGTAGATACGTAAGTGCGAGCACCCAAACAAACACACTCACACACACACACACACACATTCTCCTCATGTCAAACAGAAACATGTTAAAGCTCCTGAAGTCTGTAGAGCTGCAACACAAAGTCTGAGACTAAAGGATTTAAAAACTAAAGCAGGTCAAAAACAGCCTATAGAACACAAATATACACATCTCTTAGTACACACATACAGTGGATATAAAAATTCTACACACTCCTGTTTAACTGCCAGGTTTTTGTCATGTAAAAAAAAAAATCAAGATTAATAATTTCACAACTTCTTCCATCTTTCATTTGACCTATAACCTGTACAACACAATTGAAAAACAAACAGAAATCTTTCAGGGAGGTGAAGTAAAAATAAACAACTGAGATCATGTGGTTGCATAAGTGTGCACACCCTTTAACAGCTGGGGATGTGGCTGTGTTCAGATTTAACCAATAACATTCAAACTCAGGTGAATTGGAGTCAGCACACACCTGTTACCAATTAAAATGCCTCTGATCAATGTTAAAGTTCAGCTGTTCTAGTAGGCTTTTCCTGACATTTTTGTAGCCACATCTTCCAGCACAAGCCATGGTCCGCAGAGAGCTTCCAAAGCATCAGAGGGATCTCATTATTCCAAGATATCAGTCAGGTTAGGGCTACAAAAGAATTTCCAAGGAAGTGAATATACCATGGAACACAGTGAAGACCATCATTATCAAGTGTAGAAAATATGGGGCAACGCTGACATTACCAAGAACAGGACATCTGTCCAAAATTGATGATAAGACAAGAAGAAAACTGGTCAGGGAGGCTACCAAGAGGCCGACAGCAACGCTGAAGGAGCTGCAGGAATTTCTGGCAAGCACTGGCTGTGTAGTACATGTGACAACAATCTCCTGCTGTCTTCATATGTCTGGGCTATGGGGTAGGGTGGCAATACGGAAGCTTTATCTTACAAAGAAAAACATCAAAGCCTGGCTTAATTTTGCAAAAAGACATCTGAAATCTCCCAAACGCATGTAGGAAAATGTGTTATGGTCTGGTGAAACCAAAGTTGAACTTTTTGGGCATCATTGCAAAAGGTATATTTGGTGCAAAATCAACACTGCTCATCACCAAAATAACACCAAACCTACAGTGAAGCATGGTCGCGGCAGCTTCATGCTTTGGGGCTGTTTTTCTTCAGCTGGAACTAGTGCCTTAGTCAGGGTGGAAGGAATTATAAACAGTTCCAAATACTAGTCAGTATCGGCACAAAAACTTTGGCATTCTGCTAGAAAGCTGAAGATGAAGAGGAACTTCATCTTTCAGCACGACAATGACCCAAAGCGCACATCTAAATCAACAAAAGAATGGCTTCACGGGAATAAGATTGAGACTTTGGAATGGCCCAGCCAGAGTCCAGACCTGAATCCCATCGAACATTTGTGGGGTGAACTGAAGAGGGCTGTACATAGGAGATGCCCCCGCAATCTGTCAGATTTGGAGCGCTTTGCAAAGAAGAGTGGGCAAATATTGCCACATCAAGATGTGCAACACTGACAGGCTCCCACCCAAGAAGACTGGGTGCTGTAATAAAAGCCAAAGGTGCTGCAACAAAGTATTAGTTCAAGGGTGTGCATATTTATGCAACCAGGTTATTTTAACGTTTCTATTTTTTATTTTTCTCCTTAAAGGTTTCAGTTTGTTTTTCAATTGCATTGTACAGGTTATAGGTCATATTAAAGGTGGAAAAAGGAGTGAAAATATTTATCTTGCTGTCATTTGCTTACATCACTAAAACCTGGCAGTTGAACAGGGGTGTGTCGACTTTAGATATCCACTGTATACAGTATATAGCCTATAAAACACACAAACACAGCCTACAGTTCACACATATACAGCACCTATCGAACACACCACAAAGCATATAGTACAAACCTACACACAGTCTTTAGTACACACTTATTAACAGCCTATGGTGCACATCTGTAGACAGCCTATAGTACATACATATACTCAGTCTATAGCACGCACATATACACAGCCTATAGTACACATCGAAACACAGCCCACAGTGTACACAGATACAAAGCTATTGGTACACATTTACACCTGTCCATCTGAAACTTTGATAGACAGCAGCAATCTTACCAGTGCAGGTGTGGTTGTCAGAGTGCAGACGGTAACCATAGCGACAGGAACAATAGTATCCCCCAATGTAGTTGTGACACAGATGATCACAAAGGAGATCTTCATCTACCTGCTCGCTGCACTCATCTACATCTTTAGATAAAGGGGGTGGAATCAGCTGGAGTCAGGAGTGCAGGCTTCCATCAAATCAGTATCATGTAACAGAATTACTTTAATACAACAGTACTGCTGTACTAGTGTTAGACCCAAGAACTGCAGTTATGCCATAATATATTTGAATCCATATGTATGTGTGACCGTATGTCCGTGTATGTGTGTGTGTCTGCCTGTGTGTTTGTTTCTGTCTGTATGTCTGTTTGTCCATCTGTATGTCTGATGTGTATGTGTGTGTCTGTCTGTGTTTGTCTGTGTGTGACTGTGTCTATCTGTGTTTGTCTGTCTAGATTACGTATAATTTTTTGTTTTAATTTTGGTTATGTTTTTAGTTACATGGTTTAAAGTTAAGTCTTAAATTGAGTCTTTATTTTATTTCTGACTTAAGTCCTCCGCTTAAACCTGGTTAAGATAAACCTGGTTTAGATAAGCCTGGTTTAAATCCTGGGAAGTTTAATTTTGATCTGGTTGTGGTCCTGGTTTGTGCCCTGGTGTTCACTCTGTAGACTTGATTCTAATTTTGATGTCCGTCCTCTTTGTAGTTTCAGTTTCTTTGTTTTTTCTTTTGGTTTTAGTTTTAGTACTGGGTTTACAGTTTTTCTCCTTTGGTTTGGCTGATTTCTTGAAACAGAAATTAAATTCATAAAAAACATGGACAAACTGCCAAACTACTTGGCATTTGTTCACAACAGAACTTAATTTCTCCTTCATTTCATCACACTGCAAATGTCTTACATGTCTCGATGTCTCAGTACAGCTTGATTATGATTACATACAGATAGCCTGCATTAAGCACACTTTCCAAGTGAATAGGTCTTGTTGATCTAAACTGATTGTTGACTTCTCAGTCTCATAGTTGTTCTCTCCAAAACATGTCAGCATCATTTTTTGTTTAAGTCATCACATGCACGTTAGTCTGTTCAATTGTCAAAATTAGTCAAGAACATATGTCATTATACTTTTCGATAGTGACTCTACGCATAGGCAATGAAAAGGGGAGTTGCTCCAGGTCCGCTTCGCGCTGAACCAATCATCTGCTAAATTAGAACCAAATATCAAACAACTTTGTAGGCTGCAGCTACAAGCAAACCATAGCACTTTAATACATAAAACCAACAGCACTGTTGGTGGGAAAAAAAAGAAAATGAGTGCTACCCACAGCAAAAATGCAGATGAAGGCTCAACAGACGATAACACCTTTGACAACACTGGCACAAAAACATTGGTGGTATGGAGCTTTTTTGTTTTTTTTAAATTGGACATGAAGAAGAGTAATGTGCACTGCAAATTACGTTGAGTACATGTTCTCACAAAGTTTGGGAATTCCATAAAATCTTTTTCATCACCTGAAGCAGTGCCACGTGGCAGAGCATGTGCAATGCAAAAGGATACAAACCCTGAGGGAAGCAGGGGGCCCATGGTGCCTGTGCAGCCGAAACAGCCGACCATTCAGTCTGCTTTCTCTAGTGCAACGTGTTACAACAAAACGTCAAAGACGAGTCAAAGAGCCAAAGACATGGCCCTAACATTATTGGCCATGGCAGGGGCAATATAACTATGTGTGCTGCTATTTCCAAGAATGGTGTGGCCACTCACATCCCCAATCTTGGTCCATACAAGAGAGAGGTCTCATTGGACCTAACCTACCAAACTAGGTAATTGTGTGGTACAATGTGAATTTTTACCTTGACCCACTCGTCAGGGTCTGGTTCACTACTCATCCAAAGATGGTCATGGTGCACCTACTACCGTAATCTTCTTTCCTCAATCCTATTGAGGAGTTATTCTCTGTTTGGGGGTGGAGAGTGGATGATCATCTGGCTCAAAATCAAAGGTCTCTGCTCGATGTAATGGATGCTGTGTGTGAAGACATTACAGGTGATGAGTGTGGAGGATGGAGGTATAAGTGCAATGTGTGATGTCAAACTTTGGTGACTACTCTTACTGTGAAATCCTTTTTTTCTCTTTTATAAACAATGATATTCAGTTAGCTGGACAAAAAAAAAAAAAAAACGGTAACCATTGCCAATAAAGGACTGGGCTAAGACTGAGAGGTGGACATAAGGGATATTTCAATGGTCATCTGCTATAATAACAAAACAACAAAACTTTCTGACTTCCAGTGCTTGCATAATGCCAAAGGGATAAGGCATTTTGGGGGCACTGAATATTTACATGAGAAGAGAATTTAGTTTTGATGTATGAGTTAAGTGTTTTGGGAGAGATATGAGTTTTTGCAGGTGAACCACAGTGTTGTGCTGAACCATCCAGGTTATTTTGGCAAAAGCACCAAGAGTTTTGAGAACGTTTGGTCTGTTTACAGAAATGAGTCAAAGCAATCGAGAAGAATCTGTATTTTTGGTGGCACTGTTTATTTATATGAGAAGGGGATTGGTTGTGAAGCATGAATGGACAGTTTTGGGAGAGATATGAGTAAGGCTGCACGATATTGGGAAAAACTAACATCGCGATTTTTTTCAACCCTGCAATATATATTGCGATATTAAAAAATACAGGAATTTTCACCAAAAGACCTGTATAGCACTTTATGCTATGCTGCAAGGCTGAAATCTTGAGGACAATCAACCTGCTGTGTTCTTACCTCTTTGTGAATGTTAGTAGAATGGCTTCTGCCTGTCTCAGAGATATTTCTAGCTTCCTTTTATTGTGCTGGGACATTATTGTGGCAACAGATGAAAGGCACTGCAGACACAGAACACATGTTTTGGTCAACATCATCGTTCTTGTAACCAAAATAATTCCAGATAACCGACTTTGCTTTTCTTTTTAGCAACAAGTCTTCATTTTCAGTGGTTTCCTCTTGTTCATTGCTCATTATGCGATTGTCGTTGTTGTTACCAGTGTTGTGCCAAGAAACGCATGCCCTCCGAGAATTGCATGCACATCGCAAAACGCACACCGCTTATAGCAGAGTGAGCCATGGAAATGTACAATTTAAAACCCATACAATTCTTATTTGTGGGGCTTATTTGTGGGCTAAACAGTGATGGGTAATGTTCTGAAAGTACGTCTCAGCGGGCATGCCTTTCTTGGCACAACACCGGCAGCACCAGCGACTCACTCCATGTGCAGGACATGTGCAGGGGCGTGGTTTCCTCCTCTGATTTTGATTGATGGCTGGCAGGGTAGTCTGATTGGCAACTGAGTAAAGAAGGAATGTGATTGGTGGATCGTTGCACAGCACATGCAGAGTCACATGGAGTGTATCTCAGTCAGCTACCCTTAAAATTAGGTAAGTTCATTCACCTCCGACATTGCAGGCTCTGCGATGTGACTAGTGTGCACACGTACATTGCGATGATGATGCTCAAACAATATATCGTGCAGCTCTAGGTATGAGCCTCCGCAGGTGAACCATTGTGTTGTGCTGAACTGTGAAACTGTTTTACCAAATGATCTTAGAGTTCTGAGAATGTAATTTCGGTTTCAAAAAATGAGCCAAACCAAAGGAGAAAAACTGTTATACAGTGGTATGACAGAGGAGAGGCTGGACTTGTCCTGCAGAGAAGTTACATTTTTTATTCTGCTTCACACAGTACAGTTTATATCAGCGTCCCCTGCTGGACGTCATGGGAACTGCAGTGAGATGCGTTTTTGGTGTGGTCTGCCTGGTTAATGGAAGGGTTTGGACGTTCTCTTGTACTTACCTGAGGCACTGTAATGAGCCATGAAACCAGAGTACCTCTCTTCGTTGGAGAAATCAGAGGAGAACACAACACTGAGGGTGTTTCTGGGAGAGGTGATGACCTGCTGAGCTGGAACCACCTCTGTGTCCGTCTCCTCCCAACCACAGAACAACCCCAGCACCTCCCTATCTGCCACCACCTGAAATATGAAACAGTCCAGATGCCATGGTCAGCCTGGATCTGATATAACTTGAGAAAACATCCAGAGACCAGGCCAAAAACCACAGTCCTAATCTGAGCCCAGAGTCCAGCCCCTGAACACAGAACAGGACCATAGTCCTCCTCCAGCTAACCTGCTGACCATAGCTGCACTGATTCAGCTCAGAGGTCTAACAAAGTTTGATAATGATGTATTCCTTAAAGTCCCACTGATTGTTTTTTTTTCTACTCAAAGTGTTATCAGTGGTCTTTAAATTGTGATTATGAAGTTTTAAGGCAAAGCCATGTTAACTGTGTCATTTTCAAGGGCTTTTCTTCTGCAGATCTCCAGTAGTTTATAAGCAATTTGGCTCTAAGTCATGGGCGGAGAAAGCCCTGCTCTGCACACTCCTTAACACAAGCTTGTAACCTAATATTGCCGGTGTAGTAGAAGCGGCAGGTAACATAGGAGCTATTCAGCTCTCGGGCACTAATGTCTTTGGGGACATGATGAAAGCTAATATCATAATTAGCTTTCTCGCGAGCATTGCAACCCTCAAATACACACGCTTGTTCTGCAATTTTCCTCCCTATTTTTTGAGTCTGGCCTGCATAGCGGGGATCCGGGGGTGGAGCCTGGATTTGTGACATAGGAAATCTCACTTTATCTGAGCCTGCCCTTTGGGTCTGCCAGAGGTTTAGAGCGATTTGATTGCAGAAATACACAGAAATGCAATTTCGCACTTAGTTTTTTCATTACATGTCCTGAAGCATCAGAAAAATGCCATATGAACATGTAGACAGCAAGAAAAACGTGATTTTCATTGGAGTGGGTCTTTTAGTATGACTGCGTCAAAGATACTTCGTTTCAATGTTTCACATAGTTTGAGAAAATGCTGGACTCTGATTGGCTGATGATGGAGGTGCCTGGCTTATCTGCTGCTGTGTTTACAGGATGACTGTGTATGTTTACTGCAGAGCAGAAGAGTTTGTTCTTATCGTGAACCCACTGACACACACAAACCACACCACACCACACAGAGTTTATACTGAGTGGCAACGACCTGCAGGACACATACACACACACACACCAACACACACATGCATACACACTCACACCAATTAGCTGCCGATAAATAAAGAGTGTGTGGGCTTTTTCCTGTTGGCAGCGAGGTAACAGGCTAATCATCTGTCTTTTTCTGTGTGTGTGTGTGTGTGTGTGTGTGTGTGTGTGTGTGTGTGTGTGTGTGTGTGTCTGTGTGTGTGTATGTATGTGTGTGTGTGCTAGAGAGCTAAGGAACTTCCCATGATGCCACAGGCTCTCACCTTAACATAGTCATACTCGCACAGGTAAGACGGCTCAAGGTCAAAGTGGCTGAAGTACAGTCTGATGTGGAAGCCGGCAGGGACGCTGATGTTCCAGCACAGCTGCGACTCTCCAGGGTACGGCTCTGGGAAGTGTGGTGACTGCAGGCTGCCGTACATCTCAGAGAGATACAGCACCTGAGCACCACCAAGTGAGATGAAGATGAGGTGGAGTAGCAAGAACAGCAGAAACCTGCCACACAGAACCCAACAATTAGCCCCTCCCTTTAAAAAACAGTTCTCTCTATGCCTTTACAGGGATATTCTGGCGTAAAATTAACTTAAACACACTGTAACACCGAGTTAGACACCCTCTCGAGAGATGAATGTTGCTGACTGCTTGCTTCTCTAGTCATACCAACTTTAGTAAAGACCGCATGATAACAATACACAGCAGTCTACCACTCCATGCGCAAACCTCAACCAAAAAGCCATTCTACAGCCACAAATAATGCTCAGAACAGCACCTAACTTAATCAACAGTACATATAGGGTCCCAGCCATAGTACTAGTACATATTACATCTTTCTAGCCTGGTTTCTTTAGCAAAGACACCAAACACAACTCACCCTCTCTCCTCCAGCAGCCGCTTGTTTGTGGGGGGAGCCCTGACAAGTTGATCAGGGCTCCGTTCTGAGCATTATTTGTGGCTGTAGAGTGGATTTTTGGTTGAGGTCTGCGCATGGAGTGGTACACGGCTGCGTATTGCTATCATGCAGTTGTTACTAAAGTTGGTATAACTAGAGAAGCAAGCAGGTGGCAACATTCATCTCTCCAGGGGGTGTCTAACTCGGTGTTACGGTGTGTTTGACCATAACTTAATTTTACGCCACATTATCCCTGTAAGACTGATTTAAACTCATCCACACTTTGCAGTTACAGCAGCAGAACAGGCTTGGTGTTCCTGTCCCTGTGTTCAAAACTAATTACAGTCATTAACAGGTTCTCCGAGAACTGAGATCACTGAACACGCACTGATCCAGTTTATTTGACTAATCTGATATAATGTTTTCATTTTGGGAAACAAAGGTGGCTAACAGGTAGCCTGGCTGAGCCATCCTGTTGCGTGAGTCACTTGACGTTCCTTCCCACCACAGTCTGGACTTCGGCCCATAGAGAGCGTGTATGCCCGATCAGAAAATAACCGGGCCAATCAGAGACCGTGTTTTCACTGTTACCCGGACAACGGGGAAAGGCAGCCCCTGATTGGTCCATGTACTACTGTAACCAATCACCGTAACCAAGCATCTGTGATGATGTCAGATGCTTGGTTACGGTTATTGGTTACAGTAGTCTGTCTATCAAGGAAAGTACTCCCGCCCACTTTCAGGGCTTCCAATGGGCCGAAGTCCAGGCTGTTGTGGGAAGGAACGTCAAGTGACTGACGCAACAGGATGGCCCAGCCAGGCTAGCTAACAGGATGATAGGCTAGCTAACACAAACAGGCTAACAGACTAATGGGATAACAGGCATTCATAATTTTATTCATAATCTGAAACTGAAGGCTATCAGTCTGCATCAGAAAAAAACCCAAGTTAAAGAAATAAAAAACTATCAATAACAAACTAACTTAAACAAACCATCAATAAACTATCAATAACTTATCGGTAAACAAACTAACGATAGGCAAACATTCAAAAAACAAAACATTAATAAACAAACCATCAATAGGCAAACTATCAAAAAACAACCGTCAATTAACAAAAACTTTAAATAAACAAGTTATCAATGAGCAAACTATCAATATTCAAACTACAAACCAATAAACTATCAATGAAAAACTATCAATAAACAATACATTTACATTCCCGTCCTGTGGAAACACTGGAGATTATTAATTGATAGTATCAATTGGTGAACTTTCAATAGAAAACTACCAATTAGCAAACTATCAATAAACAAACAACAGACAAGCTACAACGATGAAACTAGTCAGTTAACCCACAGGCACATAAAACCCAAACACAGACATAGCTTAACACACACACACACACACACACACACACACACACACACACACACACACACACACACACACACACACACACAAAGACAAACAGAAACACAAACACACACAAAACAGTGACACACATGCCAAAAGACAAACACTCAGATACACGCGCACAGACAGAAAACACTGACACACACATGCACACTCACACTGTAACAAAAACATAGGTAAATATTTGGTGTGGTCAGAGTAAAGTTCTCCTTTTAAAATAAACGACGTTATCCAATCTCTGACCTCGCTGAGCAAACAATAACAGTCCGTTATAAAAACTTAATTGACAGCGTCATTAACACTGGCGTCATCAATAACGGAATTAATAACCCAAATAATTAGCACGTGAGTGAAGGCAGTGGTTACTCACCTCATCCTGCAGCTGCATTAACCTTCTGTACGCAACTTCGCTCACACCGGACCACAGAGACGTCTGACGTGTCTGACGTGTTACGTCATCACGTCGCCAAGTAATACCAGGATTACTATACGAAGAATAAGAATGAGAAGAAGAGTATAGTGGGCCTACCTTTCCGAGTATTTGTATCATGTTGAGGCACTCTGAAGTCTGATAGTGGGCTGCTTCCTGGAGCTCAGCTCAAACTTAAATGTAGTTACTGACTGAATAATGACCGGGTTTAATTTATTTATTTTTGAATATTGTTTAAGTACATATATCTTACTTTTTTGTGATAGATATTTGTCGTCTTGTTTCTCCTTATTTAAGTTATAGTTACTGCAGTGAAATCAGTTACTAAGTACAGCAGCTCACTTTAAAATGTGTTTGTGAAAAGTAAAAGTTTTGAAACATTATTTTGAGAGGTCTGGCATGTTTTCTTTTGAAAGGTCACTGTAAATCAGTATGATGGAACATAGTATTTATCCTTTTATTATCTAACTAGAAAAGCACTCGGAGAGCACAGACCTCCGCCAAGCAGCTCATGTCCCCCCTTATATTGTGATTCACACCAAAACTTTTACTGTTACGTGTCTTTTATTAACTTTTATTTGTGTCTAAATTGGTATGTTCACTGTTCATAATATTCCTAAAACAACAAAGCTCATATTAGATACATAAATGCATGATTTATTATGCAATATTTGTAAGCGTACACTTCCTTGTGTCTTCATTGGTTATCTTTCAGCATTGAAAATTCCAACGACACCCTTATTTTTGTGTGTTCTGGATCACAGTATCCGGAATTTTGTCTGGATCAGGATCAACCTTTGACACCTCATAAAACTCATTGAGATCCTTTTGTGTAATTTTTTTTACTAAAGACTCTGGCCATTTTTATAGAGTTAAATGCAAACATTTCAAAATGTGCCCTATGCGATCCTCCTGGGGCTGAGACGCACCTCTGGTGAAAATTTCAGGTCAATCCGTCTGTAACTTTCTCCGTAAAGTTGCTAACAGACAAACAAACAAACCAACGCTACCGAAAACATAAGCTCCTTGGCAGAGGTAATAATACAAACCTTCCTTTCTGTCAGCATTTAAACTCAGACTGCCGATCTGCTAATGAGCTATCATGTGAAAACAAGGCTAAAAAACATGTGGTCATCATGTGATTGATGGAGGGATTTCATCAACTTCAAATGAAAGAGCAAATTCACCGATAATCTAAAATATGAGTATTCGCATTCGGTGCTTTGAGTGCTTGCAGTATGGTTGTAAATAATCGGAGTACCTTTTGCTTTACTGTTCAACGGATATAGTTCAGTATATCTCCAGCAGGGGGTGCCTCTGTTCTGTATGTTGTCATGGATCAGAGTCTCCATAACTTCCTCCGTTCGCTGAGGTGTCCCCTAACTGCTGCGACTCCTCCCCGCGTTGCCATGGTGACCGGATCGTTGTTGAGACGTCATTAAGATGAGGTCAGAGTGTGTCGGAGGATCCGCAGTGAGACCTGAGCACACCTGGATTTGAAGTCCTTTTGTCCGTGGGTGGGGGCGGTGAGGGAGAGGTCAGCCGCCCTCCAGGTCCTCCTCTCCCGGTCCTCCTCTCCTGATTCTGCGGCCTTACTCCCCAACCCCGCTTCGAGCTTCCTCCCACCATGGCGAGCCGACAGAGGCAACTCTTCTTCTCCCTCTGTGGCTGCTTGGGATTCTGCGGCGCGCTCACGGCCGTGGTGTCTGCCGCCCTGCCCTTCTGGCTCGGCGGGTCCGTGTTGTGTCGGACCGGGGCCGACCTCGTAAACGCCACCGGACCCGAGCTGGACAAGTTCCTGGGCCGGCTGAGCTACGGGCTGTTCCACGGAGAAAAGGTGAAGCAGTGCGGGCTGGGAGGAAGGCCGTCCCGTTTCTCCTGTAAGTATGACACCGGCAGGGGAGTTGTTTACTGCAGGTTACGGTGAAGACAGGTGAGTTGTTTACTTTGTTAGAGATGAACACAGGTGTGTTGTTTCCTGTAGCTATTACAAGCTTGTACTGATTTGTTGTTCACTGTAAGTTACAGTTTCACACAGGTGTTTTGTTCACTGTAAGTTACAGGTTAATACAGGTGTTTCGTTCACTGTAAGTTACAGTTTCATACAGGTGTTTTGTTCACTGTAAGTTACAGTTTCATACAGGTGTTTTGTTCACTGTAAGTTACAGTTTCATACAGGTGTTTTGTTCACTATAAGTTACAGTTTCATACAGGTGTTTTGTTCAATCTAAGTTACAGGTTCATACAGTTGTTTTGTTCACTGCTAGTTACAGGTGAAGACATAAGTGCATAAGTTTTAACTTTGTTACAGATGTAAATGGGTGTGTTGTTTACTGTGTTACAGGTTGATACAGTTGTGTTGTTCACAGTGTTACAAGTGAAGACAGGTTTGTTGTGGACTGTGTTTCAGGTTTATACAGGTGTGTTGCTTACTGCGTGCTACAGGTTGAGACAGCTGTGTTGGATATACTGTGTAACAGGTGATGACAGGTGTTCTTCAGGTAAAGCCTCAATGTCTCATCAGTAATTGATAAGCTGTATCTCTGAGGCTGTGAATAATTCAGAGCTGCAGTAAATGGGCCGACAGGAGTTGCTCATGAATTAAAATGTCAATGATTTAACTTTTTTTAATCTACATTATGTGTGTTTGTATGACATTACAGACATCTCAGCAGGTTAGAATAGTTTTATGGTGTATTGTCAATCGTATGGTTAATCTTTTACGGTTTGGTTTAAGTTTTTTTTTGGTTCTGTGACACATCCTGCACTCTGGGTGAGCAGGATTAAAGCTCACAATTTAAACAGAGGGGCTCTGAGTGATGTAGCTGAGGCCTGTGAATGATGTGGAACCAATCAGAAAGCAGAGAGTTAATGAGCCGTCCTTCACTAACAAGCTTCTGCCTCAGCAATCAAAAAGACCTTACAGAGGCCGCAGGAGCAGGAACAAGGCTGCTTTGTCTGTGAACTGAACAGGTCTCTTTCTCCCTCTCCCTCTTTCTCTCTCTCTGTCTCTCACACACGCGCACACATACACATGCATCACCTGCACACTAGCGATAACCCAAGACAAAGCAATTAAGCGGAAAGGAAAGAACCCTTGTGGGTAAACATGTCATTAAGCTTAAAAATATTTGAAAAATCTGGATAAGAAGTGGGGCCAGTTTAAGCCTAAACCAGCAGAGTGAGCATTTAGAAATATAAGGAGGGCACATTGGTGGGGGGCTTTCCCTTATGTCTGACTCTGTACATTGTCTGTTTTTTTCCTTTTTTTTTGCATAAATTTAATGTGAACTAGCTTTTATGTTTTGTCCTTTTTCCTTTTTTAATTTTTTTTTCTCACTGTCACTCTTTTCTTTCTCTCTATACTCTCTCTATGAATCTTTTTTTCTCTCTCACTCTTTTCTGTGTCTTTCTCTTTCAGTCTTCCCAGATCTGCTGAGCGCCATCCCAGTTGGCCTCCACATCACTGTCATCTTCTTCTGTGGTGTCGTCATCCTCTTCTCCTCTGTGGCCACCGGCTTCTTCTTCTTTAATGCCTTTGGACGGCCATATGAGACGCTGCAAGGCCCTATAGGACTTTACCTGTGGACCTTAATCTGCTGTGAGAAACTTCTCCTACTCACCTGTCTCTGCTAACACTGTAGTATGCTAACTGTTAGCATGTAGCTAACAGTATGGTTAACATATTTTTAGCCTTTAGTGAAGTCTGGGGAATGCTCAAAGGTCTAAAACACCTGTACATGTGTGAAGAGGGTTGTCTTGATTCAGACAAACTGCCCTATAACACTGAAATCAGATCAGATGTTCCATGTGTGAGCAACTATCTAGTGATAATAACAATGTTGCAGTGTCAAAGTGACGTTTAGCAAATGCCTCTGTACAAAGTGATGTATATATTGGACCACCACACCACTGTTTAACGGAGATCTAACATTAAATAACAGGGGGGAAAAATCTTACCTTCTCTTTGGTGGCTAAAACAGTCAGCATCAGTTATCCAGCTCCAACAGTTAAATGATCCACCGATATTATTCCTGTTTACATCCCGATCCTCGCAGTCAGCATATTTCATCCGTTTGCATTCTGATAGAAGCGGACAGGAGGAGCATCTCTGGACTTTGTACTGAGACACAGGTCCAGACAGGCCGTGAATAACTAACTACTAACTGTGAAGCGGGCCGTGTCCCGAAGACCAGGTGTAAACGACAAATCCAGAAACAGTGCTAAATTTTTTTTTTTTTTTCATGCCAATGGATGAGACGCCGACCGCGGTGTTGTAAATGGGATTTAAACAGCATTTAAACGGGAGTAATATTGTTGGAAAATTAACCTGTTGGAGCTGGATGACTGATGCTGACTGTTTTGGACATCAAAGTGAAGGTTAGAAATTTTTCCCTCCGTTGCTTTATGTCAGATCTTCGTTAAACAGTGGTGCGGTGTAATGAGCTGCTGTGAAAGCTGTAGCTTGGTGAACACGTGTGTCTGTGTTGATGAGAGGGACTGATTTGGTCAGACAGGTGTGTAAATGAGGGAGACTCTGGTGATGAAATTTATTACACTTCTGTTTACATTTGATCGCTGCTGCTGCGTGCATGCGCGTCTGAGTCAGACAGGCTGGTGCATTTTGGATCACCTCTCGAGGTTTGACTGTAAAAGCACAGAAGCCTGTGAGATTTGAATCTATAATAAATGTCCTTAGATAATAATCTTAAATTGTGACATTTTTGCACTCATTGAGAGGGGCACCACACACCTTTAATAGCGGGAAAATAAAGAAAAACAAAAGTTTAATCCAGAAATCAAACATTTAGTTAATCTTAAATTAATCAATCTCATATCTCAAGCTAAAATTCTCATTTCAGAGACTCCACTTCCAGAAGAACACTAACAGACAAGAACAGAAAAATAAAGGATCTGTTTATTACAGGATAAATAATGATACAACATACATGCAATAAATGATGATAATATGATGACGATAAATAATAATGGAGTTGTAAATAGTAAAGGAGTCAGATCTGATACTCACTGTTTTTAATGTCATTGAACACTTCGTTCACAATAAATGATTTGATACTAAACACATATAAAGAAATGTAGAATCACATCAAACATTCTCATTATGTTTTAAGTATCACATTGAACATGCTACATTACTCTGAAATGAAACAGACAGTAACACAGAAACTGTGGACAACAAAAGAGTAAACACATGTAAATGAACTTCAGCATGATTAGTAATGGATTATTAACTCACATTCAGATTATTCAATGACATTATAACCACCTAGTGGTTAAAAATACTAAATAAATGATTAAAATATAAACCAAACATTTCTTTTTTTCTCTCCAATATTTTTAGCATTTTAGTTTTATTACAATAACAGTCTATATGAATACACACACTCATACACCCATACACATTCTACCTACATAAATTCAGAAGTAAATACAATTACAAAAAAGAATAAAAAATAAATAAAATAATTAACATTGATCCCACATTTTCCAAGACGATGTTTACTGTCCAGCTTAACATATGGTTCTCAAAGAGTAGCAAAATCCTTCGGTTTTCCTTTATTAATATATGTCAGTCTCTCCATACCAAGACATTGTGAAAGTTCCTTAATCCACAGCGTCATAGAGGGCGCCTCTAAACTCATCCAACATAATGCAATGGCTTTCCTGGCATGCAAAAGACCAAAGTCCAGTAACTTTGTCAACCTTTGTGTTTGTATTAAGTCCATTGGGTAAATTCCAAGTACACATAATTTAAAGTGAAGGGCATAGTCATCATAACATTGTCTGACAAATACTAAATGACATCTTTCCAGAATTTCTGTATCTTAGGACATTCCCATAAACAGCGAAGAGGCTTCCTTTTTCATTATGGCACTGTACAGTTATGTACATCCTCATTAGCTATTTACTGAAGTTATTTCAGTCTTGTATTTATCCTTCTTAAACAGGCCACATTCCCGTCATTTTCATCTAGGTTTCTCTCCTGGCATTTAACCTGTCTATTGCTGACTCCTTAGAAGTAGTTGTTTGTAAATTATAAAACATATAGAGCAGACCTTTCCCTTCCAGATGTTTTAGCAAAATCTTTACAATTTTCGGTAGCATTGGCATAGGCATAAAATGCTTGGATTTGGATGAAATAATTTTTTAACTGCAAATATTTAAAGAAATTTTTTGAGGGAATTCAGTATTTTTCACACAATTGGTCAAAAGTGAGCAGCACTCCGTCCATGTAAAGATCTTTAACCCTTTGAATGCCTTTTGCCTTCCATGTTCTAAACCCTCCATCTTTTGTACCAAATGTAAATTCTTTATGACCCCAAATGGGGGTAAACTGGGAGAGTGGTGGTGGGTCTCCTACATGCGTGTGCGGTGTGCCACACTGACACTGTATTTCTCAGAAAGGGATTTTTTTTTTTGCACTTTTTTTCAGAGTTTTTAGGTCTGAAGAATACAGATAACTGTGCAATGGCAATTCTGTAGAAGATTCTTGTTCAATGCTCATCCACTCTGGGGGTGAGAATGTACAAAAGTAATATGTAGCTGACATTAGTTGGGCAGCCATGTGGTACCACCTAAGTTTGGGAAACTGGAGTCCTCCCCTCTTATAAGGCAGGTGTTGGAAACCCTGCCTGTCTGCCCCTCCTGAGTGGAGCAGCAGCCACACCTGTGCTGGCTGGAGAGTCAGCACAGGTGTGATAATTGCTGCTCTATTAGAGGGAGCAGAGCACTGAGCTCTGCTTCACTAACAGACTATGGACAATGATGACCTGTTTGCTGCTGAAGTGTGTCAGAATGTGAGTTTTGTTCAATTTGATAACCTTTTTTGCATCTTTGTTGACTTCAGATTAATTTAACCTTCAATGAAATAATGAAATATGTTAAACTTAATGAAGAATGTTTTATTTGCCATGTATGCTAATTTTTGTTCTTATTTCCTGGTTTATACTCCAGAAACACCACTTTGCAGCATACCATACCAACCTGTCAAATAAACCCTTTAAACTGGATCCTGCTGTCTCCTGCAAGCTCATTTCTCACCTCAACTCATGCTCAGTTTGATCTCAGCCCTTAAGCTAATCCAACAAATGGTCCTTCGATCCTGATATATAACTGAAAGGAAATGAGTGAGCAAAACCCAATCCAAGCCCCTTCAGAAGGCTCTGAGGAGTGTGTGTCTGGTCTTCATCCTCAAGCTGGAGCTTCCCTCAGAAACAAAGGAGCCAGACCAAAAACCACCATGTCGGGGCCGTGGGAGAGCCCGGATGAGACAAGCCCCTACCTATTTAGAGGATTATGTGACAGACTGTATGCACAAGCCTCCTCAATTGCACATGGGAGGAGAGGAACCGGAGAGGAAGAGTACAAGAGATAGCTTCTCAACCAGCTCATCTGGCCACAGCCAAGGCTCTTCTCAGTCACTAAAGGAGAGCCTGGACCCAGTGAAGCAGGCTAAACTGGAAGAAAGACTCAAGAGAATGGAATTGGAGGAGTTTCATAAGCAACAAGCAGAGGAGGAACAAGCTGAGACTTATTACAAGATGACTAGGCCAGGGAGGCAAGCCGATCACGAGAGGCTTTAACAAGACTGTCCAGGTCAAGAGCACTTCGGCAACTAGAGAGGGAATATGCAGAAGTAAAAATGATATCATCTCTGCTTCAAGAGGGGACAACTGATGTTGAGGGTCAAGGAGAGAACAGAGAACCAGACCCTCCACCACAGGCCTTACCACTGCCACTTCAGCCACAAAGCATCACCTCAGCGCCTCCTGTCCTACAAACCTCATACCCCACAATGCAACAAATTCCCAGCGTGCACCGGTTGCCCTCATCTTCTCCTCAGCCTACACACTTCCCTCCTCAGCAGCCATCTCAGTCTACTCATGGTGTAGCATACTACCCACCTGATGCAACTGGACCCCAGTCAGCCTCATACCCAGCCCAGAGCCAATCATTCCTGCAGCTGACCAGCAATCTAGCCTCTTCCTCCCAGCAGGCCATAACTCAGTCACCAAACATTAGCAGCTGAAGCCCAGTATACTCCTCCACTGGATCAACACCATAATCCACCTCAACAGCCTTGGTCTCAACCCAATTTTAATGAGCTTCTGGTTGCAGATTCCTTTGGCATACCCAAATCTTGACTGCCATACTTCGAGTCTGGGAAAGAGAGCGACTTCCTCCTGCTGAAAATGGCCTTTAAAAATCTTTTCAGCAATCAGGTACATCTCTCCGAGACATATAAATATCAGCTCCTCCTCGACCACCTCAAGCACCTGAGTGCATATAAGCTAGCCAGAGCTTACATCTTTGACCAACATCCATACTCTTTGGCGATGAGGGATTTTGAAGCTAAGTATAGACAGCCACGCCAGCTGATTCAGAGCGAGATCAGCAGCATCCTCAATGCCCCTGCAATAAGGCCTGGGGACCACAATGCCTTTGAGGAATTTGCACTTTCAGTTCATGCTCTCATTGGCTTGTTGAGATCACTGGAAGGAGATAACAGATCAGAAATAAGGTATGGATCACATGTGGACAGGCTGCTGAGCAAACTCCCTGCTAACTACCGAGACAGTTTTGTTGAATACTGCCTGCAAAGGGGAATTATTCAGGATGGAGTGGAGCATGGCTACACCCTTCAAGACCTTTCAACCCGGCTGCAAATAAAGGCCCATGCAAAGCGTATTGCAAACTGAGCAGCTGTTTTAAATGCACCTGACAGAGCAGGGAAGGAGATGGAGAGGATGAGGATTTTAGAGCCTCGAAAGAGCAATCCCAAACAGGTAACCATGTACCTCACCAATGCTCAGGAGAAAAATGTCCCCTCAGTGTCACAGCCCACCTCCAACCAATCTCTGACTCAAAAGAAGCCCAAGTTCTTTCCATTCTGCCCTTTCTGCAACAACAAAGAACACTTCCTCAACAGCTGTCCACAATTTACCCAATTAACAACCACCCAGAAAACACAGTGGATAACTGACAACAAGCACTGCTGGAAATGTTGCAGGACCCATGCCCCTGAAGCCTGTACTCTCCAGAAACCCTGCACAGTCTGTAAAGAAGTACATCTTACCATTCTGCATGACATCATTCCAGCAGTTAAGAGCATCAACACTCCTGTCAGATTTGTCAAAGATGGCGCGCCTCTCCTGACATACCCAAAATGGCAGACTTACCACCTGCTCGACTCTGACTCCTTAAACCACCATTCTGGTCAACTGGGATTGATTGCTTTGGAACACTCACTGTAAAAATTGGCAGGCGGACAGAAAAACGTTGGGGCATAATCTTTAAATGCATGACAACCCGTTGTGTGCACTTGGATATCCTTGAGAATTTGGACACTGATGCCTTTCTCCTAGCCTTCTGTCGCTTCATCTCAAGGAGAGGTCAGCCCCATGAAGTCATAACAGATCGAGGGACTAACTTCAGGGAAGGTCACACAGAGCTGGAAAGAGCTTTCAACTCCATGACAACAAGTCTACAAGACAAACTTAAGAACCATCAGGTTGTCTTTCGCTTCAACCCTCCTTCTTCCCCTCACTTTGGTGGCATCTGGGAGTGAGAGATAAGGTCTGTGAAGGATGCTCTGCGAGTTGTTCTTGGAAGCCAATCAGTCCCTGAAGCAGTCCTGCAAACAGTCCTCAGAGGTGGAAGGCATCATGAACTCAAAGCCACTTGGATACGTTTCATCTGATGCTGCAGACCCTGACCCCGTCGCTCCTAACATGCTGCTGATGGGGCGGCGTGATGCCTCTTTCTCCCAGGTGATATACTGCAAAGAGGATCTCATCGGAAAGAGGCGTTGGCGCCAGAGTCAAATACTGACAGATAATTTCTGGGCCAGTTTTATCCGACACTACCTCCCAAATCTGCATGTACGCCCCAAATGGCATTCTGACACCTGCAATCTGGAATGTGGAAAAGTGGTATTGATTGTGGACCCTCAGCTTCCTCGTGCTCTCTGGCCCATCGGAAGAGTGGTCCAAACGAACCCTGGACCAGATGGTCGAGTAAGAACTGCGGAGGTCAAAGTAGAAACTCAGACTTACCTCAGGCCCGTTGCAAGGTTGATTCCACTGCCAGAGCTCAAGGAGGATGATGATGATGATGATGATGAATAGTTACCCTGGCGATGGGATCAAAACTTTCAAACAGTTTTGGGGGCGGCAATGTTGGAAACCCTGCCTCTCTGCCCCTCCTGAGTGGAGCAGCAGCCACACCTGTGCTGGCTGGAGAGTCAGCACAGGTGTGATGATTGCTGCTCTATTAGAGGGAGCAGAGCGCTGAGCTCTGCTTCACTAACAGACTATGGACAATGATGACCTGTTTGCTGCGGAAGTGCGTCAGAATGTGATTTTTGTTCAATTTGAGAACCTTTTTTGCATCTTTGTTGACTTCGGATTAATTTAACCTTAAATGAAATAATGAAATGTGTGAAACTTTATGAAGAATGTTTTATTTGCCATGAATGCTAATTTTTGTTATTTCTTGTTTTATACTCCAGAAACACCACTTTGCAGCATACCATACCAACCTGTCAAATAAACCCTTTAAACTGGATCCTGCTGTCTCCTGCAAGCTCATTTCTCACCTCATCTCATGCTCAGTTTGATCTCAGCCCTTAAACTAATCCAACAGCATGTAAAACTATTTGAAATGGAGTCTTGCTTTCCTGTTAATTCAAATGAATTGGCTGAACAGTTTGTTTGGTTTATTACAGAATAAAGTTGGTTATGGCAGCAGAATAGTTTGGAAATAGTCCAAAAATTTTGGCAAAACTGTCATTTTTATAATATTATTCTACCCATCATAGATATAGGTAAGTTTGACCAATGATTCAACTCTTCTCTAACCTGGTCCACAAGGGGATAATTTTATTCAGGAGCTGTGTAGTGTTCTCTGTCAGGTAGGGTCTGAACCTCCTGATGTTCTGAGAAAGAATTAGCAGGACTGAGCAACTGAGGCCATATGAACCTTAAAGGTTAACTGTTCATCAATCATGACACCCAGATTCAGTAAGATTTACTGGGCAAAAGTTTATTGGATCCAAGTCAGAAACTGATCTGTGGTTACAAATATGTATCGGCTGAAATAACAAGCAACTCAGATTAGACAGGATGGACAGATAGTATAACCTGTGTTTCAGGTGTGTGCATCTGTCTGGTGATGCTATTACCTGTGTTTAGGTGTGTGCATCTATCTGGTGATCGCATAACCTGTGTTTCAGGTGTGTGCATCTCTCTGGTGATGCTATTACCTGTGTTTAGGTGTGTGCATCTGTCTGGTGATCATATAACCTGTGTTTCAGGTGTGTGCAGCTGTCTGGTGATGGTCCTGTTTGCGGCAGAGGTGAAGCTCCATCATCTCTCTGATCGTATCTCAAACTTTAACGAGGTGAACTTCGTGTTTCAGGCGCACAGTGAGCAATATGACCGCTGCTTCTGGCTCTTCTTCCTCGTCTTCGTCCTTCATGTTATCAACCTACTGCTCATCCATCTAGCAGGTGTCCGCTTCCCCTTCCAGGACAGCAAGGAGGCAGAGCTAGGAGGGGGTGCCGTTGACCTGATGTACTGACACCTAAGGGGCCATGCAACTGTGGAGGAATCGACCATAGAACACACATTTCTTTCTGTTTGCAGAGAGCTATGAAGGACAAAATGAGACAGAATGAAATATATAAGAACATCTTTCAAAAAATGCTTAACTATGTCACCAATTAATTGAATGGGAATAAAATATATAAATGTGTCGTTAAATGTGTCATTTATTCATTTAAATACATTTTTTTTCATATTAAAACATATATAATCATTTCACTATTTAATCAATTATTTCATCGATCTGTGTTGCAGTGCTTCATGAATTTATTTTATCTGTCAAACTCACCTCTCAAAGTCAGTAGGCGGGACTTATGCTGATCTTGCCTTGAAGTCTTTCAAAACATAGCATCTACGGAGAATATGCTCAAACTTTCTTAGGACAGGGTTCCTACGCAATTATGGAAAAGTATGAAAATAAATTTGGTCAATTTCCAGGTATTAAAAAATATGGAAAATGAAAAATAATGTTTGGAAAAGTGTGTATGTTTCCAGACTATTACCATTTTTCTAAAATACTGTTTTCTAAAATAGAAAATTAGGTATTTACAAAAGTATTTAATCTTGTTTCATGCCAAGCCAGGCATGTGTGAGAGGAAACATCTTGAAAAACATACTGCCCCTGTGCTGCCCGACAATTCCCTCTGGGAAATTTTGAAAGGGCCACAGGGGCTATTGCTGGGGGTGTGGACATTATGATGAGATTCTCCAGAGATTTCAAATAATAGCATTGTGAAATAATTAAGAATTTTGATTTTGAGTCAGCTTTTTATCGTTGATCAAATTGCTCCAAAAGTGATTCAGTGATGCAGAGATATCAGAGCAGGCCCTGATTAGCAAATTGCAGCTCTTGGAGTCCAAGACAAATTTCTCTAAGGGGACAATAAAGTGCATTTCATCTTATCTTATTGTAGTGGTATGAGGCACCACGGCCTCAAGCTCGGCTCTGTTTGCCTCTTTCAAGCTCTTAGCCAATCATGGTGCAGACAGAGGGTATAAAAGTAGGCTGCATTCCTCCACCTGACCTCTCGCTTCCTGCCTCTTCGGCCCGCCCACTTCCGGGTCGTCGCCCATGCTGCTCACCTCGAAGCACAGGTAGGCTCATCTTGGCATGTGATTTGTGCACCCTCGTCTGGGTTTTATTTAATCTAAACCGTCGTTGATTGATAGATCTGGCATTTGGCGTCTGGGGACGAGACTGTCGGGCGCATTCACCGCTGTCATCCAAGCCTAGGTGAGTCATGGCGAGCTACCTTTGTTTGTTGTTGTTAGCCAGGTGCTAAGCCCCTTTCCGCTCCTTCCCTCCTAGTTGTCTGTCTCCTCGTGCAGCGCGTGGCTGTCTCCGCCTGCTGTGCAGGCTTTCTTCACCCCTCTCCCTCTTGGACGGGACTAAAACCCACGGCGGATGAACCGAACTGCAGACACTGAAAGCTAAGTACAAAAGGCCCTGTCTCATTATGGCTGGTTAGCCCCCGGCTACCTAGTTACTGCCGCTGTGCTGCTGCTTCGCTACCGCTTTGCTGCAGTTATTAAACGCCTCCGTTGCTTCCGCTGTTTGCCGGCCTGCTTCCCGGTGCGGTCGGCTGCCTCACGCCGACTCCCCTTTGTTGACTTTGTCCCCCAGCAGCCGTGCGAGGTGCAGAGCGAGTGTGTTACCCGGGTGGACGCGACTGCGAGTCCCCGGTTCGGACTGTGGGTGAGGATGTGTGTTTGACTTTTTAAAGGCACTCTGTGAAGGTCGCTCATTCATTTCGTTTTGTTCTTTTTGGGTAATTTCTTGGTTTGGTTATTTTATTTATTTGTTTTGTTTAAGTGATTTGTTTATTTTTGGAAATGTACTTATGATACTTTAATGGGTAATGTTTTAGTTTGGGTTCCTTTTTGGTAGTGGTTTAAATGAATTAACTTTTGGTTTCCTGAGTTTATCTCTGGCCAAAGAGTCGTTAATGTTTCCTTTGTTTGATTTCTGATTCATTTTGAACATTATTACCCAGTTAAATTGATTAGTTATTGATTTGGTTATGTTTTGGTGTGTTTTCTTTATGAGCCCCTTTCCCTAATTGTGTTTCTTTTCCCCCTACAGAGCTGACGGCCAACGGTGGTGGGGGTGGTCCTCCAAGGTGGTGGTGATCCCTGAGTGTGTGCATTTTATTTGACTCCCCGTTTGAAGATTTATTTGTGTGCACCTTATGTTTGCTGTGAGTGGGGTGTTCTCTTTTCTTTGGACGTCACCAGTTTTGACCCCTCCTCTAGCCCGTACGCCTCAGCCTGTATCCCCGTTTCAGTTGGGCTCCGTTATTATCATATTTTGCATCTTATTAACTGTCGACCTTTTATTAATAAATTTTGTACGTTATTATTGATTCTCGTTTCCTGCTTCCCTGGTTGAACGAACCTGAGTGCCTCAGAAAACTAGGTGGTAATTGACCTTTAGATACGGGTCCTTGGGCCCTCTCCCAAGGTGGCGTTGTTGGACAAACAAAGTTCGGTTGGTATCCAAACTGGTAAAATATATCTCCTGCCGCCACATTATTATAATTGATCTCAGCTGTGGGCCTGGCCTGAGGCTCACAGGTTGTCACGGCAACTTGAGCTGGTTGCCCATGACAATAGACGCAGGCTGAGGCAGTCAAAACGAAAAAAGAGCACTTTTTTTTTTTGCCTCAGCGCTGGTCTTATATTGGGGCTTATTCTGGAGAAATAGTAGATCGTATCAGGAAAAAAAAGCAGACTGTGGTCATGGTAAAATTAATTATTATTATAAATTATTGAATGCTTTGATATGATTTCAATGTTTCTACAGTGAAGAGTTTGTACATACTAGCAAGTTATAAACAGGAGTCCCTTTTGCTTCTCAGATCAGATGGATATCTGTACGGCTTTAGTGAACATTTTATTGCGGGACAGGTATATGCAACCAACACTTGTAAGAACACTAACAGCCATGCCGCCCTTCTCTTAATATGAGGTAGCCATTGCACTACGATCCATCAATCCTAGGAAATCGCAGGGAGCAGATAATCTGGACCCATATTTCCTAAAGCTTTCATCTCTATTATCTCTGATCAAATTACCCATACTTTCAATCTATTGGTGTCTTTTGGTGTGACCCCTCTGTATTAGAGTGGAGATACAAGAAACCACTACACTACATACACACCAACAATATATGACATGCAAAACAACGTCAATTTATGTCAAGGGAATAGGTTTGATTTTGACATTGGTGGGGACACAAAATTGTCCTCCTGACATCCTTCAAATCCTATACCACACACGCACACCTGCCTGCACGCACACAAACTGACACCGTAGAATGCACCCCCTGACGGAAGCGCGGTTGAAAGTACATTACAAGGTGAAATAATCCAAGTTTTCCTTACCATTGGATGGATTCAAAAGCGTATGCCAGTAATTATTAGTCGAAAACAATAGCCCTCTGATTGGGAATATTTTCTGTCCCGAAAACATAATGTTCTCTACCGTGACAGCTTACTGTACACCTCTGTGTGCATTTTTGAGACATAAAAACAAAAGTCTGCAGCTCCATTTGACGTGTTGTCATGATCCAATATTTGTGTTTTTTTAAAATATGAGATCATGTTCTTCCACTTTAAGAAGCTAATGAGTGGATTGGAGGCAGGGGGTGCATTCTACGGCAGGGGTGCATTCTACGGCATAACACCTGTCCAACTAGCAGGTCACTTTAACAGGCAGATGTAGTGACAGCTGGGAAAGCCAATCACATGTACGTAAGCGTGAAACCGGCAACCAATCGAAGAGTGACATTTAGGTTAGAGGTGGGACTTCTAGCAGAGATTGACCGTTAACCCTTTGTGTGCCATAATCAGTAATCAAACACTACGGACAGCGGTTGTATTGATAGGGACTACGCTGTAGCAGCTGATTATTGGTAGGGACATGTCCCTAGCGTCCCTACCCAATTCTACGCCCTTGACTTGTATGACAACACAAACAAGTGTGTTTACAGCTGTGGAAAAAAAAATGTGTGTAGAGTGTAATTTGTAATTTGCAAAGATTTTTCCAGTTTTTTGTGACTTACATTGCGAAAAAATACTTTTACAATAGGGAAAAGTAATACCACACTGATCCTGATTAAACCATACATTTTGATATATAATTGTCCAACAAACTTTCAAGCTGTATGGCTAGTAGCAAATCAACATTTGTCCAGTAGAGGAATAAGAAAAAATCCACAATGTAACAATAGAGCCTTGGGGGGTCTCCATCTGGCCCTAACAAAATATGTAAAATTTGATACACTGAAATATTTACTCAGAAAAAAAGGGAAGAAGATTAGGGTATAGAAAAGTACATAATTTTAATATTCCAAATGTCAGGAGTTGGTCATAAATATTTTAGACATTGCAAAGTGTGTGGAAATCTTCATCTCCAGCTCTGAGTCTGCATCAGTGGTCGCAAAGGTAGATGCTAGTGAGTGTAAGTACGTGCCTGTGGGCCTATCTCTCTTTCTTTCCCATTGCAGATTATTGTGTGTGTGTGTGTGTCAGGCAGGCAGGCATGGATGCATATCTCTGATGCATTTTGAGTTCGTATTATGCTCTGTTCATTGAGTCTGTTCCATCTAAATAAATAGGGCATTTGCATTTACAGTGAGGCTTTGCAGTGTTGTTTTTGATTATACTCACACTGGGGTGGCGTGAGATTTTATTGAAAGGTGCAATGATGGAAAAAAGTTTGAGAAACGCTAACCTAGAGCATGTAGTTTGTAAAGCAAAGGAATTAAGTGAAATTATTAAGTTATTTCCGCACTTTTCAACCAAGATATTGACCGAAGAGTGGCTGCATCAATCCATTATCTTGAGTCGATCTGTCTTGACTTGATGTGCCGAGTAACCAGTCAGGTGTTAGGGTCCAACCACTGACATTAATGGGTGAGTTTGACAGATAAAATACATTCATAAAGCACTGCAACCTGGGTCCATGAAGTCATTGATTAAATAGTGGAATATTTTTTTATGTTTTAACATTGAATGAACTCATATTTTGATAAATCAATGATACATTTAATGACACATTTATTTATTTAATTCCCATTTCAATTAATTAGTGACACATTTGATGACACATTTATTTATTTAATTGCATTTTTATTAATTACTGACACATTTAATGACACACTAATTTATTCCATTCCCATTTTAATTAATTACTGACACGTTTGATGACATATTTATTTATTATTCTGAAAGTTTTCTTTGTTTAAATCTGACCAATAAAGAACTTTTATTTAATGTGACAGAAATCAAAAAGATCAAAGTCTGATCAGTTAGTATGTGCAGTTACATAATGTCTGGATTATATTTATACCGATCAGTGTCAGTACCTACTGAAAGTACTGTCCATGTAATTTTAAGTATTTGTATGTCCTTATATTATTTTCATATCAATAACCAGTGGCTCTATGTATTTAATTATCCTTTTATTTATAATCAGTATCTGAGCGTATGTAATCATCCTTGTAATCAATGTCTGTATGTATTGAATTATCCTTATAATCACTGTATCATTGTGTTTTGATTTCTCCTTATCAGTCTCTGTATGTATTGAATTATATACACCCGAGGGCTAATGAAAAAAACGCCTGTGAGCTTATCCATCAAGTCACGCAGAAGCTCCAATCAATCTCCCCAGATGCTCCTCATCTCATCCTCGGTGACATGAACCACTGTACTCTGAAAACCACGCTCAGAGACTTCCAACAGTACATCACGTGCCCCACCAGACACGACAAAACTCTCAACCTCTGTTATTGTAACATCAAAGGAGTGTACAAGTCCATCCCACTTCCACCTTTGGGCTCCTCTGATCACAACTGCATCCACCTGATCCCTGTCTACCGCACTGTGTTGCAGAGAGGTAAAGTGCAGAACCTCAGAGTGAAAGTCTGGGATGACGATTCCTGCCTCACTCTGCAGGGCTGCCTTAATGCTACAGACCGGGACATGTTTAAGGAATCCTCTGCTGACATAAATGAATTAACTGATGTGGTGAGCAGCTGGATTTCATACTGTGAAAACACTGTATTACCAGAAAAAATTGTGAAAAGTTATCCAAACAATAAGCTGTGGGTTTTAAAGTCACTTAAAGAGCTCCTGTATAGGAAGAAAAAAGCCTTCAGAGAAGGGAACAAAGTCACTCTGTGTAACCTTCAAAAAGAAATTAAAAGTGAGATTAGGGCTTGCAAAAAGCGCTATAAAGAGAAAATTGAGTTCCAGCTAAAAACTAACAAACTAGGCTCTGCCTGGGACAGTATGAGAATGATCACTGGGACCAAAGAATGTCGCAGGAAGAAAGTTCAGCTCAATGGCTTTAATTCTGACTGAGCTGGCTCAGAGCCTGAATGACTTTTATGTTAGATTTGATACATGTGATTTTAGTGACAAACACACAGAATTAAAGAATCGCCTCATGTCTGGTCTCCCTCAGTACTCCTTTTTTAACGAGGTCGATGTCATCAATTGTTTTAAGAAATGTAAACCGAGAAAAAGCCCTGGCCCTGATCATATCGGTGGTCGCCTGTTAAAAACTTGCGCTGAGCAGCTTGGCCCTATTTTTAATTTTATTTTTAATATGTCTCTTTACCAGCAGAAGGTGCCATCTTCTTGGAAGCAGTCTGTGGTGGTTCCTGTTGCCAAAACAAACAACCCCACCACACTCAATGATTTCCGGCCGGTGGCTTTAACCTCCATGGTGATGAAACAATTCGAAAAGCTAGTCAAGTCAGAAATTTTAAGGAAAACTGAACATCTACTGGACCCTCTGCAATTCGCTTACAGAGCCAACAGAGGTGTACAGGATGCCACAGCTACCTTATTAAATCTTGTATATAAGCACCTTGAAGGTAGTAAGAACCATGCTAGACTGCTCTTCGTTGACTTCTCCTCAGCTTTTAATACGATACAGCCTCATGTTTTAGCCGACAAACTTTTTTATTCCTTTGGTCTGGATGCGTGTCTCATAGGCTGGATTCTTGATTTTCTCACAAAAAGAACTCAACAAGTACGTGTGAATGGTACATTGTCCAGCCTACTAACATCCTCCACTGGCTCTCCTCAAGGTTGTGTCTTATCTGCCCTTTTATACATTCTGTACACAAATGATTGTTTCAGCTGTCATACAGACAGATTCATCATCAAGAACGCTGATGATTCGGTCATCGTCAGCCTGCTTGGCAACGATGAAGTCAGTCATGAACCGGTTCTTGATGATTTTATATCCTGGTGCGCGGAAGCCTTCTTACAAATTAACGTATCTAAAACCCAGGAGATTTGTATTGATTTTAGACGTTCATCTCCAGCTTCTATGTGCAGTGTCATCAACAATCAACCAGTTAAGCTGGTAACCAATTACAAATACCTTGGCACTACGATCGATAATATGCTAAAATTCGACATGAACTGTGAGATGCTTTGTAAAAGGGCCAGCAACACCTCTTCTGTCTGAGGAAGCTTGCCAAATTCCAGGTAGACAAGAGCCTGATGAAAATGTTTTATAGTGCGTTCATTGAATCTGTCATTTCTTTTTGTGTTATCTGTTGGTACGGTAACCTTGCTATCAAGAACAAGAACTCCCTTGGGAGTATCGTTCGTGTTGCCTCTAAAGTAGCTGGGGTGAAATTTAGAAGTCTGGATGTGATCTTTAAAGAGCAGGTGCTCAAGAAAGCAAAATCCATCCGAACAGATAACACTCATCCTCTCCACCACAAATACAAGTTTCTTCCTTCTGGTCTCCGACTAGCTGTTCCCCCAGCTTCTAAAAACAGATACAAATTCTCCTTCGTGCCGCTCTCCATCGGGGCTCTAAACGCAGCGGAGAGGAGGAGGTAACCAGATTTCTGTTGCTCCACCAGCGGCCTGTTTTCCTGTGTTTTTACGCCCTGTGGGCTGTGCTTTGTTTAAGGACCAGTGGTATGGTTTTCCTTGTTTCTTCTCCTTTTTCTTTCCTTTTTTGCCCTTGCGGGCTGTGCACTTTAAATTATCCGACCCAATCTGCTGCTCACTTATACACCTTCATGTATTTATATTTGTGTGTTTTTTAACTTGATGTATGATTGTCTGCTGCAAAACAAATTGTCCTCCAAGGGACAGATCAATAAAGTGAAGTGAAGTGAAGTGAAGTATCCTTATAATCATTGTATGTGTGTTTTGAATTCTCTTTATATGATTAGTGTCTGTGTATTTAATTATCCTACTAATTAGTGTCTGTATGTTTTTAATTAGGGCCCCAGCCAACACTGCCAGCAGCAGGCGAGAGCCCTCCTCCAAAGCAAACCACTTACAGTTTTGATGTTATTTCTCATACAGGCTTTAGGAGAGACTTTGAGGAAGACCATATCAAAAAATCACGTGTGTAGGTCAAAGGGCATGGCTGTCTTTTCACTCTGATGTTTTTACACCAGAATTGAGTCACAACACTCAAAAGCAATTACAAGCCATCATAAAGATCTTGGCTGCCATAGACAGTATTGCACAGTGGGTGGCGGACTGTGCCACAGGATGATGGACTGTTTGAGAAGCGGTGCACAGGGGTGGCAGTGTGACACTGCTCAGACACGTGGGTGCTCTGCGGGGCGTGGTTATTATAGTACAGCGGATAAATGAGAGTATTATGGCTTTGATAAAACAAGCATTAAGTTTGGTCTGCAGGTAGACTATGCCTCTGTGGTGAATTTCAGCTGTAGGGACATCTCAGATTTGACCTGTGGGGGGTCAAATCTGGGGGTTTGAATGCTTTTCCTTTTTATAATAAATTAAAATGAGTAATTTTACTGTCCACATAACAGCTGAAATGGCAAATAATTACTCCTTCCAGCTGAAAAATGAGATTTATTCAATTTTTAAGTCATGTTATGATTTTGAAATCAGGACCACTTCGTCCTGTGTTTCAAAGAATTATTTCTTCTCTTTTGTAGGTTTCAGATGTACACACAATAGCTTGTTATAGTCTAATTACAAGTCAATCAGATGGAAATTGTGTCCAAGCAGTAATTAACTGTTCTCTGTGAGCCAGGTCACTCAGAGCACTGTCCCCCGCACTGACAAAGTGCTGTACACTGAGGAGCTGCCTACTGGCATTTGCAGCGTTCTCTGCAGGTGTTCTTTTAGCCATGTGGTGGAAGTTTTTCTTCCGTTGCTGCTGGTGCAGAATGAAATAGAGACTTCTGCCGGCCGACAAGGTTTTATTTTCTTTGCAAAGAAAAGGTCAATCTGCATCCGAGCTGTCAGAATCAAGAAAGACCAAGAACATGGGGAAACATGAGCATTTATGCCTGAGGACCGCCCTTCAGAGGGCAAGTAATGGGCCTTTGATGTTGGCATCTTTTGTTTTCTGTGGGGACCGTCACTGCAGGAGTATCCTGCAGGATGTTGTATCTTGTTGGGAAATTAGGGAAGTCTAGACATCATAATTAACTGATATGTTGGTAGGAAAGTCTGTTGTGGGGGGCACCTCAAGCAGTTCTAACAAAGATATTAAAATCATAATTACAATTCTCCCTTTTGATTATTAATTAATCACTAACAAAAACAAACTTAAAAGTTAAAATAAAGTAAAATAGAATAAAAAGGAAAAGAGAGAGGAAAAAAAAAAATTAAAAACCTATTACAACTTAATTGTTTGACACATTAATTTATGTAGATTTAAAATGTATCTTCATGGCAGTTGTTTAGAGAAGAACAGGGACAAGAAGAGAAGTAAAAAGATCCCTCCTTTCTCAGCTAGTATGATGTCGAGAGCAAGTCTGTGTTGGATAACTGCTGTTCTAATTGCAAACATTTTAGTGTTCATTAAGGATAATTATATCAGCGCGTAAGACTGAAAACCCTGCTCGGCTGTTTCAGCAGGGAAAGAATCTTACGGCCCCGCGCCCTGGCGACCATCCATTTCCTGGATGCGCTGACATAATTTCATTTGCATAGAAGAAGTGTCAACTTCTGATAATACCATTACATTACATTGTAGTAACCTGCGACAAACCCCTTGATTAGTATGTGATTAACCCCTTGATTAATGTATGATTAGTGTAGTCCTTTAACTCTGCGAATGAAACATGTACAGTTCGATATCTCAGCTCATTGAATATGTTATTTGTGTTGCTCAAAGTCCATTGCTCATCTTCGTCTCCGTCCAAGTTCAGGAACCGTTCAGGTCCCTCAGTCCCTCCTTGATTAATCACACACTGTGCCAGCTGTTTTGGTGGCATTTCCTGTAGTTCATGGGCCAGTGTCAGGTCCACCATAAGTCCCATCTTCTCCGTCAGCTTCCAACAATGTCTCCAAAGGATGTGTACGATGCGACATGTGAGAAAGGAAATCAGAATTAGGGCTATCGCAGCACTCATGGCTGGGCCAAAACGGCTCTCATTCATCTAAAATTTGGACCACCCAGTCCATTAACAGGCCCCCCTTACCAGCATTCTCCCGCATTTCCACTTTAAACTTTTCTTTACCCTTCATAGCTTTAGAAAAACCTCTCCCAGGGGCTTGTTCTGTTAGAAATGTACTGCAACAGTACTTTCAAAACTTTTAAGACACATCTTTTCTCTTCAAATACCCAATTTAATGCTTGTCTGTATCGACATGTTACTGGACTTGTTACATGTAAATATCCTTTAATCTACAATCTCATGGTCGTGGGGCAGCAGGAGCAGGCCAACCTAGATTATTTGTAGCTTCTTACTAAAAGATAATTACTCTATATTTCTTAACCTAAATGTATGAAGACATTCCCCTACAAGAGCAGCTTCAGTTTGATCTGCCAAGGAAAGAACAGACCAGGCTACTCCATTAATTTTGTTTACGGCTGCAGCCGTTCCACCCCCTAGAAATAGAGACCATCCGATATTGGCATTGGGAGCAGTCCAGGGGTCAGGTGATGTATGGTGTAGTCTGGTGGGCTAATCAGCGTCGGTTGAATTCACGGAGTTAATTCCTCATGTCGTCCTCCTTTGCGTCTGTTCATCTGTACGTCGTTTGTCCTCACGCCAGTCATCCTCACGTCATCGAGGTTGGTGGTTTGGATCTTGTGTTGACTTCAGGACCTTCCTGCAGTGGCTGGCGTGAACCCGCGTTGCTCTCTCAGCCATCTTCACAGCGGTATGTGTCGTCAGAAGCGCCTGGAATGGACCTTGCTACCATTTGGAGTGCCAGTGCTTCCTTCTTAAGTCCTTTATCATCACCCAGTCGCCAGGCTGGAAGTCGTGGAGGGATGTGGAAGCTGGTGGTGGAAGGGCTGATTTCACCTGCTGGGAGATTTGAGAGAGAGTACAGGATAAGTTCTTGCAATATTGTAGCATGTCATCCTCACATAGGCCAGTGGAGGGGAGTGGCCTGGTTACAGGCTCCACTCCCAGGGATGGGGTCTGCCAAAAAGAATTTCAACAGGACTCATGTTTACTCTGGATCTTTTCCTGATTATCAAATGCATTAGAACAATCGGCAGAGCTTTTGTCCATGGCAGTCCAGTTTCGTCTCAACTGTTGGCCAATTTTGATTTCAGAGTGCTATTCTCTCATTCGACAGAACCCTCACTGGCAGGGTGATATGCACAATGTTGTCTGAGGTCAATGGCAAGAAATTCACTGATTTGGGTTATTGCAGAATTTGCAAAGTGAGAGCCATTATCGCTGCTTAGTTAAGTTGGTATTCCCCATCTGGGAAAGATTTCTGTTAACAGAGCCTTTGCTACCACTAGGAGACAGCTCTATGAAATCCATCATGAAGTGTTCAAATGGTCTGTCTGGTGGAGGGTGGCGTGTGTGTTTGTTTTAGTTTTACCTGCGTTATGCGTTGCACAACCTATACACGATTGACAAAACTTCTGCGCGTGAACTGAATGTCAACCCAACCCATGTGTCAATTTTGCAAAGTGAGGAAAGAAGTGTTTAGGTACGCAAGGTTTATTATCGGGTCCTCGCCATACTGCATCCTTTTGTGTGGCACCGCAGCGTTTCCACAGCGTCTTTTCCTGAGGTGTGGAGAAAGATTGCATTGCTGTGATAGAGGTGGGAACAGTGACAGGAATGGATACCAATAAAGGATCAGTGATGGGTGGCTGGAGTGCGGCTTGTTTTGCAGCGGCATCAGCTCTAGCATTTCCTAGAGAGACAGGGTCTGAGTTGTTAGTGTAAGTAAGACATTTACAAACAGCAATTGATTGCGGGAGCAAAAGTTAGTGACAACAGCAAAGCCGACTCTGTTGCGACCAGTTTGTGGGTTGTGTGAGGCAGATCCATCTACAAAAATGGCCCAATTCAGGATTTGTTAAAGGTGTTTCTTGTAGGTCTTGTCTTGGGGAGCAAACCTGTTGGAGGACAGAAACACAGCTATGTTGTTCTCCATCGTCTGGTGTGGGGAGGAGAGTGGCAGGGTTTAAAACATTGCATCTTTTAACAGTGATGTTAGACATTTCTAGAAGGACTGTGTTGTATCGTAGCCATCATGCTGTGGAGAGATAACAAGTTTTTTGTTTAAGTAAAATCATAGACACAGCATGTGTCAGTAACATCAGAATAGCCTACAATATCTCTGGAGGCCATAACTGCCTTCTCAGCCGCAGCCACAGCTCTCAGGCATCTTGGGAGGCCTGCAGCCACAGGATCCAGTTTTGAGGAAAAATAAGCTACAGGGCATAGCTTGTTCCCGTGATCCTGCAACAAAACAGAAGTCATGCATTCATCTTTTCATCTACTGTTTGAGTAAACGGTCTGGTAGGGTCTGGCAGGCCCAAAGTTGGTGTGGTCTGTGGGGCAAGTTTTAGTTTGGTGAAAGACTGTTCCGCTTCAAGAGTCCATGCGATCTTATGTTGTGCTTGTAAACCCTTTCCATGAATAAGGGAAGCAAGTGGGGCTTCAAGAATGGCATAGTTTGAAATGAATTGTCAGCAATAAGAGCACATGCCAAGAAAAGACATCATCTGTTTTTTGTAACAGGTTTTGGAAGATTCTGAATTGCATCAACTCTTTTTGGTGAGAGAGTTTTCCCTTCAGAAGTGATGACAAGACCTAGGAAGATGACCTTTTCCTGAACAAATTGGAGTTTGGACAAGCTGGCTTTGTGACCTGTTTTAGCCAGATGCTTCAAGAGTTTGACTGTGTTGGTTTCACACTGTTCTTTGGTTGAGCTGCAGATCATGAGGTCATCAACATACTGTAACAAAGCAGTGCCTGAAGAGAGAACAAGAGATTCAAGACTTCGTCTGAGAGCCTCATTGTAAATGGTGAAACTTTCACAATAGCCCTGGCACAGACGTGTGAACGTGTAGCCCTGCCCATTGAAGTTGAAAGCAAACCAGAATTGGCTCTCTGGGTGAACTGGAACACTAAAGAAAGCAATAGAAAGGTCGACCACCGAAAAGAACTTTGCATCATTTTGGGACCTGAGACAAGATGATGTAAGGGTTTGGAACATTTGGGGCTCTGGGTTGGACTGCTGCATCTACTGCTTGCAGATCCTGAACAAAACGCCATTCTGTAGGTTGATCTTTGTCTCTGATTTTCTTAACAGGGAACAAAGGTGTGTGCACTGGAGAGTCGTTACAGGGAACAATTACTCCTGCTGCTCTCGGGGAGTCAAAGACTGGTGTTATGCCATCAATGGCTTCTTGTTTAAGTGGATATTGAGCCTTGCAAGGTCTGAAATCTGATTTTGGAGTAATGAAAACAGGTTCACAATCTTTGATGAGGCCAACATCATACTTATCAACAACCCACAGTGTCTTAGGGACTTGTTGCAGGGCTGTGATAGGTGCAGTTTGTTCTGTGGACAAACAAGAAAAGGTTATAGAAGTGCTTTCAGGTACCAGCTGGATTATTCTCTGAGTGTGCACAACAGATGTTAAAATTTTTGAGAAGCACTGCAGTGTCGGTGAAAAAAACAAACAAACGTTGGATCGATCAGATATCTAACGCCAATCGGCTGCGCGCTTACATGATATTATAAATAGACCCAAATCTTCCCAGTCATTTGATGTGTGTTTTGCGAGTAGGGTGTGTGGGACCGAATGGTCCATGGTGTACATGTCACTTTGAGCTGGTGTGAGGGAGACTGATATAGCACATTTGTGTCGTTTCCAATAAATGTGTGTCAGTGTGAGTTTGTCAAACCTCGTCTTTAACCAACTTTCCTCGTATGGCTCATCAGGTCCGGTTGACACGTGAGAGGTGAATGCAGATCCTCTGGTGCCATAAAATCTGTTGCAGCTGTGGAAATTGTTTCCCTAGCTGAGAGAAACTCAGAAAAGGTTGTTGATGGTTGCAATTTCCATTGATATGCATATGTTAGGTTCGGGGTGTGGTAGACAAAGGAGTGTGAAAAGTTTGGTGGCAGATCAGGTAGTCTGCAAACTTTGACACCTTCTGGGGTTGAGATTAGACAAAGGCCCAATTTGCACATCAAGTCTCTGCCCATCAGGTTAATAGGGCAGACTTCAGAGAGCAAAAATGCGTGTTTGAAGCTTGAACCTGACCCATCCACATATTTGAGTGGGACAGTAATGTTCTCTTTAATTGTTTGACCTGATGAACCAATAGAGTACACATGACTTCTACTTAGATAAGGTTATTTTTTTAGGGAATTCAGAAGTTTTTATCATGAAATGTGTTGCTCCTGAGTCGACTAAGAATACAATGTGTTGTTCTGTGATGATCAGCGTGTGTTCTGGAAACTTCTTAAACTGATCAGATGTGTACTGAACATATGTTAGAACAATCACATGTGTATTGTCTGAGCTCTCAATGGATTGTGAATTGATGTGGTCGGCATGTATGTGTGAGTGTGGTGCAGTACCTTCTTCCCTCTTTACAAGTTGGTTTGGCTCGTCAGCAGTATTCCATTCCTCTCCGACAACCCCCAACCATTGTCAGTCCGATTTGTCTATTGCATCTGATGAGGTGTTTTTGGGACAATCACGTCTCCAATGTCCATGTTGGCCCTTCAAGGTTTTCTCTCCCAGTTTTTGTGATGGCCATGTCCTCTTCCTCTGTGGACATTAGATTTGTCTTCCCAGGTGATATGTTTGCAGCGGAGATCAGCATTTGGGAATTCTCCAGCTATTCTTTGCCAGTCTGTGGGCTGTGGGTAAGTCTTTTCAGTTCATTCATGGTGGGTTTAAGTTCTTGGCAGAATGTGAGGAATTGTTCAGCAAAAAATTGTACCCGATGCCATGGGGTTGGGCAGATGTTGTGAAGCGACTGTGATGTCCTCAGAAGTCCATGGGTGAAAAACCAAAGTTGCGCCTTGTGGTCCAGATACTTCAACCATAGGCATGTTGAAGGCTGTGTCTGGATTGGATTGACGTAGTGTGTGTGCAATTGGAGAAGGGGGTTGGCTGTAGAGTCTTGTGTTGGACTAAGCATTTTAGGACGGGCTGTTTCTGAGCTTGCTTGTAGTTGCGGCATGATGGAGTCTGCTTCTCTTCTCTCGTTGGGTGTTGCAGAGTTGTATGGTGGTGGTGCTGAAGAATGGGAGGGTGGGTTGCCATCAAGGTCTGAATCCAGCTTCAGAGCCAACTGTGGATACAAAGAAGAAGAGATCTGTGAGTTTGGTGTTCTTTGTGTATGTGAATCTCGCTTCTCAATGGTTTCAACCTTTTCGCATGAAAAGGGAACTTGTTTTTGCATTAACTTTTTATTACGTATCTCTGCTTCTGTTTTCCACATCTTTAAACATTCTTTTTGACCTTCAATGAGTTCTAATTTTCTTACAGACACTTTGTTTTTCCTTCTCATTTTTCTATTTTTTTCTTTTGCCTTCAGTTTTTCTTCTAGTTTTTGCATTTTTTAAACTGAAGGGATCCCCCTGTTGGGAATCCATGGGGACCGTCACTCCACCCCCCTGGGGTGGTGGTGGGGATGTTTCACACTTGGAGTATCCTGCAGGATGTTGTATCTTGTTGGGAAATTAGGAAGTCTAGACGTCATAATTAACTGATATGTTGGTTCGAAAGTCTGTTGTGAGGGGCACCTCAAGCAGTTCTAACAAAGATATTAAAATTACAATTACAGCCACATCGCAAGAGTTCCCTGTAAGCCTCTGATGCTGAGATGTTGAAGCGATTGACTGATACTATGGCCAGGACTACCACGTCTATAAACTGTGCATATTGACACTTTTCTGTATCCCTGTTGTACGGAAAAGAGGAGTGAACAGTCTGATTAAGGGATGACATCTGTAGCTGTTTAATTGACTTCTCTCTGACTGCTGGGTGGTTGAAAAGATGGAGGTTATTTCTCTTGATGGGATCTGTGATAGGCACTGTCTGGTTCACAAGCCTCTCGTCAACATACATCCTTGAAAACTTTGGCCATTGTCACACCTTGAAACAGACAAAGGTTCTCAAAAAATCAACAAAAAAGTGTTAGGTGATTTTTAAATGGTCCTGAAAATGGTTTGGACACCGTGAGCATAACTTCATGGAAGGTGGGTGGGGTGTCTCCTGCAATAATCACTGTAATCTAGATCAGGTAATCAGGTAATCTGTGAACTAGATTAGGACAGGAGGGCCACAGTTTGTCAGGCTGGGGAACTGTGTTTCTGGGACATTAATGACCAGTACAGGGGCTCCACAAGGGACGGTCCTGGCTCCATTCCCGTTTACACTGTATACGTCAGACTTCAAATACAGCACTGAGTCCTGCCACATCCAGAAATACTCAGATGACACTGCTATTGTGGCATGTATAAGAAATGGAAAAGAAGCTGAATACAGAGATCTGATAAGAGCCCTCAGTGACTGGAGTCACAAAAACTGCCTCCTCCTCAACACCTCAAAGACAAAGGAGATGATTACAGACTTCCGTAGATCCAAACCCCCTCTTCAGCCAGTGAACACCTGTACAGTGGAAATTGAAGTGGTGTCATCATCTAAATATCTAGGTATACACCTGGATAATATGCTGGACTGGTCGAAGGATATAGACTCCATCTACAGAAAGGGGCAGAGCTGCCTCTTTAACCTGAGAAGATTGATCAATAGACATCTGTAGTAAGATGCTGCTGATGTTTTATCAGTCTGTGGTGTCTACAGTGTTCTGTTCTATGCTGCAGTCTGCTGGGGAGGAAGCATCAAACACAAAAATGCAAGACGTCTGAAAACTGGTGAAAAAGTTGGCTCTGTAGTTGGATTCAAGTTGGACTCACTGGAGGATGTGGTTCTATAAATAGTAGATGGCTTTTTGAGACATGACAAATGAGACTACAGACAATTGAATTTCCCTTCAGGGATAAATAAAGTTATTCTTATACTTATTTTTAATAAACCCTGTTTGATGGATTGGCTTCCCGCAGCTAAACACACATTAAATGAGGAATACTAAAATGTAGAACCTGACGCAACTAGGTATATCAAAGTAATGAGGGACTAGAAAAAAATGGGGTTGATTTACACCCCGTAGGTACAATGAAGGGTTAAAAATGTTAATTATTTTAATTATCTTGTGACTAATACCACACCTTTTGTACTCAAAACAATTGCATATGCCACTAGAGTAGATAAAACAAGAGGGAAAACATAAAAGAATGCATAGAGCCCCATTGTTATGGCAGATACAGAATTTGACAAGATATTCTGGAAGCCATTTTGTAAAATGGCTGCCACTCTGGTCATGGAATGAATTTGAAATGTCCCTATAGCTAAATATCTTCCTGTACCCCTGCTGAGCCTGAGTTTTTTTTTTTTTTTTTTTTGTCTTCTAATTTTTTTTGTTTGTTTGTTTGTTTTTTCTACTTGTTGTTTTTGTTGTTGTTTTTTGAAATATCTGCCTTAACTTTGACAGGATTTACTTCCTTTACATTGTTTATGTTTGTTTTATTTTGTTGGTATTGTTTTTTATATTCTATTTGTTTTGTTTGGCGTTTGTGTTTGTAAGGCTTGTAAGTTTTTTTTTCATGTGTTTTGTTTTGTTATTGCTTTTATTAAGCTTTAATTTTTGTTTAATTTTGATGTTTTCTGTGTGTTTTTACATAACACTGGTTTTGTGTTTGACAATTTTTAGAAATGTTTTTCTTTTAGTTTTTAGAATTAGTTTTACTGTTTTGTTTCATGTTTTTTTAAAACATTTTAAAACATAATTATTTTGCTCGTGTTAGACTTGTGACTTCTAACTTGATAAGGAGGAACCTGATGAGCCATAAGGCTCTCTTTGTGCTGTTGGACAGGTTTGCTACACATTTTAGTTAGACCAAGTGAACAGTGGTTGGCCTGTTCACGCTGGAGACAACTGGCCAATGATACTCAGTTGTGTTTAAGTCCAACTTCTGTCCTTCTTACTTATATCCAGAAATGGGCACTTCTGTCACTGCGAGTACAGCGCTGTATTACTTTTCATGTGACTTAAATAAATGTTCTATCTGAGAACTAAAGATTTCTCTGGTTGTCTTTGAGCAGTCAACTCAAGGAGTGATTCTTACACATGAATCCATGCACATTTCCTTTGTACATCCTGATCGACATGGAATTGAGCGCACAGTACCCAAACCCCTCCCTGTCCATGCCTCCATTTAAAAAGCAAATCATATTTAAATGAGCCCTGCACCTGAGCCCCCCCTCTCTGCATGATCAGAAAATAGAAAAAAAAATTAGACAGGAAAAAGGAAGAATTTCACAGAAACCAAACAGGAGGTGCTACTGAAGTGGAGGTGTGCAAAAATGTGCTCTTTGGCACGCTGTCATCTGGCATTAGCTGCAAATGCAAGAGGACCGATTGGGAGAATGTGCGTGAGGCTGTCAATGCTGTGGGGTCAGAGACGCACACACCAACAGAACTGAAAAGGAAGTGGTCCAACATCAAGGTGGATGTGAAGTGGAGGATGGATCCCCCTGGCCCTAAGTCTGGCCAAAAAAGGCAGGGGAACAGGAGAAGAGAGGCCTACCCCATTGAACAGAGAGTTGCTGCATTTGTGGGGGACACTGCTCTCTCAGGGGTGGTGGGAGCGTATGCGGGTGACTCTGATTACCCCCAAGCTTAATACTCATCTACAGTCATGTAGATACCCAATACCAACGGTGTATGAGCAATCCGTTAAAAGTTTGGGTAGGTGGTACAACGCTAGCCTAGGAGACAAAGAGCAAATCCAACGGCTAAAGCAGGACTTCACCAATGGGCTTGAAAACATCAGCAAGACCCAACTGCCAGGAAAGCTCAAGCTCTGGTGCCTGCAACATGGGCTTATGCATCGGATTATGTGGCCACTCACCAGATATGGGGTTCCAATAACATCTGTGGAGAAGATGGAATGAACCATGATCTCATATGTGAAGAAATGGCTTAGTGTCCCAAGGTGTCTGACCAACATCAGCCTCTGTGGCAAAGGAGTCCTGGAACTGCTCATCACAAGCCTCACAGAAGAGTACAAGTGTGCCAAAGTGAGACTCCAGATGACCCTAAAGGACTCCAAAGATCCGGCTGTCAGCACTACTGCACCACCTCTGGCAACTGGAAGAAAATGGACGACATCCAACGCATTGCAGAATGCGGTTTCAGCCTTGAGGCACAAGGACATCATGGGCCATGTCCAGTCAGGAAGAGGAGGACTTGGGCTGGCAGAAAGTAATCCAACCTGGCACAAGGCTTCCAAGGCAGAAAGGAGGAAAATGGTGGTTGAGGAGGTATGCCGCCAGGAGGAGGCTGTTAGAACCACACAGGCTGTTTCTCTTGCTAAGCAGGGGCAATGGATGAAATGGGAAGGTCTTGAAAGAAGAAAACTCAGCTGGAAGGAGCTCTGGGAGATGGAGGCAAACAACCTGAGTTTCATCATCAGGGCTACCTATGATGTACTGCCATCACCAAAAAATCTCCACCAGTGGTATGGCGAGGATCCAACCTGCGTCCTTTGCCAATCCCATGCGACTCTCAAACACATCCTGACTAGTTGTAAGACCAGCCTCACACAAGGACGTTACACCTGGAGGCTCAATCAGGTCTTGAGGTGTCTGGCAGAAGGGCTAGAGAACAAGAGAAATACAGTGAACTCCTTACCCAAGACAGCAACCAGCTCCACCATGGCAGCTTCATTTGTCCGAGAGGGTCAGAAAAAGCCGAACCATCCTCCCGCCGCACTCAAGCCCCGACAACTAGCCAAGGCCCGAGATTGGAAATTGGTAGCTGACATTGGGCAGCAACTAATATTCCCTCCTGAGATTGCATCCACTACCCTAAGACCAGAGGGGCCTGTTCTACGAAGCAGGATTACTGCTTAGCGAGGTAACTTCGAGGGTAAGTTCGGGGTTTCCTGTTCTACGACGGGGGTTCACTTCTTAGCGAGGCGAGTCTCCATGGCAACATACGCTGAACGGCTAACCTGCTCCGGGGCAGGTTAAGTTCCAGATTGAACTCACTGAGTATAAAAACCCTGCCCACTGACCAATGAGCTCTCGCGAAAAACGGCTTGTCCGTTCTTGGAGGATCCTATAGACCTCGGTCCGAGGAGGAGCACTCCGGTGCGCGAGAGTTTACAGGGACCGCACGGACCCACTTACTTTTCCGGATGACCTCCTTTATGAAAGGCTCATATGGCCTACATATCACACAAAAAATGTAAACACGATGGGAATGAACAAATGAATGAATTCATCTTGGAAATGAATGGGCATGAGCTGCATGGGCTGTGTGATCACAGACAACATCTCGGTACTATTTAGTAGCAGCGCACGCCCCTTATAATAACCCTCGTAAATACTGTTGTTCAGGACTGCTTACTTGTGCTTCCTACCCACTGTAATAACCGTTGTTCTAGCCCACATGCAACATTTTTGTTCTCATTCATGAAACGCTTAAATCGGGGACATTTTCGGGGACAGCTTTAGCCGGGGACAGATCATCCAATTCGGGGACTGTCACCTTAGTTAAATGCGCATGTTGAACAGTGCTTTTTCAGGGTAATAATGGCATCAAAGGTGCATTTTCTGCCAGCATTCACTCCGTGCTTTTGTGGCGGCGACTGTGTTGCTTTTGAGGTTTACGATTGCTTTGAATTCTTCATACTTTCTCATGATCGTCTCCTGCTCCTCGTTTGGAAAGTCTGCGGTCCTGTGGTCTCTCCTGCCTGCTCTGACGCTCCAGACTGATCCATGTTCGCGATTGGTCAGATGCGGCGGGCTCCGCCTTATATGTGTGCACGCGCTCATAGCAAAGCTGGATCCACTTATGAGGTTGATAACCAGCGTTGTAAAACCGCTTAGCGAGACCACTGGCTACCGCGCTAAGTTGAGCGAGGTAGCTCCAAGGCTACCTCGCCAAGTTGAATTTGCTTCGTAGAACAGGCCCCAGATCTGGTACTTTGGTCCCCATCAGTGAAGTCTGTGTACATCATAGAACTCACCATTCCCTGGGAGAACGCAGTCGAAGAAGCCTATGAGCGCAAGAAACTGCGATATACTGAGCTAGCAATGGACGCTCAACAATGAGGATGGAATTCAAAAGTCTATCCTGTAGAGGTGGGATGTGGAGGATTTGTGGCTTCCTCCACCATCAGGCTGCTCAGAGACCTAGATATTCAAGGACAAGCTCTTCCGCAGACAGTTAGAGCCATCTCTGAAGCAGCGGAAAGAAGCAGCCAGTGGATATGGATAAAGCAAAAAGATCCACGCTGGGCTCACAGAACTGACCCTAAATAGCAACAGTGTAACAACTTAGTAACAACATAGTAAGAACAGTGTGTGGCAGATTGCTGCTGCACCTCCACTTAAGTGGCATCAGCTGCGTCTAATTTTCAGCTGTGCCTGGCCTGATTGCGGGGCGGGGTCTTTATAAGTCCTGTCCTCCCATTCAACCCATTGTTCCTTTACATTCACCCGACAGGCTGTGTTGCCGTCTGCTGGTCAGTTGGTTCGATCATTTGTGGGACATAAAGGTAAGCATGAGTTTTCATGCTTGGACTGTGTTAATTGGGTATCTTGGTGTGACAGCAGCCGTGATGTTTCATTCACAGCATGGTCTGCTGCTGGCGTGGATGTACAAGAGGTGCTTTAAGTGTGGTGTTGGCTCTCCATCATCATCATCATCTAAAAGACGGTGACTGGTTTGGCCTGAGCGTAAAGCTTACTTTGCTCTGGTAGGCTGGCTGTTTGGTTGTGTTTTTTTTAGTTGTCTATTGGCTGCATGGTAACCTGCCTTACTTTCTCTGTAGCTGCTGCAGCCACAGATTGTGGCTCTCCTCTGTGGCTCTCCTCTCCTCGGCGCTCTGTGCGAGGCTCCACTTCTGCCCACTACGTTGGTCGCCAGCTGGGCATCCTAAAGGACGGCTTCCCTAGGCCTCCAGCCCCGGTCTGGCCGCTCCCTTTCTCTGCTGCTTCTTTGGAGTCCTATACCATACAAAGAACTGGTTTATCCCCCGACACAACCTATTTCTGAGTTTAATTATTTCTTTTTTTGTTTGTTTATTTAGTTTGTTTAGCGTATGGGTTATCGAGTGAAACTTTTCATTTTGTTTAGTTGGGTTTGGTTATTATTTGGCAGAATTTATTTTTCTTTTTTTTAAAAAACATTTTCTTTTGTTTAGTTTCCTTTAATTTATCAGCTGTTCGGCTTTGTCCTTGGTTTGCAGTGGTTTTCTTTGGTTTTGAATTTTCCTTTTTATTTCAGTTTGCTACCAAGTGTCCTGGTTCCCATTGTTTTTGTTTATTTACTGCATTTATTGTCTATTGGCACTCCAAGGATTATTATTCATATTTGTGCTCTTTTAAAAACGAAAGTTGAAATAAGTAAAATTGTTTTAATCTTTTTGTTAGTCCGTCTCTCGTCCTCCCTATTTTTGTGGTGTAACGGATCTGTGTGACCTTCAGCGCAAGGGTCTGGTGTATTTCCTGAAACTCCCCAGGTGGCATTGCTCGGTAACAAACATTTAATTTCTGAACCCTCCATTTCGCCACAACTTGGCGTTACCGGCAGGATACACTGTTAGAGGACAGAGACATGACTTCAATTTTTTTGTGTTTTTGTTGTATTTTGGGCTAATTTTTCTTTGTGTTGGTTTTGTTAGGTTTTGTGGTGGTGTGTAGAGGCAGCAGTAGAGACGGAGCGGCAGCGCTCTGCCCATTTGGTAACGTCAGATCTCTGGAGAATTGTGAGTTTGTTCTCTCTGGGGTTTGCCATGGAGGAGGAGCTGCAGCAGCTCAGAGAGTTGGTGGTGCAGCTTAAAGCAGATAATGAGCAGCTTTCTCGAGCGAGGGATGCTTCCCAGGCCAGCTCCAGTAGAGCTAACCCCGCTTCTATCACTTCAGGTGATAATCCCCCAGCTGCAGGTGCCTGCCCCACTGTTACTGAACAGCTGATTGTTGTACCTAGAGATCGCAGGCGTCCCATGTTTAATGGTCGGACCGGGATAGGTATTGTTGAGTGGAAAGAGGAGCTACTGGCATGTATGCGTGCCCGCCACCTGTCAGTTCTTGATCAGGCCTTCTTCATCTTTGATTACCTGGAAGAGGAGGCCAGAGAAGAGATCAAGTATCGCCCCCGTGTGGAGAGAGAGGACCCAGACAGAGTTTTGTCTATCTTGACTGAGCTATATGACTGTGTTCAGTCATATATGACCCTGCAGCAGTCCCTTTTCTCCAGAAAGCAGCTGGAAGGTGAGACTTTAAAGTTTTCTTTGGCTCTGATGGCCCTCATGGAGCGTGTCGAGCAGTCAGCATCTGGTGGCCTGCCTAATGCAGAAACTCTCCTTCGTGATCAGTTTGTGGAGCATGTGCTTGATGGTGCCCTTCGCAGGGAGTTGAAACAGTTGGTTCGCAGCCACCCTACTGCTTCTCTGTTTGACATACGTGGAGAGGCCATTAGGTGGGAAAGGGAGGGGTCCCCAGGGGATGCTAGAGAGCACAGCCACTCTCTTCCTCCAGCCCACAGCCTTCAGTATGCAGTACAGGGTAGTTCTCGCCCCGCTCCTCTGGTCTCACCCCATGACTCAGAGTTGAGTGAAGTAAAGTTACTGTTGAAGCATCAGCAGGAGCAGCTTGACCAACTTACCCATGCCATGGCTTCTCTGCAGGCCCGTCCTTTTCCATCTCGGCCTCCTCCCAACAGGCCCCTGATTTGCCGAAGGTGTCAACAACCGGTCACCACGCCAGCGAGTGTGACAGAGAGCAGGTTCCCCCTTGTCCCCGTGCTGGCTCTGCCACTGGTCGGTTTTCTAATGTGGCTGAGCCTGCCTGCCCCTTGTTCCAGTCGGAAAACTGAAGCCCACTGAGCTACAGAGCCAAAGCTCAGGTGGGGAGGTTGAAGGCTCACAACAAGAACTCCTCGATCGAATAGTGGTGCCCTGTCCCCATATTGATGTTTTGATGGGCGGAGTCATGGTCCCATCTTTGTTGGACAGTGGGTCCATGGTGTCCATGATCACAGAAAGCTTCTTTGCGGAACACTTTGTCCCATGGGGTCATGAACGTCTTCGGTCATGTAATTGGCTGCAGCTGCGGGCAAAGGCCTTGCTGGCCAATTACATGACCGAAGACGCACTAGCTCAGTGGTGCGCTCGATGCCCTGGTGTCCATGATCCTGATGCAACTGGGTCAGGACCTCCTCTTTCAGGACAGCAGGTAAGACAAGCTGGAGGTACTCCTCTCCCCCGCCCGAACGGACAGTCTGGCGGTACAACACACCCTCCTGCTCGACCAAATGGTCCCAATGTTTCAGCAGCGTCAACGAAGAAGTGGGAGGCTGTTGCCTCTCCTCGTAAGTAGGTTTAGCATGCCTCCTCCAAAAGGGCAGGAAATGGTCATGCAGAAGGGTATCTGCCTCCTGCAAGGAGCGGAGGTCCGAGGGAGAATGTCCCCGAAAAACAGACACCAGTGACTGGACTGCAGGCACCTCTGGGACTGGGCCTGATGCTTGCTGAACAAGCAGTGGGACCGAAGTGCTAGACACATGTGCGACACACGTTTAGCCAGGCTGGACCCTGACAAATACTGCCGGGAGAGAGCATCGGCATTCTTATTGCTGTGCCCGGAGTGGTACCTGATTTCAAAATCAAAAGCAGCTAGTTGGGATGCCCACCGCTGCTCTGTGGCCCTTAACTTGGCAGAGTTAAGGTAACTCAACGGGTTGTTGTCTGTGAAGACTACACATTTGTGCCCCAACAGATACTCCTGAAACTTCTCTCCCATTGCCCACTTAAGCGCAAGAAAATCCAGCTTCATTGAACTGTAGTTGTCCATATTGCGCTCCGTGGGTCGAAGGCCTCTGCTGGCATATGCTACCGGCCGAACACCATCATCGGTCTCCTTGGAAAGGACAGCCCCCAGACCACTGTGACTTGCATCCGCCTCCAAGATGAGTGGGCGTGAAAAGTCTGCATAGGCCAACACTGGGGCCGAAACCAACTTAGCCTTTAAGGCCTCAAAGCTTTGCTCGCACTGGGGTGTCCATGCTGAACTCAGCTCCTGCCCAGAGCCTCGCTTGGACCATGAACCTGCGAGTTCTGCCACCAGCTTATGTAGGGGACCCGCCAGCCAAGCAAACCCCTCAACAAACCACCTGTAATAGCTGGCGAACCCCAGAAACGAACGCAGCTCTGACACGTGGCAGGGACGCTGCCATTTCTCCACTGCCTCAATCTTGGTAGGGTCCGTGGACAGTTCTTGACGGGAGATGATATGCCCCAGATAACTGACCTCCTTCTAGAAAAAGGCACACTTCTCCAGTTTGACCTTCAAGCCTTCCCTCTGCAGCCGACTCAAAACCACCTCCAGTCGCTGTAGGTGCTGGGAGACTGAAGACGAAAACACAATGATATCATCCAAATACAAAAGTAAGGTGTGCCCTCACCTCCTCGTACTCAGAGGGAGGAATCCGTCGGTACCGCTGTCTTATCGGGGTGTCATCAAGCATGGGGACCTCGTGAGAAATAAGGTTAGTACAACCCAAGTCACCTTCATGTGTGGAGTACACGGAGCGATACTAGGCACACATTGATCAGTTGCTTGACGCCAAGGTGATTCGGCAAAGCAATAGCCCCTTTGCTTCCCCCATTGTTTTGGTTCACAAAAAAGATGGTAGCCTCCAGATGTGTGTTGACTATCGCCTGCTTAATAGCAAGACGCGAAAGGACGCGTCCCTCTACCCCGGATTGAGGAAAGCCTTGACACCCTTGCTGTAGCTCACTGGTTCACCACCCTCGACTTGGAGAGTGGGTATAACCAGGTCCCTGTTGCAGAGCGGGACAAGCCCAAAACGGCCTTTTGTACACCCTTTGGTCTGTTTGAGTGGAACCGTATGCCGTTCGGCTTGTGCAATGCTCCAAGCACCTTTCAAAGGCTTATGTAGAGGATGTTTGGGGATCAACAGTGTCAGTCCTTACTTTTGTATTTGGATGATATCATTGTGTTTTCGTCTTCAGTCTCCCAGCACCTACAGCGACTGGAGGTGGTTTTGAGTCGGCTGCAGAGGGAAGGCTTGAAGGTCAAACTGGAGAAGTGTGCCTTTTTCTAGAAGGAGGTCAGTTATCTGGGGCATATCATCTCCCGTCAAGAACTGTCCACGGACCCTACCAAGATTGAGGCAGTGGAGAAATGGCAGCGTCCCTGCCACGTGTCAGAGCTGCGTTCGTTTCTGGGGTTCGCCAGCTATTACAGGTGGTTTGTTGAGGGGTTTGCTTGGCTGGCGGGTCCCCTACATAAGCTGGTGGCAGAACTCGCAGGTTCATGGTCCAAGCGAGGCTCTGGGCAGGAGCTGAGTTCAGCATGGACACCCCAGTGCGAGCAAAGCTTTGAGGCCTTAAAGGCTAAGTTGGTTTCGGCCCCAGTGTTGGCCTATGCAGACTTTTCACGCCCACTCATCTTGGAGGCGGATGCAAGTCACAGTGGTCTGGGGGCTGTCCTTTCCAAGGAGACCGATGATGGTGTTCGGCCGGTAGCATATGCCAGCAGAGGCCTTCGACCCACGGAGCGCAATATGGACAACTACAGTTCAATGAAGCTGGATTTTCTTGCGCTTAAGTGGGCAATGGGAGAGAAGTTTCAGGAGTATCTGTTGGGGCACAAATGTGTAGTCTTCACAGACAACAACCCGTTGAGTTACCTTAACTCTGCCAAGTTAAGGGCCACAGAGCAGCGGTGGGCATCCCAACTAGCTGCTTTTGATTTTGAAATCAGGTACCACTCCGGGCGCAGCAATAAGAATGCCGATGCTCTCTCCCGGCAGTATTTGTCAGGGTCCAGCCTGGCTAAACGTGTGTCGCACATGTGTCTAGCACTTCGGTCCCACTGCTTGTTCAGCAAGCATCAGGCCCAGTCCCAGAGGTGCCTGCAGTCCAGTCACTGGTGTCTGTTTTTCGGGGACATTCTCCCTCGGACCTCTGCTCCTTGCAGGAGGCAGATACCCTTCTGCATGACCATTTCCTGCCCTTTTGGAGGAGGCATGCTAAACCTACTTACGAGGAGAGGCAACAGCCTCCCACTTCTTCGTTGACGCTGCTGAAACATTGGGACCATTTGGTCGAGCAGGAGGGTGTGTTGTACCGCCAGACTGTCCGTTCGGGCGGGGGAGAGGAGTACCTCCAGCTTGTCTTACCTGCTGTCCTGAAAGAGGAGGTCCTGACCCAGTTGCATCAGGATCATGGACACCAGGGCATCGAGCGCACCACTGAGCTAGTGCGGCAGCACTGTTACTGGCCTGGGATGTCTGCCGACATCAAGAGATGGGTCCAGGCATGCGAATGTTGCCAGGTTGCAAAAGACTCAGGATCCGTGCCCCGCAGTTTCATGGGCTATTTGCCAGCGTCCTGTCCAAATGAGATTGTCGCTATTGATTTCACATTGTTGGAGCCCTCCCATAATGGGTTGGAGAACGTTTTGGTAATGACTGATGTGTTCAGTAAGTATATGGTGGCGGTCCCTACCCCGGATCAGCAGGCAGCCACCGTGGCTCGGGTTCTGCTGACTGAATGGTTTTTCCGGTTTGGTGTGCCGAGCCGTATACATTCTGACTAAGGTCGGAGTTTTGAGAGCTCCTTGATTCACCAGCTCTGTTGCCTGTACGAGGTGGAAAAATCCCAGACCACTCCTTACCACCCGGCCAACAATGGGCAGTGTGAGCGATTCAATAGAACCCTCCATGACCTACTGCGGACATTGCCAAAATCCCGGAAACGGGATTGGGTTTCTTGTCTCCCTCAGGTTTTGTTTTGTTACAACACAGCACCGCATCAGGGCACAGGGGAATCTCCTTTATTTCTTATGTTTGGTCAGGAGCCCAGGCTTCCTGTGGATTTTCTCTTGGGCCGGGTTCGGGACCCTGAGCCAGGGGGAGTACAGGACTGGTTGACTGAGCATAAGGCCAGGCTCAAGGTGGCATTTGAGAATGCTCGTGAGAGGTTGTTGACGGCTGCAGGTCGACGGAAGGAACGGCATGATCAGCATGTTCGGGAGGCCCCTCTTCAGGTCGGCCAGTGGGTCTACCTTCGAGATCTTGGTGTTCAAGGTCGACACAAGCTCCACGACAAATGGAACTCTGTGGTCTTCCAGGTGCTGAGAGCCCCGCAGGCGACGGCACAGTTTACACCATCGCCCCTGAAGCAGAGCTGCATAAGGCACAGCAGGTGCACCGAGACCTGTTGAAAGCCCAGGTTGTTTCTGTTGCTCACCCTCCGAGAGCTCTGTCTCCACCCGCTCCAGCAGAGCCTGTAGGTTTCTCTGACTCCCCTGAAGATGGCGAGTTATGGCTGTTGGCCCGTGATACTTCGGCACCCGCTGCCACTTTGGCACCAGCTCTCCCCCCCTCCGCCGGTCCTGCTGGGATGACCGCAGTACAGGCCCAGCCAAATCCAAGCCCGAGTGTAGAACAAGAGAGTTCCCATGGGGTGGCTGCTCTCCCTAGTGGTCAGCCCAGCCCCTCTCAGCCGACTTTGCATTGAACTGGTCGTTCCACCGCCGGTCAACATTCTAATGTTCACCGTCTGCCTCAGCCCATCGGCATCAGGCGGCCCGGCACGGCCTGTGGCGAATGTTTAGTCTGTCCTGTTTAGGCCTTGGTCTTGTTCTGGTGTATGTTGGCTCGTAGCTTGTCATTGGGGTGCTGACACAAAAGGTGGGGGTGGAATGTGGCAGGTTGCTGCTGTACCTCCACTTAAGTGGCATCAGCTGCATCTAATTTTCAGCGGTGCCTGGCCTGATTGCGGGGCGGGATCTTTATAAGTCCTGTCCTCCCATTCAACCCATTGTTCCTCGACGTTCACCCGACAGGCTGTGTTGCCGTCTGCTGGTCAGTTGGTTCGATCATTTGTGGGACATAAAGGTAAGCATGAGTTTTCATGCTTGGACTGTGTTAATTGGGTATCTTGGTGTGACAGCAGCCGTGATGTTTCATTCACAGCGTTGTCTGCTGCTGGTGTGGATGTACAAGAGGTGCTTCAAGTGTGGTGTTGGCTCTCCATCATCATCATCATCTAAAATACGGTGACTGGTTTGGCCTGAGCGTAAAGCTTACTTTGCTCTGGTAGGCTGGCTGTTTGGTTGTGTTTTTTTTAGTTGTTTATTGGCTGCATGGTAACTTGCCCTTCTCTGTAGCTGCTGAAGCCACAGATTGTGGCTCTCCTCTGTGGCTCTCCTCTCCTCAGCGCTCTGTGTGAGGCTCCACTTCTGCCCACTACGTTGGTCGCCAGCTGGGCATCCTAAAGGACGTTTTTTTTTCTTTTTTTTGAAACATTTTCTTTCATTTAGTTTCCTTAAATTTATCAGCTGTTGGGCTTTGTCCCTACCCCGGGTGCCGCCCACAGCTGAGGTTCATGTTTCGTTGTTTTTTTTTGTTTGTTTGTTTGTTTTTTTTCATATTAATACTTCACATATTAATATGTGTATGTTTTTAGAATAGGTCATTTAATCCATTTTTTAACAGTATTACAAATTGCTTTTTGGAGTGACCAACTGGAGTATTGATTTTCTTCTTTCTTTTTCAGGAGCTGGCGACAGACTTCCCCGGTGGTAGCCTCCCCCTTCACTCACTTTTGTTGCCGTGGCACGAGGTGGTTTGGTTTGTAGGATTTTCTTTGGTTTGTAGTGATTTTCCTTGGTTTGCAGTGGTTTTCTTTGGTTTTGAATTTTCCTTTTTATTTTAGTCTGTTTGCTACCAAGTTTCCTGGTACCCGTTTTTTTTTTTTTTTTTTTTTTGTTTATTTACTGCATTTATTGTCTATTGGCACTCCGAGGATTATTACTCATATCTGTGCTCTTTTAAAAACGAAAGTTGAAATAAATAAAATTGTTTTAATCTTTTTGGAAGTCTGTCTCTCGCCCTCCCTATTTTTGTGGTGTAACAGATCTGTGTGACCTTCAGTGCAAGGGTCTGGTGTATTTCCTGGGGTGAAACTCCCCAGGTGGCGTTGCTCAGTAACCAGTGGCGACTGCTGGTCTTTCAAGGAGGGGAAGCTCATTTTTCGGGCCTACATCATAATTGTGTTTTTTTATTTGTATGTAACAGAACAGAGTCGCCAAACACAACGGCAGTCGTTTTAAACAAAGACAAAAGTCGCTGAGGATCGGTAAAGTCTCCGGAGCAGTTAAGAACAACGGAATGAATAGCTTGGAAAATGCTCTGGTAGATGTTTTATTCTTCAAGATCGCTGATTCACTTGTTTAGTTGTCAATCAAAAAAGGATTTCGCCTCAGACAGCTCATCCAATCATGGATGCAGAAGCTCAGCGTCGAAAGTTGGGACCGCCCTCTCATCATACAACTCCAGAGACGCTGAGCGTCCGATGGGCAGGACAAAGCCCAGCATTTATCTGATGAGCGTCTGGTTTCGCTGCTGGAACAACCCACTTTGAGCTTCCACATTGAAGTCAGCAGACGCTGAGCGTCCGACTGTGTGAAGCGCTGAGGCGCTGCGAGGATGAATGAGAACGAAGTTGTGCCGGTTACCTGTGATTATCAGAAGCCTCTTATCACACTGTGATAAGAAGCTTCTTATCACACTGTGATAAGAAGCTGTTTCTGAACAAAAGATGAAGGCTTTCTAACGCGTATTTAGTTAATGAAATGTACACACAGCAGTACGTATTTCACCACTTTTTCTTTTTTTTGGGGGGGGGTGACATTTTAAGGGAAGCTGAGCTTCCCTTGCAGTCTTAAAGCAATTGCCACTGTCGGTAACAAACATTTAATTTCTGAACCCTCCATTTTGCCACAAGTGCAATAATTGGGCGTGGGACACAAGCTCAGGCTTGATCAACCTACAGCTGGCCACCTTGAGGAGGGTGTCTAGTATTTAAAGGCCGAAACACCCCATGAATCAAAGGCATACTACTGATGATGAGTCCCAAAATTCAAATCTAGTCCGGCAATTTTTCATGATACCCTCTCTCTCTTTCTCTCATGTATACCATCTACTGGCACAATGGACTGCTTAACATCCCGTGTTTTATGATTCTGATTATCTGGCTTTGTCCAGTGACTGCTGTGAAAGGACAGCTGACGACACAGGAAAGACTGTGTGACCACTTGGAAAGACAGCTGACTGGAGGCAATAGACCCCAATGGGGCTGCCATTGGCTAGCTACCCATGGTGGAAGAAACATTCTTCCCCAGCCGCACATACTGACTCTGGTCTGTTAGGAAGTCTGTGATCCACCTGTAGGTGGAGTCAGGCACATGGAGCAGGGAAAGCTTGTTCTGGAGCAAAGCCGGAAGGATGGTGTTGAATGCAGAGCTGAATTACACAAACAGGATCCATAGCGTAGGATCCTGGGGAGTCCAGGTGCTGCAGGATGAAATGCAGGGCCAGGTTTATGGCGTCGTCTACAGACCTGTTGGCTCTGTAGGCAAACTGCAGAGGGTCCAGGAGGGGGTCGGTGATGGACTTCAGGTGGGATAAAACCAGGCGTTCAAAGGTCTTCATGACTACAGACATAAGAGTCACCGGCCTGTAGTCATTAAGTCAAGTTACGTGAGGTTTTTTGGGGACGGGAACAATGATGAAGGACTTGAAACAGGCTGGAACATGGCATGACTCCAGGGAGGTGTTGAAAATCCCTGTGAAGACTGGAGCTAGCTCATCAGCACAGTGTCTCGGAGTGGCAGGAGACACACAGTCCGGGCCAGCTGCCTTGTGTGGACTAAGCCGCTTAAAAAGTCTGTTTACTTCCTCTTCATGGACCGAGAGGGCAGCGGGGGGAGGTCCAGAGTGGTTGGATTTCCAGTTGTGTGGGGGGTGAGGGGATGTGAGTCCATGACTTCGAAGCGTGAATAGAAGTTGTTCAGGTCAATGGCTAGTTTTAGGTCGTCAGTTGAATGAGGTGCTTTGGGCTTGTAGTTGGTGATCTCTTTCAACGCCCTCCACACCGAGGCAGGGTCATTGGCAGAGAATCTTTGCTCCAGACGTGCGTTGTACCTAGCTTTAGCCTTTGCCACCTCCTTACTAAAACTGTACTTGGCACATTTGTAGTGGTCTCTGTCGGAGCTGTCGGAGTTTTGATGTAAACCAGGGCTTTTCGTTGTTGTATTTCACCCTGGTACGCTGTGGGATGATGCTGTCTTCACAGAAATGAATATACAATGTCACAGTGTCTGTGTAATCGTCTAGACTTTCTGTAGAAGCCTTAAACATATCCCAGTCCGGGGTGTCCAAGTACGTGCGTAGCTCCTCCACAGCTTCACTGGTCCACACTTTTGATGTCCTCACTACAGGTTTACAGAGTTTTAGTCTCTGTCTGTATGCAGGGATCAGGTGAACCATGGCGTGATATGAGAGTCCCAAAGCTGCGCGAGCCACAGCGCGATAGGCACCACTCACTGTAGTGTAACAGTGACTAATGTGTGCCTCTGGTCGGGCATGTTACAAACTGTTTGTATTTTGGTAGTTCCTGACTGAGATTTCCTTTGTTAAAATCACAGAGGATTATGATTAAGGAGTCCGGAAAGTTCCTCTCTACGCTCATAACCTGCTCCGCGAGCGCGCACTCGGCCTCGTGCACATCCGCACTCGGTGGAATTTAAACAGAGCAGAGTATGAATGAGACAAACTCGCGTGGAGAGTAGAATGGTTTGCAGTTTATGAAGAGATATTCCAGAGAAGGAGAACAGTGTTGGGAGATCATTGTCACATCAGAGCACCAGGCGTTGTTGATGTAGAAGCAGACTCCTCCACCTTTTGTTTTCCCACCAGTGAGTACACGATCTCTGTCTGCGCGGAGGAGCTGAAAACCCTCCAGTTGTATGGCGCAGTCCGGTGTCTGTGCATTTAGTCACGTCTCCGTGAAGCACAGAACACAAGGAGTCTCTATTCTTCTTCATCAGCAGTGCCAGCTCATCCATCTAGTTGCTGAGTGAGCGGACGTTGGAGAGGAAAATCCCAGGTAGGGGCGTACGCGTGCCTCGCTGTCTGAGACGCACAAGCACCCCAGCTCACTTTCCCCTTCGCCGGCGTCTCACTCTTTTGGCCAGAAAGTGGACCAGTTCAGCAGCAGATGCCAAAAAAACTGGTGTAATGTCCGGGGGTGTTGTCGATCTGATTTTGACTTACCATCTCAAAGACTACCCTTTTGACCATAATTTTAACTTAATCTTTTGATAATGCTTACTTGCATGGTGTTTATTTTTTATCATCAATTCTGGTCATATTTAACATGTCGTTTATTTTTAGGACGAGATGGTGGCAACAAAAGCCACAGTGGCTCTGGTGGCAGTCCTGAATGAAGAGGCAGCTGAAACCTAAGTTAATGAACTTGAGTAGGATGTTCAAGTTTTCCCACTGACAATAACATTGTCAATTGTTGAGTTTGCATGCACAAAACAGCGTCTCATTGTGGTGTTGGACAATCCAAAATTTTTCCCAATCAATCGATCAATCAATCAACTTTATTTCTATAGCACATTTAAAAGAACCACAAGGGTAGCCAAAGTGCTGTACAATGACACATAAAAACAAATAAAACAATCAAAGAACAAGATAAAGCAAGCAGAAATACAGTAATGCAAAAGAATAAATAAGTGTATAAATAAGGAGGCTCACAGCAAGTGCTAAGATGATAAAAAACAAATTAACACTACAATGTACTAAAAGCCAATGAGTAAAAGTGTGTTTTTAAAAGGGATTTAGAAACAGGAAATGAGGAGGCCTGTCTGATTTTCAAGGGCAACTCATTCCAGAGCTTAGGGGCAGCAGCAGCAAACGCTCTGTCCCCTCTGAGCTTCAGCCTTGTACTGGGGACCGTCAGTAAAAGCTGATCAGCTGATCTTAGGGGTCGGGGTGGGCAATAAGACTGGAGCATCTCCGAAATATAGGGTGGAGCAAGGTTGTTCAGGCCCTTCAAAACAAATGTTAAAAGCTCAAAATGAATTCTGTACTGAACAGGGAGCCAGTGTAAGGACGCCAGGATGGGGGTGATGTGCTCACGCCTGCGGGTCTGGGTCAGGAGACGTGCAGCAGAGTTCTGCACAAGCTGCAGGCGGGCAAGGGAAGCCTGGCTAATCCCTACGTACAAGGAGTTGCAGTAATTGAGACGGGTAGTGATAAAAGCATGGATTTATTTTTCCAGGTCAGGTCTTGATAAAATGGGCTTCACCTTCGCTATTTGACGTAGCTGATAAAAACTTTTTTGTACCACCCCGCTGATCTGCTTCTCAAATTTAAAATCAGGGTCAAATTTAACTCCCAGATTAGTGACGACCTCTTTTAGGTAGGGTGAGAGGGAGCCTAGGTCGATGTTGGGGGGGTGGCCGCCACTTGGTCCAAACAACATTACTTCAGTCTTGTTCTCATTAAGACTGAGGAAGTTAAAAGAAAGCCAGGCTTTAATGTCCTTAAGGCAGTCAGTAAGTTGTTGGACTGAGTTGGAGTTGTTCTGTGCTAGTGGAAGGTAGATCTGACAATCATCAGCATAAAAATGTAAGGATATGTCATGTTTCCTAAAAACAGAACCAAGGGGGAGTAGATAAAAGGCAAATAAAAGAGGGCCGAGGATTGAGCCCTGAGGGACCCCATGTGGAAGAGGAGCTGTTGACGATGCAGAGTTGTCAATTTGAACGCAGAAACTGTCCGTTAAATAAGACCGGAACCAGTCCAGGGCGACACTCTTAATGCCCACACAGTGCCCCAGGCGAGAGATTAAATGCTGTGGTCGACAGTGTCAAATGCAGCAGACAGATCCAGGAGCACAAGGACAACAAACTTTCCAGAGTCTGTTGACATGACATATCGTTTGACACATTTAAAAGTGCTGACTCTGTGCTGTGGAGAGCTTTAAAACCAGACTGGAACAACTCTGTGATACCATTGTCTTCCAAGAATGGTAACAACTGGTTGTAGACCACCTTCTCTAGAATCTTGGACAGATATGGAAGATTTGAGATGGGCCTGAAACTGGCACAGAGGGATGGGTCGAGGCCAGTTTTTTTGAGTAGAGGTCGTACTACAGCATGCTTAAAATCCCTAGGTACTGTACCAGATGAGAGGCTACAATTTACAATATTAAGGACACTTGGTCCAATAGTAGCAAGTACCTCTTTAAACAAGCGAGGGGGGATGGCATCAGCAGGGGAACCAGAAGGGTTCATATGGCCGACTATGTCCTTTAAAATAGAGAGGGACACAGATACAAATTTAGAAAAGACAGATGAGGGGTGCAGAGGGGCTGAAGCGTCATACGATGGTTGAGAGATACAGGCTCTGGTTGACATAATTTTATCAGTGAAGAAGTGGAGGAATTTTTCACAGATTTCAGTGGAGGCATCAAAACCAAGAGACTTGGGAGCCTCAAGGACAGTGTTTATGGTTTTGAACAGAGCTCTGGGGTTGTTACAGTTAAAAGCAATTAATTCAGAGAAATATTTATTCTTCTCAGCTTTCACAATCTTCTGATAATTCCACAGACTATCTTTAAAGATGCCAAGAGACACATGCAGTCTGTCCTTTTTCCACCTGCGCTCCGCCCTCCTGCACTCACGCCTGGCTGCACGAGTGACGTCGTTCAACCAGGGTTCGGGCGTAGGTTTGGTGCGCCGGGTCTTCAGAGGAGCGACCGTGTCCAGTGCTTGTAGACAGGTGGAGTGAAATCTCAATACCAGTTCCTCAGTATCCACACACACAGGGGCTGCAGAGTCATCCTCACAGAGACCAACGAAGGTAGATGAGAACAGAGCAGGCGAGGAAGAGTTAAACATGCGACGCGGTTTAGGTGGAGCGCGCAATTTAACCGGACACTAAGTGGGGATGTCAAATAAAATTGGCATATGATCCGAGAAAACAGCGTCACAAATGACAAGGTTAGAAACACACAGACCATGCGAGAGCACCAAGTCCAGTCTGTGTCCGAGATTATGTGTAGAACCGGACACAGACTGCACGAAGTTGAAAGAGTCAATGAGATTTAAAAAGCTCCTGGAGACCGGCTCTTCAGGGCAACAAGTGTGAATATTAAAATCACCAACAATAAGGACACGGTCGTATTTCGGCAGAATTTCGGCCAGAAATTCAGAAAAGTCACTTATAAAATCCTTATTGTACTTGGGTGGTCAATAGATGACGGGGCACAGGACAACATGAGAGCAGCCCAGTTCAAACAAGCACATTTCAAAGCTTGTGAATGAGAATTGCAGGCAGATCTGCCGGCATTTAAAGTCGCTTTTAAAAATAACTGCTATTCCACCTCCTTTTCGACCAGACGACCGCGGGGAATTAAAATAGCAGCAATACGGCGGGCAGAGTTCAATAAGAGGACTGGACTCACCGGTACTCAGCCATGTCTCCGTCACACAGAGAAAATCCAATCCACAGGACATGAAGAAATCCTTCAGGATAAAAGTTTTGTTTGCCAGTGATCTGGCATTGACAAGGCCGAACCTGGCAGAGATCGGCACATCCGAGGCATCAGCTGATCGTGGAGCCCGACACAGGGCCCGTAGATGGCGGGGATTCACCCCATGCCGGCGGGGACGAGGAGAGCAGGGGCCGCAGGGACCATCCCATCCGAACTGACGACAGGTACCAGCCAGGAGTCGACAGGGTGCAGCGATCGCAGATGAGGAAAGAGACCAGATCCCACTCCATTTCTCCTCAGGGAAACCGCGGAAGATCGAGCCAAGAGAGCTTTAACTCTCACCAGCTGGCCGCTGCGTTTGCCACGGTGGCGCCGGCATTGGAAATGGAGCGAAAGTGCAGTGAAGGTGAGCAGGTATCCCGGAGAGGTGAAACGGCTTAAACGTCATATGACCACAGTGATCAGGATCTAATTTCACCCAATCCTTGGCAGAGGGGCGAAGATCCAGCAGTGTTTGGTGGTCATACACATACAGTGAGCTGACATTACTGATAATGATAGACACAAACAGCACAAACACGAACAGCGCTGACAGCGAGAGACGGCAGGCCACACACACTGGCGCCATCTTTCCCAGACACAAAAATATCCAAATCATGTGTCATTAGTATCCATTTGAAATAATCAATCATAATTTTTAGAATTTTCATGGAAAAGTGTGTGAAAAAGTGTGTTTTATGATCAGTCACAATTGTGACCAGTGGGATACTGTGTTGTATCAACCATTGGACAGACTGAATATACACTGTGTGCACAATTATTAGGCAAGTGAGTATTTTGATCATATCATCATTTTTTATGCATATTTTCCAACTCCAAGCTGTATAAACTTGAATGTTTATTGGATATAAGCATATCAGGTAATGTGTATTAGTATAATGAGGGAGGCTGGGGTCCAAGGAGATCAACACCCTATATCAAGGTGTGCATAATTATTAGGCAGCTTCTTTTCCTCAGGTAAAATGGGCCAAAAAAGAGATTTAAGTGACTCTGAAAAGTCAAAAATTGTAAAAAGTCTTTCACAGGGATGCAGCACTCTTGAAATTGCTTAGATATCTGGGCATGATCACAGAACCATCAAACATTTTGATGCAAATAGTCAGCAGGGTCGCAAGAACGTGTTAAGAAAAAAAGACGCAATTAACTGCCAAAGATTTGAGGAGACTCAGACGTGAAGCTACCAGGAACCGCTTATCCTCCGGTGCTGTCATATTCCAGAACTGCAACCTACCTGGAATGCCCAGAAGTACAAGGTGTTCAGTGCTCAGAGACATGGCCAAAGTAAGGAAAGCTGAAATCCGACCACCACTGTACAAGACTCACAAGTTGAAATGTCAAGACTGTGCCAAGAAATATCTGAAGAGAGATTTTTCAAAGGTTTTATGGACTGATGGGATGAGAGTGACTCTTGACGGACCAGATGGATGGGCCCGTGGCTGGATCAGTAATGGGCACAGAGCTCCACTTCGAATCAGACGCCAGCAAGGTGGAGGGGGGGTACTGGTATGGGCTGGTATTATTAAAGATGAGCTAGCTGGACCTTTTCGGGTTGAAGATGGACTTAAAATCAACTCCCAAACCTACTGCCAGTTTTTAGAAGACACTTTCTTTAAGCAATGGTATAGGAAAAAGTCTGCATCTTTCAAGAAAAACATGATTTTTATGCAGGACAATGCTCCATTACATGCAACGAAGTACTCCACTATGTAGCTCGCCAGTAAAGGCCTTGTAAATGAAAGAATAATGACGTGGCCTCCTTCTTCACCTGTCCTAAACCCTATTGAGAACTTGTGAGCCCTTCTTAAATGGGAGATTTACAGTGAAGGAAAACAGTACACCTCTCTGAACAGTGTCTGGAAGGCTTTGGTTGCTACGACACAAAAAGTTGATCGTCAACAGATCAAGAAACTGAAAGACTCCATGAATGGAAGGCTTATGACTGTTATTGAAAAGAAGGGTGGCTATATTGGTCACTGATTTTTTGTTAAATGGCAAAAAATTTTATTTGTAAATTTTGAGTTGTTTGTTTATTATTCTCACTTGTTAAAGTGATAATAAACAAGTGAGATGGGAAAATTTTTCATTTTTAATTTAGTTGCATAATAATTCTGCACACTAATTGTTGTCCAATAATTGTGCACATATATTTTGGCATCCTAAGGAAGCCATAATCTCACTCTTTCTCCCTTAAATATTCAGGTTTGAGGTTTATTAACATTTTGGATTGACCGAGAGCTCTGCAGTTGTTCAAAAATAAAATTTATCCTCAAAAATACAACTTGCCTAATAATTGTGCACACAGTGTAGGTCTGTATGACCTGTGCTGTGCTGTGTGTGTGTTTGTGTGTGTGTGTGTGTGTGTGTGTGCACCTTATATCAAAGGCTAGTTATAATCACTTTCATAAGTTCTAGCATTGCCTCTAAATGCTCTCTCATTGTAGTGTGAATATTTTACATATAAGACTTATACTATCGATTAGCAATATGAATACTGGGAGCACTGTTATGAATATTGAGGTTAAGACAAAAAACAGCAACAATCATCAATGTATCTCAACATTGTAACTTTGGTACAACTTATTTTAGTGCAACCTTCATTTGAAAACGTTCATTTTTAGTGCAGTATACATTGAACACACTGAACATGAAGGTAAACATTTAGGGCTCTATTTTCGTGCCTCGCCGGCAACATGGCGCAGGCACGGCTTAAGTCAGGTCTGCCGCGCCAACAAGGCATTCCCATGCACAATTTGGTATTTTGGTGAGCGGCGCAGCCTGGCGTAAGTATCCCCCCTCCCTAACTCAGCTCCTCCCAGTGGCATAAGTCGTAGGGAGGGCATGCAATGGGTTTAACACAGCCGAGACCTGTATTGACCAATAACATCAGCTCCTCTCCTCGCCTTTAAATCCGCCACCGGCGAGGCGTATTACAATTAGTCAAAGAGATCAAGAGATGTCTGAAGACAGCAATGTCACACGGTGGCGACAGAAGGCAGCCCCTCAGCAAGTGTCGCTGTAAGCTCTGCAGAGGGCGTCCTGCACACTGTCTCATATAAGCACAGATGGATTTTGTGTGCGTAATGTCAGTCCATGAAAATACCAATCTGGCTGTACGTCGGACGCCAGACGAAAATACCACTGCGCAGGGTCCTCCACCGCGTCGCCAGCAGACACAAAAATAGAGCCCTTAGGATAGAAGTAATCGGCTGAACATGCTTTCAAGTATAGGCCTACACTGACTGACTGAAAAAAAAAAAAAATAGGTTGTAGAACAAAGAGCAAAGTAATGCTTTGAATGACTAAAAAATAACATCTTTTCCTGCAAAGTACTGTTTGTTTGTAACTGTATGCAACCACTTGTGTGTGTGTGTGTGTGTGTGTGTCTTTCTGTCTGTGTGTAAAATTAGGTAGAAAGTTAGGTAGCAGCAGAAAGTAAGGTAGACCAGTTAGCCTATGCGTATTAACATGTCAATACAATAGGTTATCCCACTGGTCACTATTGTTGCCAGTGACATGTTTGTGAGTTCTATGACCACATTAAGCAAATTTGAGTAATTGCAAATGCATATATCAATACTAGACACCTTAAACATGATGTGTACCAAAAATCTATGTTCTATCTTTATGTTTACATACTTTACTAGCCTTTTCTTTGGGAGCTTTCTTGCTGCCATCCTCTTCTCTTGGCGCAAACAGGAAGTAAACAGCTCTGGTCATGTGACAATTTACAGTAAACATGTGACATTGCACATATTTCATTAACACCCTTTATCAATTCAATATCTGCTGGAAATGCATTGATATATCATTCAATAACATTTTTATAGCCTTAGAAATTAAACATTTTTTTACGGTCACTATTGTGACCGGTGGGATTAAATGGGTTAAAATGGCAATGTTCTTTTTTTTTTTTTTTTTTTTAAATGGCAATGTTCAGCTTACAGTGTTTTAAACAATTGATGTCATAGTTTTTACTGCACTTCACCTCTGCTTTAATCCTGTTTGGGTTACATTTTTTCATTTTTACTACAGAATGAAAAAAAAAAACAGAAAAAAATAAATAAATTCTTCTGTATTTTGAGAGAAACACTGTGCTGGAGTTTATCTATTTTTAGATGAAATTTACAGTTCAGTCACACAATGATTTATTTTTGTTGTTTGGCAAAGAGGGAAATATTGTCAGCTTTAACACATGAGGTAAGAAACGTGTTTGAGTTTGTTTTATAAAAATGTTTGCATTTGTAATTTATGTTGAGTTAAACTTAATAGTTTGCTTGTTCTGTACTTGTGTTGTGTTGAGTTATACAACTTTGTGGGCGGCAGTAGCTCAGGAGGAAGAGCGGTGGTCCAATAATTTCAAGGTTGGCAGTTTGATTCCCCCCTATCCCGAGTCTATCCGTTGTGTCCGTGGGCAAGACACTTAACCCACCTTGGTTCCAGTGTGTGTCCTCCACTGGTGTATGGTTGTGATTGATGTTTCGTGGTGGTTGGAGAGGCCAATCAATCAGGTCGGAATCGATTCCTCCCTATCCTGAGACTGTCCATTGTGTCCTTGGGCAAGACACTTAACGCACCTTGCTCCCAGTGTGTGTCCTCCACTGGTGTATGATTGTGAGTGTTGTGTGGTGGTTGGAGAGTCTGTAGGCATAAACTGGCAGCCACATTTCCGTCAGTCTGCTTCCATCAGGGTAGCTGTAACTACTTAGGTAGTACTGCCTGGATACCATCTCTTATAAGGTGGATTATATAGGGACTCTTGGTGAGATCGTATTTTTTGGGGGGGTTACTTTTTTCTGGTATACCAGTTTTATTGATCAATCACATTCTTAATTTTTTTTTCCATTGTGTGGATTTTTCCCCAAGTATCTCTTTCTGATTTATTTCAATTTGCATTCAATTAAAAGGACAATTTAAGTGCTTCAGAGAGGATGAGAACTTGTTTTTGTTAGTTTGGGACTTTTAATTTATTTTGAATCTATAAGAAGAAGAAAAAGAACTTTATTGATCCCCGAAGGGAAATTCAATAAAATTCAATAAAATTCAATAAATTCTATAAAGATAAATACAAACAGTAGACAGACAATCCAGTGGAGTTTTAAATCATTTATTCTCTTGAATAATTCAAAGTTTTCAGCTACTCTGACCAGTTTAATTTTTTTTTATGACCTGGATGTGTGTCTAAAACAGGAAGGTTTGAGGTGTTTTATTTTGATGGAGATGCTGTATGTCATTGTGGAGGTATATTTCTTGTATTTATGACAAACAAACTGTCAATGAAAGCAGGAAATAATCAGCGGACTGAAATAATAAGTCAAAAGTTTAATATGCAAATAATTGAAAACAAACTCCAACAGCAAACCAGGACAATTACTCCTTATCAGTTCAATGGTAATTTAAATACACATTCCTACATTTCAGTGGTTAAACTTTGACATGATTGATACACATTAGTGCAGTATTTGTCAGTTCTTATACTGCATTGCATGTCTGTGTACTTTCCACTGTCAACATACTTCAATATGTAAGCCACCCAAGTCTCTGTGTCTTTGTTTCATTGTATCTTTGAGTCTTTGTTTATATCTTTTTGTCGCTGATTCTGTCCCTGAGTCCTTGACTTTGTGTCTCTGAGTCTGTCTTTGTATCTGTGTCTGAGTCTGTGTTTTTATGTCTTTGTATCCTTGTGTCTCAGAGTCAGTGTTTTTGTATCTTTGAGAATTTCTTTCTTTGTCTTTTTGTCTTTGGGGCTTTCTGTCACTGATTCTGTCTCTGAGGGTGTTTTCACACTTTGTCCAAACTCAGTCCTCTTTAACTGGACCAAAAAGTTGACCAAAAGTAAAGGAACTCAGTTCTTTTTGTGTTCACATTGTGAGTTTCTTTCAAAGAGGACCGGGTTCTCTTTCTAGTCTAGTTCAATTTTGATGTAGCCTCAGTCCTCTTTCTGTTCACACTGGGTCCTCTGGAGCATTTTTTTTTTATTTTTTTTCTTTAACTCTGCACAGTACAAATGTTGATTATAACTGGCCGCTTTCATCCTCTGAAAATTCTTAAAAGACTTTACCCTTGTAATTTAAAGCTCCATCCAGCCTTGTTTGTCCCAAAATGGGCATGCAAATAATTGTTCATAAAATAATCATTTTTTAACATTTTTTAAATACTTTTTTTTGACTCATATCTCTTAATCAACTTCAGCCCTGACCATTAAAAGATAAATAAATAATTAGATGTATCACCCTTTTTATGCCACTTATTATGCGCCATGTCATAGGACCTGGATTTGTTCGTTCGATTCCCAGGGCAAAAAAACACACCAGTTTTAACTCCTTTTCTCAAGCCTCGTCCTCTACCAAATCATATGTGGGAGAATTCATTTGTTCATGGTAAGTTGATTTTATATATAGGCATAAAAATCAGAGGATATATGTAAAATAGGAATCATTTAGAAGTGCTTTTCCATCTCTAACCAAAATATGACAGCGATTACCCTGATTACGCACCAACTTAAATAAAGTGCATATTTAAGATATGATATATTCTCACCTAATGAGCCGAAGGACCTTTGCCTCCTCATGCATGTCCATCCACTTGCTCTGAAGTGAGGGCAAAGTTGAAATTGTTCAAATGTCCCCCTCTCTTAGTCCCATACTGCTGAACTTGGACGTCGCATTTTGGACTGTAAAAACTCAGATTCACATCCATGCACACGTAGGGGCAAACAAACTTTTCCTTACACATGTAGCCCACTCCTAGGCATCCTTATCTAGTGGCACGTATAGTCTCATTCAAAGGTCGTGTTGTAACTGAGCTAAATGAGAGCCAGCTTCCTCTATTTAAGGACTGTCGTCTTCTTCTGTGGAAATAATTTTTGCAGCTTTTGTTGATGTAGCTGTTGTACCTCCCTGTGTACTGCCTGCTCATCGCACTGAGATAAAGGTTGTTCGGATCTGCAAAGTTTGTGGTGTTTCCCTTCTTCTTTGCACAAGTCACTGCATATTTTTGGCAATGAGGTGAACTGTTTTTTGGCCGTGTTGACTTTAGTGGTGGCAGTGGAGCTACATGAGGTTGGACTTCAGCAAGCTAGGATGGCTACATATAGGACTGTCGGTAAATTTGTGTAGGGAAACAAGGACTTGATTGAGTACGAGGAAAGGTTGGGACACTTTTTCGCTGCCAATGACATTACAGATAAGGCTAAAAAGCACTCTGTTCTCTTAAGTACATGTGGAGCAAAGAGTTATAAGCTAACAAGGAATTTGGCTACACCACGGAAGCCAGGGGAACTTCCATATGATGAACTGGTTGCACTTGTGGGAAACCACCACAACCCAAAACCTTCGGTGATAGTCCAGAGTTTTAAGTTCTATAGCAGGGGTCGGCAACCTTAAACACTCAAAGAGCCACTTGGACCAGTTTCCCACAGAAAAGAAAACACAGGGAGCCACAAAACCTCTTTGACATCTAAAATGAAGATAACATTGCATATATCTTTTTTTTTTTACCTTTATACAAAGTATATAAAAAACTGTAGCGAGTTGCATTTATGAAATAAATGAACTATTTCGGCGAGTGTCTGTCTTCGTCTGTAGTTAAACCGCAAGATATCAAAATCTACCCGGATACAGCAATGCTGCTTTTTGATTGGCTGTTCAGTAGATATACTTTATTTGATTGGCTTGTGCGTGGCACGCAGCTTCTGAACTCAGAGGAACTCAGTTGATTTCCCCAGTTCCATAGTTGAGGAAGTGCAACTAAATGGACATCACCGTGTTCATTTAAATGCGTGAGAAATACAATGTGTGGTGTGTGAGCATGTGAACGAGTGGGAATGCGTGTGTCATACGCTGAATGCATGAGACTTGAGAGCCCTGTGCTCACGCATCATCGATGTACTCCCGAGCCATGCAAAACGGTCTTTGCAAATGTTGCACTGAACGCCTTCCTTTTCGGTCTTGGTGAAGTTTTCCCACACCACTGATGTTTTAGGTCGGGATTTGGGTTGGGTTGTGTCCATGTTTTTCTCAGCCGCTGCCTCGGCCATGGCTGTTTCTTTTCTGTGCGTCCTGCTGATGTTTACACGCCGGTGTCCATGGACATATATAAAGACCCGACGAATCGATTACAGAATTTGTTGGCAACGGATTTTTTCGTCACGACGAATCTACTTAATCGATTCGTTGTTGCAGCCTTAATAGTTTATTTAATGTTACAAGAGCATTATAATCTTTGAATTTAGAATTACAAAAAAAAAAATAATAATAATAAAATAAAATAAAAAATAAAATAGTATTTATTATTTATTTTCCAAATCCATTGGGAGCCGCAACTTAGGGAAGAAAGAGCCGCATGCGGCTCCAGAGCCGCAGGTTGCCGACCCCTGTTCTATAGTAATTGTCAGGAAACAAGGCCAGTCTGTATCCACCTTTGTTGCTGAGTAATTACAGCTGTCAGAGCATTGTGACTTTGGAACAGTGTTGAATGTTATGCTCCATGACAGACTGGTGTGTGGCATTAATAATGATGCCATTCAGCGCCGCCTGCTGGGGGAGACCCCACCACTGACTTTCAAGAAAGCCCTGGAGATTTCCCAAGGTATGGAGATGGCTGCCAATAATGCTTAGGATATCCAGAAAGGAAACGGAGGGGCACAGATAGCAGCAGTGTCTCAAGTGAAGGAAGACACTGGTAAACAGGCAAAGCGAGTGGAATGTTTCTGGTGTGGAGGGGAACACTATGCTACACTGTTTGCCATGCTTGTAGCATGGGAAAAGGGAAATTTAGCTAAAAGGTGTAGAGGGCCTAAGGAGAGGGGGAAGCCTGGGCTGGGAAAATCCAATAAGTCTCAGGCAGCCACTTCCCACCTAGATGAAGAGGCTGAGTGTTCTTATAACATGTTTGGAGTGGAAACAGACGATGAACCACCTGAGCCCTATTATGCTACCATCAAGGTCAGAGGGAAATACATTAAGTCTGAAACTTATTCAGGGGCTACCGCATCTGTTATTAGTGAAAAGAGCTACAGATGGACATGGGAGTCTAACCTACCTCCCCTCTGTCGATAGAAGCTTAAACTTAAAACTTGTTCAGGCCAGCCCATTCCTCAATTGGGCGTGCTGTAAGTGAACATTTTAGCAGAGGGTCAGAAGGCGAATGCTAGGCTGGTGGTTGCTAAGGGCTGGGGCCCCAGTCTGTTGGGCCGTGATTGGCTTTGCAAGATCTGTCTGAACTGGCAGGAAATAAAATATGCATACACAACAGAGAACATTCTGCAGCAGTATAAGGAAGTGTTCAGGGAAGAGCTGGGGACGCTGAAGGGAGTTACAGTAAAGCTTCATGTGAACCCTGGAGCCACCTCAAGATTTTTCAAGCCCAGGTCAGTGCCGTACACCATGAAAGGCAAAGTTGAAGAAGAGCTAGAATGGTTGCAGAAGCTGAGCATTATTGAGCCTGTTCAGTTTTCAAGGTGGACAGCACCCATTGTTCCAGTTTTGAAAGAGCACAAAACTGCACGGGTACATGGAGACTATAAGCTCACAGTCACAAAAAAATTATTACATCGGGTATGTGGGGACTATAAGAGATAAGGGTACTCTTCAAGTCTCTAAGCTTGAAGAGTACCATTTGCCATGCATAGAGGACCTGTTCGCAACTCTGGCCGGGGATAAGCTCTTCACCAAGTTGGATATGAGCCAGGCATATCAGCAGCCGCTGCTTGACAAGGAGTCGAAAGAGGGCTGAAAAAAAAAAGCAGGGCTGTGATTTAAGCAAAGCAAATGTGTGTTCCTGGCATCGAGTGTGACCTACCTGGGCCATAGGATCACAGCGGAGGGACTCTGCCTAGAAGAGGATAAGAGTTGTTGAAGAGGCCCCAAGCCCTAGGTGTGTCGCCAAGCTCAGATCTTTTCTGGGCTTGGTAAATTATTATGGAAAATTTCTGCCAGACCTCTCCTGGGTTTTAGCCCCACTGTACAAGCTTCTTCACAATGACATTAAGTGGCAGTGGGGTACAGTGCAAGAGGAAGCTTTTAAAGAAGTGAAAGAGCTTCTCCAATCATCAACGCTCTTGGTTCACAATGACCCAGATAAGAAGATAATCCTGTCCTGTGATGCCTCACCCTACGGAGCTGGGGCAGTCCTTTCGCATGTAAAGGAGGATAATTCAGAGGTTTTGCTGGTTTTGCGTCACATACCCTGACGGCAGCAAAGAAGGGTTAATCACAACTCGACAAAGAAGGGCCGTCCATCATCTTTGCTGTCAAGTGCTTTCATCAGTATCTCTATTGCCTTGCTTTTAATATCCACGCCGACCATGAACTACTGATGAGTTTATTCAGCCAAACCAGATGCATTCCACCACTAGCTTCAGCTAGGATACAGCGCTGGGCGCTCACCCTGTCAGCCTACCAATATGCCAAGGTGTACAAAGCAGGTAAAGATAATGCTAATGCTGATGCCTGAAGCTGCCTGCCTTTGCCTGAAACACCTGCCATTACCTTTGTGTGTTTTCGATGGAGAGGCTGGCAGAGACACCAATAACAGCATCCCAGATCACACAATGGACAGATAGGGACCCTGTTTTGTCCCGTGTCAAACGTTTCCTTTTACAAGGCTGGCCCAGAGTGGTGGATGGAGAGAAGCTGAGGCTGTATGCTATACGCAAAACAGAGCTTAGTCTGCAAGATGGCTGCAGACTAAGAAGGCGAGGGGCATTGCGCCTTCACAAGGCCATATTCAGATTGTGGATGAATTACATGAGACTCATTCAGGTGTATCTCGGATGAAAAGCTTGTTGAGATCCTATGTTTGGTAGCCCAGACTGGATCAGGATCTACAGACCAAGGTGAAAAAATGCGGTGTCAGACCAATCAGAACATGCTTCAGCTTACTCCTTTGCACCCATGGGAGTGGCCAGACTGCCTTTGGTCGAGGTTACATTTGGACTTCTAGGGGGCACATGTTTCTTGCAATGATGGATGCACAATACAAGTAGATTGAGGCCTACAATATGAGCAATATTACAGTCCCTGCAACCATCGACAAACTCAGGCAAGTGTTAGCTGTCCATGGGTTGCCTGACACACTGGTCACGGATAATAGCCACACATTCACCAGTGAAATGTTCAGTTAGTTTATGTGCCAGAATAACATCCAACCCATTCTGACAGCCCCTTTCCATCCAGCCTCGAAAGGCTTGGTGGAGAGGGCTATGCAGACAGTGAAGGTGGGCTTAAAAAAGGATGACTGGAGGCTCTCTCAGCACTCAGCTTTCATGGTTCTTGTTTAAATATCACCCTAACCCACAGACCACAGGATGCACGCCAGCTGAGCTACTGATGGGGTGTATACCAAAGATGAGACTGGACCTGCTGTGTCTAGACTAGATGATGACATTTTTCTGGAATTCCTGTGGGTCACGTGATTCCCACGGGAATCCCACAGGATTGGAGTCATTCTTTAATTAATCCCGTGATCGGGAAAAAAAGCAACGGGAGTGGGCAGACGCAGGAACAACATTAATAGATTATCAATTTCAGCCATGTTAAACAAGCAGATGAACAGATGCGTCCATTTTTGTTGTCATCTCTCAGTGAGAGCCAACACACTTGACCGTGCTAGCAACACAAAAGAACTACAACAGTGGTTTGACTTCCTGTTACCACTGGAAGTGAAAAGCGACTTGGAGTGGCTGCCGGCGACACACATAACAAAACAACATGGAGGGAGACGACATGTCGAAAAGAGAGCTGCAGCACAAAGTTAAAAATAAGGATGCGTCGGTGAAGCACTTTGTTTACACCGACCGAATATCAGGCATGTGAAACTTAAAGGCAATGCCTTTTATATGCACTGCACCTTTACCTAAAATAAAAAATGCAACATTTTTTCAACATGTTTGGTATTATTCAAACGGAAGCGGGACAGGAGTGGGAGTAATTTTGAGTGGGAGCGGGATGGGAGTGGGAGTCATTCTACGGGAGTGGGACAGGACAGGATTAATTTTTTTCCTCCGGTCCGGGATCGAGACGGGACAGGATTTTTTCTCTGGGAGTGGGATGGGACAGGAGTGAAAATCTGCTCCCGTGTCATGCTTTAGTCCAGACATGAAGGGGAAAGTGGTGGAAAAACAGGGAAAACATAAAGTAAGACATGATCAACATGCTCATGAAAGACAATTAAACCCAAACCTATTCTATTCAAGGACTGTCGTCTTCTTCTGTGGAAATAATTTTTGCAGCTTTTGCTGATGTAGCTGTTGTACCTCCCTGTGTAGTGCCTGCTCATCGCACTGAGATCAGATTGTTCTGATCGGCAAAGTTTGTGTTGTTTCCCTTTTTCTGTGCAGAACTCACCACATGTCCCATATCATGCAAAATTCACTTAACAATTGTTTTCTAACAATAATATACATCCTCAGCTCATCTACAAACTCCCCCAAAATGAGAAAAATCTATCCTCTCCCTCTCTTGCTTGTTCCACCTTTCAGAAAATGTCTGCTCAAACGGGCGGATTGAAACTCTCGCCGTCTATGATGTCATGGATGGCAATAACTCCTCTCTGCCCAAGGTGTTTGTTCTGCCCCCTCAAAATTTCCACTCAGACACTATTTCCTTCTTCATGACGCTGGTTCGAAATAGCGAAGATATGAGCTAGGCACAGCAGTTGCTCTGTTGTTGGCTGCAAGAAGCAGCACAGAAGTTTGTTTTTACCTCCCTCTTTGTCTGAGGTTTTGAAGGCCCACTTGATTAATTTTATTTTCAAAGGAAACAACAACCCCTTAAATGTTGTATGCATATGCCTACCACCTCACTTCGGATTGCTGTCTCAACAAGGGCCAGTACAAAGCAGGATTCACTAAGAATCTAAAGCTGAAGCCTGGATCGGTAACCACTGTCCTCAACCCAAATAACGTGGGAGCCAGTGGTGGACTGGACCATCGGGATCACCGGGCCGATCCCCCCCCCCCCCCCACACACACACACACACACACACACACAAAAAGACCAGGCCATTGAACTTGGAAGCAGGCCAGGCCAGCAGTAAAAGGGTTTAATTAATTCATGTCCGTTGCCATGGCAACACGTAGCTGTCGCGACTGAAAGTAGAGCTGTGAGGTGATCGGCCACAGATGCGCTGATCGAGCATCGTTGTCCACTCCGCTCCTGAGCTGATCATGTTTCTGTCTCTTTCTCCCCCAGGGGAAATGTCTGTAATTGTTTTTTCGTGCTGTAGCTCTAAGATGTGATCAGTTTGAGTTTAATAAGGTCGCTGACCGACTACGATGCTAGTGGTGCATGCTAATCCAAGTTTTATGCCTCTCAAGAACTTTGACATTTTCTGACAAGCTTTCAACATTTTATTAGAGTACAACAGCAATGTGGTAGGCTATATTCTTAGTTTAAATGAGTAAACAAATAGTTGAAGGCATGACTAATATGGAGTTTTTATAACCATGATGAATATCCTTCTGTAAAATCTAGTTCAGTAGGCTATAAAGCACCTGTCAAATTACTTCCGATTAAAATGATACAAAGAAACGAGACAAAGACTAAAACTAATTCCTTTGCCGTTGCCAGCAAATCTGCTTCAATGTGTATTGGCCTGGATGGAGTCAAACTCCTGGCCTGAATTGTGTTCCCAGTCCACCCCTGGTGGGAGCTGTAAGTTTTACTATTTCATGTAGTCACAAGAGATAACTTTACTTACAATATTGCGCATTCACCAAAAGAGCTCCAAGTAATGAGAAGACAGCGGAAATGTAACCATTAGCAGGAGCTAATGTAAGCTACATATAAGTCACTGTATACCAACACACAAACAATGTACAGATAAAAATATCACAACACATAATATTTGTAACTAACCATTCAGAAACGTCCTGCTGCAGTCACAGAGTTGGAACTTCTTCAGGAGCCTATCTTTCTGGGTCAGACTCTGGATCAAACTGGTTCAGCTGGACCACAGCGCTTCTACAGCCATACCAAGCACCCTGTGTAAACATTAGCGCATGGTACTATAGCGCAACCCCTCTTCCAGAGAGACAGAGAGGGGCATGGCTTGTGCTGAAGGAGGCGTGGACAGGCAAGGCAAACAGAAACAGTGTGTTCTCGATACAGCTCACTAAATAGAGTTTTCAGGCTGGCTGAAGTCCAGGAAAAAAACTGGGTTTTAGACAACAACCTTCAAATTGACTGTTCTGGGACCTCTGAGACCTATGTGAACCTGCTGAAAAGGAGTATAATATGGGAATTTAATATTGATGATGCTTAGTGGATGAAATAGCACTTCAAACACTCTCAGTCCATGACAGAAACACTGCGTGCGCAGCACCAAAGGGATTAAAATTGTGCACGGGCACAATCTGTTGTTTCACTGTGGAAAAGTAAAATTTAGAGCCCTGGTAACTGGGTGACTGCAAAAAAAGGTTGCAATATGTTGTTTTGATGCCATAAACACACCATTAAAAAAACTGTTTTTTGATGGAAGTCTATCGTCCGTTTTGTGGACAGAGTAGGCTGGATGGAGACAAAATGCTTTGACAGTGGTCTATGGGCAGCGTGTTTGTTCTTTTTTACTATGAAGAAAAATAAGAACCGTCACCCAATTTGATGCCTCAATCTTTAACTATGTGACTATAAACTCAAAATAATGATGATAAAAATGAAGAAAACGGCACAATTGGAACCAAGGGTTAAGATAACACTGGGTCATATATAGTCACCCCCCCCCCCCAAAAAAAAAAAAAAAAAAAAAAAAAACGCTGCGTCCACGTATCAAGATGAAATATTGAAAGCCATACCTTGGATTTGTTGTGCTTTCTTTTCTCTACCACTCTGAGTAATATTATAATGCAGTGCAAAAAGGTGAAGTGAACTGGGTGCACTTTGTGTTCACAATGCGCAGATTGTGGTGAACCGTACTGCAGACTTTTTAGCATACTGTACTGACAGTACCTCCCAGGGTGGTCTCATTGGTGGTTCATTTTAAAGGGGTCTGAGTATAGTTGGAGTGTTCAAATATAGATAAAAAATGGTGAGTAATCAATCTGAATTGTTTAGAGGGCTGAAAAGGGACCAAGAGTGAAAACACCCTGAGTCTCTGACCCACTCTGTATCTTTGACTCTTTGTTTCTTTGAATCTTTGCATTTCTGTGCCTCTGATTCTGTATCTGATTCTTTGTATCTTTGTGTCTTTGAGTGTTTTATATTTTTAATCTGTTTCCTTGTATCTTTTATAGGATGACACATAAAGACTTTAATTTTGAGAGGGAAAAATCGCAGAAAAAGTAGGACGCAGTTTTCTTCTGCAATGGATTTCTTTGCAGCAGCTCAGTTGAGACTGCCTCTGATGGAACAATGATGGACTTTAGCTCTGGATCAGGTCTTTGTTTTCCTATGAAGTCTCTCTGTTCTGGTCTCTGCTGAACCCGGTGTTCAGTTGTCATAATCCCTGCTTGTCCTGGTCTCTACTGGTCTTGAATTCTACTGGTCCTGATCTTGGCGGGTTCTGGTATTGGAATCAGCTGTGGGTCCTGTTCAGGTCTGGCCTCTGCATGGTGTCTTGTATCCAGTGGAGGAAGTTCCCCAGGCGGGTGTAGACCCCATACTTGCCTTTGGCTGCACATTTCTCCCCCCAGCTGACCACTCCAGTCAGAAACCAGGTCCCCCTATAGTTCACCACAAACGGCCCCCCACTGTCCCCACTGCAAGCGTCCATGCTTGTGTCTGTGTACCCCGCACAGAACATGTTATCTGTTACCACCTGAGGACAGAGACCCACATGGATCACAAGTCAGGGACATGTTACGGACAAGTCATGGCACAGCTGGGGGTGCTGAGAGGATGAGGACAAAGGTCTATTTAAATGAACTAAGAGTAACTGTAAACTTAAGGCTCCACCCTCAGTGACCCTGGGTACCACGGTCAAACCTGCTGGTATTTAAGACTGTGTGTGTCTGTGTATCACCTGTTCAGTAGTAGCTGTACAGTCACTGTAACTGACCACAGGGAGGGTCACCTTCCTGAGGAACCTGGAGGATCTGCCCAGGTAACGTGTCAATCCCCAGCCTGTCACCACACCTCGGTTATCCACCTGATAAACACACAAAAAAATCATGTATCAGGTGGTGTGTATAGGCCTTTTAAAACACTGCAACCCTCCATGTTCTTGTTAAAGTTACCTGCAGCAGGTATTTGGACAGGTGACGGTCAGGTAGGCAAGCAGGGACAGCAGTTGGGCCCCTAACAACGGGCTGCTCAAGGTACAACAGAGCGATGTCACTGTCGAAGGTAAACGAGTGGAAGTGAGGATGAACAAAGACCTTCTGCACCTTAATGAGCTGCTCACCTGGATCAGGACGTCGCTTATCATGATCTCCTGCACACACACACACACACACACACACACACACACACACACACACACACACACACACACACACACACACACACACACACACACACACACACACAGTATAAGAAGACTATGCACACAGCAGCTTTTTTATATCACCTAAAGTACAAATCAGAGCTGGGGGAGTATCTGCTTATAAATAATAACAGGAATAATTACCTCCGCCAAGGAGGTTATGTTTTTGGTAGCGTTGGTTTGTCTGTTAGCAACTTTACGGAGAAAGTTACAGACGGATTGACCTGAAATTTTCACCAGAGGTGCGTCTCAGCCCCAGGAGGATCCCATTACATTTTGGTGGTGATCCGGATCGCCTTCTGGATCCAGGAAGGATTCTTTATCATTGTGAGATAGGGCAAATTTTGGAATTTTTGCATTTAACTCTATAAAAATGGCCAGAGTCTTTAGTAAAAAAATTACACAAAAGGAGCTCAATGAGTTTTATGAGGTGTCAAAGGTTGATCCTGATCCAATTCAATTTTTCAATTCAGCTTTATATACAGTATATGGCATTTTTCGTGCATGAGGAAATGCAATTCAAAGTGCCTCACAGAGGCTAAAAACAACAATAAAAACAAAAACCCAACCCTTCCACCCACACACACACCCATGGACCCACACACACACAAAGACACACACCCACCCTCACTCACCCACACATACGCACACAACCGCACACAGTGTGAGAATTTATGATATAACTTAAAGAGACATGGCCTGACACCGAGACATTACATGAGGAAAGAGCTACCTTCAGGAAACACAGGAGATAAAAATAGAGATCAAAATGGTGAAAAGAGTAAAACCTGATGGACTAAAATAAGAAATTAATAATATTAAATGAACAAATAAATAAAAGGGAAAATTTTAAAACTAACGGGAAATTAAAATTAAAAAAGGCTAAGAACAGAGATAATGAATAGAATGACATAAAATAAACATCAAGAACTTTGATTAAAATTAACATTTACAATAAGAGAAATCTAAAATGGCAATTAGTAAAAAGCCTGGTTAAAAAAGTGAGTCTTGAGCCTCTTCTTAAAAATATCAACAGTCTCTGCGGCCCTAAGGCTCTCCGGCAGGCTGTTCCACAACCGGGGACCATAAAAACTGAACGCCGCCTCCCCGTCCTGGAGCCAATGCAGCGATGCTAAAACTGGAGTTATATGCTCTTGCCCTTTGGCCCTTGTCAGCACTCTTGAAGCTGAATTCTGTAAAGGCTGAAGTGTATGTAAGTTCTTCTTTGGGAGACCAGAGAGCAGGGCGTTACAATGATCTAAACGAGAGGAGATAAAAGCATGCATCATCACCTCTGTGCTGGCCTGAGAGAGAAACAGGCAGACTCTGGCTATATTCTTAAGGTGGTAAAAACCTACCTTTGCTATGTTTTTGATGTGTGGAATAAAACTGAGCTCAGAGTCGAAAATTATGCCCAGGTTTTTTATAGATGTTGATACTTTAAAATCTTGTAGTTTTGGTAAAAGTGTCTCTCTCAGGCCTTCAGGACCAATAACTAAAACCTCTGTTTTGTCCTGGTTGAGCTGCAGGAAGTTGGCTGCCATCCAGGACTTAATGTCTAAAATGCAATTTAAAAGGGCATCAATTGGCCCGCTATCATCAGGAGACACGGCCATGTACAGTTGTGTATCATCAGCATAGCTGTGGAAGCTGATGCCGTGTCTCTTGATGATGTCCCCCAGGGGAAGCATGTAAAGATTAAAAAGAGTTGGACCCAAAATTGACCCCTGGGGAACCCCACACATAATTTTATGGGTCCAGATTGTTCTTCTTCACAAGAGGCCTCACCAGCGCCATTTTAAAGCAGGTGGGGAAGACCCCTGTCTGAAGAGAGCAATTTACAATGTTTAAAAGCTGTTCCTCAAAGAATCCATAAAACTGTTTAAAAAACCGTGTGGGAATTGGATCTAAAAGGCAGGTTGGGGGGTTTACTTGGAAGAAAACTCGACCAAGTGTCTGCGCATCAACCAGTGCAAAACTCTCCAGTGTTTTCTCGGGTAAAAGCAGTGATCCAGGTATGTTAGCAGTTAAAATCTGTTGAGATAAAACGCTGGATCTGATGTTGTCGATTTTACTTCTGAAGTGGTCTGCAAAATCCTCACAGAGGGTATCAGAGGATGACCCAGGGGTTCTGTTAAAATTATTGTTAGTTAAAAGATCAATAGTTGTCAAAAGAAATCTGGGGTTATGTTTATTGTCAGCGATTAGTTTTTTGTAGTGGGAAGTTCTTGCCTGTTTGACTGTGCTATTGTAGGTTTTGAGGTGGTGTTTAAAAATTTCAAGGTGGACTGTTAATTTTGATTTTCTCCATCTTCTTTCAGCACTCCTGCATTTTCGTTTGAGCTCTTTGATATGCTCGTTTCTCCATGGGGGGTCTTGCTTTTTTCTTGATTGTTTTGGTTAAAAGTGGAGCAACTGAGTCCAGTGTTGACCTTAGATTGTTGTTAAAATTATCAATGATAAAATCACAGGGTGCTGGTAAAATTTGTGGAGAGGTGTTCTGTAGGATGTGAATAAAATTTGCAGCCACTTCAGAAGTTAGGTAGCGTTTCCTCACCGTTCTGACTGGGCTCCCCCTCTGGTTAAAACTGCTGATTTTAAAAAACACACAAAAATGGTCAGACACAGCCAGATCCACAACAGAGGGCGCACCAACGGCCAGGGCAAAGCTTATGACCAGGTCCAGCATGCGCCCCCTGCTGTGGGTCAGCTGTGTCACATGCTGCTGAAAATCAGAGCAGTTTAAAAGATTTTAAAATTCTCTAGACACTGGGTCTGAGGTATTGTCAATGTGTAAATTAAAATCACCAGTTATTAAAATCCTGTTGTAGGTGGTGTGGATGATTGATAAAAGTTCTGAGAATTCACTGATAAAAGAGGTCGAGTAGCGGGGGGGTGGGGGGGGTCTGTACACATTGATGCAGAGGATAGGAGGGCTGCTAAAAACAAAGGCGTGATATCCAAATGACGAGTAGCTGCTAAAGGGAATTGCAGAAGGGGACAGCGTGGATCGTATTACTGATGCAGTTCCTCCTCCTTTCTTCCCCTCCCACGTAGAAAATAAAAAGTTAAAATTTGTGGGGGGGGCCTCAGTGAGAACAACAGGTGCATCAGTGCCAAGCCATGTCTCAGTAAGCAGGATACAGTCAAGCTGTTTTTCTAAAATTAAATCATTTATTATAAAAGACTTGTTTAAAAGAGAGTGCATGTTCAGCATAGCCATTTTAATGTCCGTGCCGAACGTGCGCTCAGCCCTTGATAAAAGGGGGATTTTAAAAACACTGGGGGGTCTAAAAACAGTCCTTGGTTTCGGTTGTCTGTATGAAATGATGGTTTTGATAGTGTGAGTGTCCTGTTTTTCTATTAAGAGTGGTGGGGGTGTTGCTGGTGAGGTGTGTGAGGGAATGCAGAGGGGTGAGGGGTAGGGGGCGTGTGTGTGCATGTGTTGACAGTTTGTCAGGAGGTGGCTGTGGTACAGGAGCAAAGGGTAAGGTCCATATTTACAGATAAAAGCCACGATCCCTCCCGGTTCGGGTCCAGACCGTCTCCCCTAAGGAGGTCTGGTCTGTTCAGAAAAAACACAAATGGGATGCTCAGTAGCCCTTCAGCCGTGACAAGGTGATTGTAGCGGGCCAGAGATTACCACACGCTTACCGGTGTGCAGCAGGCGATCCACCAGGGAGGAAAAATCCTGTTTGAGGATCTTGGACTGTTGTTTTTTAAGGTCGTTGGTGCCAGCCTGCAGCACCAGCGTGGTGGCCGAGCCATGTCCCTTGCTCAGCTGCAGGGCGAAGGACTACACCTCCCTAACGGTGGCACCCGGGAGGCAGAAAGTCCGGCCACCTTCACGTGTCGGACCATGGAGGTCCCAACCACTAGCGTGGAGGGGGCACGCCGGTCCTGGGTGCGTGTTACCTGTTGACTGGCAGTACGGGGGTGGCGGGCAGCCACAGTAGCGGGCGCTGCTCTTCCACGGAGGTGGCAGGACAGGGCCTGCGGTTTGTTTTCCGCTGATCGCGGCCGCGATCGGTCTGGAGCTGGGCGCCCTGGTTGTTGCCGTGGCCATAGCCGACCGGGACATTGGAGAGAGGCCAGCCCGGTGTTGTGCCGTAGAAAGCACCCACGCCATAGAATGCACCCCCTGACGGGAGCGCGCCTACGTCACTCGGTTCGAAAAGTACAGCAACTAGCTCGAGTTGCAACAATATAAAGCGGAAAACTACTTTGTTTTTTAACTTTTCTGGTGAAGGGACTGCTGGGTAAAGGAACAGATATGTGTGCATTTCAAATAAATCACAAGAACACGTCGCCATTCTTTTCTTCTTCCCCGAAACCGCATTCTGTAGCAATAGTAAACTCAGCTGTAATGACCCAAGGAGCCGGTTGGAAGTGCATAACAAGGTGAAATAATCCAAGTTTTCCGTACCACTGGATGGATTCAAAAAGGTGTGCCTTTAATGATTTCATTCAGCCCATGCAGAAAGACCGAAAACAATAGCCCTCTGATTCAGAATATTTGCTGTCCCGAAAATATAATGTTCTCTACCGCGACAGATTGCTGTACAGTTTCTATACCCAAGTACTCTTATATGTGTACATTTTTGAGAGAAATAAAAACTGAAAGACAATTTGACATGTTGTCATGATCCAATACTCGTGTTTTATATAATATAAGATCATTTACTTCCACTTAGAGAGGCTCATGAGTGGATGGATAAATGAATAAATGGATGAGTCAGAAGTCGACAGATGACAATTCGGTTTTCAGACGCGTCATATTTGAACGTACAAAATTTCGTCTCCAAGAGTATGCAATTAAATGTTCCTGATGCTGAGGTACAATGTATGGAGAATACATTTCATGGCAGGCTGTTGAGGCCATTGCTCAGAGATGCAGCCCCTGTCTTTCTCTGGCTAGGAAGGTCAGAGAGCCATGAAACTCACCCTGGTTACTCTTCCTAGTCCCAAATCATGTGGTGCACGGTCCAACAGAAATGCATTTATGGTGGGGGTGGATTTTTTTCCGCCAGCATGGCTTTGTTTACTTCCTGAGACTGCACCCCCTGTCTATCTCTGGCTAGGAAGGTCAGAGGGCCATGAAACTCACCCTAGTTACTCATACTTATCCCCTTTTTATACTGTAAAAATCATGTGGTGCAGGGTCCAACAGAAATGCATTTATGGTGGGGGTGCGTTTTCCGGCAGCATTTCTTTGATATCTACCTGAGACTGCACCCCCCATCTATCTGTCATCTGTCATTTCTGTTGGACCCTGCACCACATGAATTTTACAGTATAAAGAGGGGATAAGTATGAGTAACTAGGGTGAGTTTCATGGCCCTCTGACCTTCCTGGCCAGAGATAGACGGGGGGTGCAGTCTCAGACAGTAGGCACAGACATGCTGTCTGAAAACGCACCCCCACCATAAATGCATTTCTGTTGGACCCTGCACCACATGATTTTTACAGTATAAAAAGAGGATAAGTATGAGTAACTAGGGTAAGTTTCATGGCCCTCTGACCTTCCTGGCCAGAGATAGACACGGGGTGCAGTCTCAGGTAGATAGCAAAGACATGCTGCTGGAAAACGCACCCCCACCATAAATGCTTTTCTGTTGGACCCTGCACCACATGATTTTTACAGTATAAAAAGAGGATAAGTGTGAGTAACTATGGTGAGTTTCATGGCCCTCTGACCTTCCTGGCCAGAGATAGACACGGGTGCAGTCTCAGGTAGATAGCAAAGACATGCTGCCGGAAAATGCACCCCCACCATAAATGCTTTTCTGTTGGACCCTGCACCACACAAATTTTTACAGTATAAAGAGGGGATAAGTATGAGTAACTATGGTGAGTTTCATGGCCCTCTGACCTTCATGGCCAGAGATAGACACGGGGTGCAGTCTCAGGTAGATAGCAAAGACATGCTGCCGGAAAATGCACCCCCACCATAAATGCTTTTCTGTTGGACGCTGCACCACATAATTTTTACAGTATAAAGAGGGGATAAGTATGAGTAACCAGGGTGAGTTTCATGGCCCTCTGACCTTCCTGGCCAGAGATAGACACGGGGTGCATCTCTGAGCAATGGCCTCAACAGCCTGCCATGAAATGTATTCTCCATACATTGTACCTCAGCATCAGGAACATTTAATTGCATACTCTTGGTGCCGAAGTTGTGTACGTTCAAATATGAAGCGTCTGAAAACCGAATTGTCATCCGTCGACTTCTGACTCATCCATTTATTGATTTATCCATCCACTCAAGTGGATGAGTGGAAGAAAATGATCTTATATGAAAAAAAAAACACAAGTATTGGATCATGACAACATGTCAAATATTCTTTCAGTTTTTATGTCTCTCAAAAATGTACACATATAAGAGTAGCTACTTGGGTACAGAAACTGTACAGCAATCTGTCGCGGCAGAGAACATTATATTTTCGGGACAGCAAATATTCCGAATCAGAGGGCTATTGTTTTCGGTCTTTCTGCATAGGCTGAATGAAATCATTAAAGGCACACCTTTTTGAATCCATCCAGTGGTACGGAAAACTTGGATTATTTCACCTTGTTATGCACTTCCAACCGGCTCCTTGGGTCATTACAGCTGAGTTTACTATTGCTACAGAATGCGGTTTCGGGGAAGAAGAAAAGAATGGCGACGTGTTCTTGTGATTTATTTGAAATGCACACATATCTGTTCCTTTACCCAGCAGTCCCTTCACCAGAAAAGTTAAAAAACAAAGTAGTTTTCCGCTTTATATTGTTGCAACTCGAGCTAGTTGCTGTACTTTTCGAACCGAGTGACGTAGGCGCGCTCCCGTCAGGGGATGCCGTCAGGGGGTGCATTCTACAGCGGGGGTGCTTTCTACGGCACAACACCGGCCCCCGGGCTGGTGAGCGCCACGTCCAGCTGGATGGATGGAAGGGGACCAGGCACCCATGGGAGGAAAGTCATGCAGGCTCAGGATATCAAACCTGTTCTCCAGCGGCAAGTCCTGAGGTGGAGCAGGTGGTGAGCTAGCCGCGGCGCCCCTGGTCACCACTGACCAGGGCTCCCTTGGCCTGATGGGCGTTGATGTCGCCGGAGTTGCTGTTGCGTCCTCCTCGGTGGAGTGCTGCGGCTCTGTGGAGCGGTGGCAGGAGGTGGAGGGTGCTGATATTTTGGGCCTGGCTCCCCGGAGGTGCCAATGGGAGTCGGCTCGTGCATCCGCCAGGGTCCCGGTGTTGACAGAGCCGGTCCATGGGAGGGTGGTGTTGTTGGTGGTGCCTGCCAAGCTCCGGTCTTCTGCGCTGTAGGCCCTGAGGTGAGCTATAACTTTATTTTGCATGGTAGCCACGCTGGAAAAATCCATCAGGGTCCTATTTTTCTCCTCAAGGTCTTTCCTTAGTCCTGTTATGCTCTCCCTTAATTTAGAGACAATGGGGAGGCAGGACTCACACACCGCCATCATCGTTAAAAAGTTTTATAATTGCCGCCTCGCAGACAAAATTCCGGATACTGTGAGCTGCTTGGCGGAGGTCTGCGCTCTCGGAGTGCTTTTCTAGTTAGAAACTGTGCTTATTGACAAAGGTAGGAATGAGAAGTGGTTCAGGCTTGGACCACCTCTTCTGTATGATGGGGACCACTTTAGACTCAGACCATTATAAACATAAACTGTTATAGATTTAGACTGTTACAGGCTAAGAATGTTAAAGTGTTTTTACTCTTGACCCCTTTCAGCCCTCTAAATAAACTCAGATCGATGACTCTGCCTTTTTTTTTTTCTGTCTATATACGAACACTCCAACTGTACCCAGACCCCTTTAAAACAAACCCAGAGTACCTCCTGAGGTGGTCTCAGTACGGTTTGCTAAAAAGTCTGCGGTATGGTTGGCCTTATCTGTGCATTGTAAACTCAAGGTGCACTGGGTTCACGTCACCTTTTTGCACTGCATTATAACCTTCTTTGCTTGACGTAGATTGGTCACTGAGAGACCAGGAAGGAGTACAGAAGTGCAGAAGTTCAGAGGGGTAAGGCGGGGCAAGACCATTAAGTGATTTAAAAAGAATTTTAAAATGAACTTTAAAATGTAGGGGCAGCTAAGATCTTGCTGCATGCTTCGTAAGGAAAGTAAACAATGATGGAGGTAGAGAGCAGCTTCAGAGGAGAAGCATCCAGTCTTTGTGAAGATAGTAATATTGACAGAAATTATGACATTGACAACCCCTATTTTGAACCTTCTGGGCCACAAGATAGGGATTTGTGGGTGAGAGGGATGTTTCTAGACGACGAAGATGATGACGAAGAATTTAAAGGCTTCACTAAAGAGTGGAAAACGGATTATTACCACCATAATTTCACATGGTCTTTCAACCGCAGACCAGGCGTAAAAGTTGATCTGCCTACAGGCGTAACTCCAATGAAGGCATTTGCACATATTTTTCCAGAGGAACTCTGGTCACACCTCGTCAGCCAGAAAAATATTTATGCATCCCAGACAAAATGAAGAACACCATCCAGGCCAAAGGCTGCGAAGTGGGCTCCTTTGACTCAGACGAAAATGAAAACATTCATCGGACTTTGCATCTCCATGGGGCTCATTTTTCTGCCAGTCTGGAGGGGCTACTGGTGGCATAAAAAAGATTTATTCCAGACAAGCTTCTCGAAATACATGTCCTGGGACAGATTTTATGGTATATGGAGGTAAGAATAAGAATAACAAAATCTAAGATGATAATAACAATAATGAAAATGATGATGGTAGTGGTAAGAATAACTGATACTGGTGATGATAATTGGTCTTTTTACAGTTTTATTTTATTGATAAGAAATAACGACTTTTATGGCAAGGAGGGATTGATAAAGGTCATGATAATGTATTATGTTATCATTTCTATATTTCAGATATCTACACCTCCAGGACAACCAGGCAGCTGTTGTCAACCAAAGTGACAAGCTCTGGAAAATGAGATGGTTCCTGAACTACTTCAATGTTCAGTTCCAGTCACTGTATGAGGTTGATGGCACTGTGACTGTGGATGAAAGCATGATTAAGTTCAAGGGACATCTCTCTTTACGACAATATCTCTCCATGAATTCAATAAAATGGGGCATCAAGATGTGGGTCATGGCGGAGAGCTCTACAGGTTATGTGTCAAACTTCCAGATAAAAAAAAAAAAAAGAATTAAATCAATGCACCAAGTAGCTCGTATATGTAAAGATGCATTGTTGTATAACTGCTTGTAAAGATATTGTTTTACAGTAATGTATTATTCCTCTCTCTTATCCTTACAAACGTCTAGGTGTACACAGGTCATGAGGGGACTCAAGAGAGAGGACTTGCACACTGTGTGGTAATGGATTTAGCCAGGCCTTATTACAGCTCTCATTTCTCCATTTACATGGACCACTTCTACACTGGGGTGGAGCTCTTCTAGGAAATGAAGACCCATGGTCTGAATGCCTGTGGCACTGTCCGTGCCAATAGGAAGGGACTCCCAAAGAGTGACATGCTTACCAAAAGAGCATCCCTGGGAAGGCATGAATTCAGAGTGGCTCAAAAAGACGAGCTCACTTTCTGTATTTGGCATGACACCCAAATTGTCATGGTACTCTCAAACCACCATGACAGGGACAGTGACCCGGAGGAAAGAGGGAGCCGGCCAAACTGAGGTTGTGGTGCCAGCTTGACTTGCTGACTACCAGAAATACATGAAAGGTTTGTTACTTTTTATGGGCAAAATGCTAATATTTGCTCATTATTATGTGTTGTATATTTCAAGAGGATAAAACAAAACAGAACAGAAACAAACAGAAGCTTGAGAGCTTATTCCTACTATGGTCCTGAGTGAAAATGTGTGTGTGTTATGCCTTTAAACAAAACTGTACTCAGAGCCGAGGTGCTCTAAGTACAGTTCATTTTAAAGGGGTCTAAGTTGGAGTTAGGGCTGGGCGATATGGGAAAAAGTTTACCACAATATATTTTTTCATATTAGTCGATATTGATATATATCGCGATAAAAATTGAAATTTTACAGTGCTTATTGGTAGCATGTCTTTTGCAAAACAATAAGCTCCTGCATCTGTGAGGTCTTTGTGTCTCTTTGACGTTTTGTCATAAACACTGCGCTAGAGAAAGTGGACTGAATGATTCGGCTGCACAGGCGCCATGTGCTCCTTACTCTGCTCAGGGTTTGTAACCTTTTGCATCGTGCGTGCTCTGCCGTGTGGCACCGCTTCAGGTAGTGAAAAAGATTTGAGGTATACCTTGACTTTGCGAGAACATGTACTCGACATAATTTGCAGTGCACATTACTCTGCTTCATGTCCGATGTCAAAAAACAAAATACCTCCACACTATCGAGTTTTTCATGCCAATGTTGTCAATGATGCCATCATCTATTCAGCCTTCATCTGCATTTCTGCCAAGGGTAGATCTCATTTTCTTTCTTTCTCAGCGCCAGTGCTGTCGGCTTCACATGTTTAAGTGCTATGGTTGTGTGTAGCTGCAGCCTGCTACCATGCAGTTGTTTGCTACTTGGTTCTAATTCAGCACATGAATGGTACAGCGTGAAGCAGACCTGGAGCAACTCCCCTTTTCATTGGCTACTTGTATAGTCTACCAAAACATGGCAGAATGCCTGTTAGAAAGCCCATGTTGTTTAGGTGTTTTCAAGTAAATACTGTTCAGTTATATTGTGTTTTACGCTTAGTTTGTCCTATGCCGATTGATTCGTAAATTTCCTCTTGTTTTTACCCAATATTCACCTTCACATCCCGGGTTTATTGTGTGTAAATGCCAGAAGCGAGTTTTATGATGTTTGACTGTCCAAGTTGGATGCTATATTGTGTTAATTTATTGTTTACCGTGATTATGGCTAATGCTGTCTTATGCTACTCAATGTTCAGCTAATGAGCCAATTCTTACCATGGCTGCCATGAGCCTCATGTGAGATTTTTTTTTTTTTTTACAATATATGACTCATATATCATATGATTGATTGCTGAATACAGTCCTTTATATGCAGAGTAATATTATATATGTGTGTTATGTATGGTGTGAGCTGGACTGATTGCTGCCTTGTATTTTTATCTGCAGAACCACAGTCAAATAAATCCACCATTAAACTGGACATCTGTATCCATGTCTTTTAACGGGGACACACACCATACACCTTGCCACACTAAACCCAGCTAAATCCTGGAGAACACACTTTTTTTCCTTTTTAATGCTGACTATCAAAAAGCATATTTTCCATGTTTTATATTGATATTGAAGGAAATTAATTATTGATATATATCATTATCGTTTTATCGCCCAACACTAGTTGGATTGTTCACATATATACAAAAAATGCTGAGTAAGCAATCTGAAATCATTTCAAGGGCTGAAAGGGACCAAGTGTGAAAACACCCTTTGAAATAAACTCACAATGTGAACACAAAACAACTGTGTTCCTTTGCTTTTGATCCACTTTTTGGTCCACTTAAAAAAACACCCTGACTAACTCAGATTGTTATACACTGTTGTTAACTAAGATTATTACAAGCTTGAAATGTTATAGACTTAGACTGTTCTTGCCTCTGACTGTAATAGACGTAGACCTATATAGACACAGACTGTGATAGACTCAGACTGTTACAGGCTAAGACTATTAGAGACTATGAATGTTATTAACTCAGATTTTTACAGACTGTTAGTAATTAGGACTGTTATAGACTGTTATAGACTAGGACAGTTACAGGCTAAGACTGTCAGAGACTATGAATGTTATTTACTCAAATAATTACAGACTTTTGTTAACTAGGACTGTTATAGACTGTTATAGACTCAGTCCCTGCTATATTCAGACTGCAGTTTTGCTTTCTCGATTGCAAACTAACGGGAGGATGACAAAGTAGATATTATTTCTGTGGCTTACAGATGCGCCGAAATAGCGCAACAACATCCTTGTGAACTAGAGATTGTTACCATGTTTTGCTTTCTTGACGGCCTGCTAACGAGAGGATGACAAAGTAAGCATAATTTCGATGGTTCATAGCAGCACTGATATAGCGCAATACCATCCTCATGAGCTAGAGACTGTTTCTATGTTTTGCTTTCTTGACGGCCGGCCAAAGAGAGGATGACAAAATAAACGTAATTTCTATGGTTCAGTTTGGCTTAACAGACCTCTGTTAACACGAGTTAGTATGTTTTGAGTGGGTGGCTGGCTCTATAGCCTGCTGTCCCACTGTTTGACAGATACTATTATCTAACAGATTTCCACCAATCTGTTAGATAAAAGTACATGGGAAAATAGGGTACAGGTTGTAAAAGCAAAGCTCCCAAAAAAGTTCCCCTAATGCATATATCAATTTAACCCAAGATCATCAGTCAAATCATCTCAAAGATTGGGTTAACTTGACCCTTAAAAAATTTGGGTTAATTTGAATAACCCAACATTCTGGGTCAAAATAATCCAATAAGTAGTCGCTCCCTTTTCAACCCTGGTGTTGGGTTAAAAACAACCCAAGTTGGATTTTTAGAGTGTGATAACATGCTAGTAGGGTATGCAGCCTCTCAGTTGGGAAGGAGCCAGCATTGAGGTTTCGTTAATGTTACATGTTGCTACAGAGAACTGTCATACTTCAGAAAGTTTTGTAATACTAGAGATATCAGATACATCATATCCTGTTTATAGTCAGGCTACCAGAGTTTGGATAAGAAATAATGATGGATCCTAATACCAGCAGAGTAAAGCAGGCAAAAACTATATTTATCAATTGGAACGCTAGAGGGCTCAATCATCCTATAAAACGGAGTAAGGTATTTTCACAACTATTAAGCAACTATTAAAGATGAGCTTCAGGTTGAGTGGACGCTGGCGCGTTTGGCTGCCGCTGCTCACGGTAACATTTTAACTTTTTAACACTTTTCCGTGCTCTGGTGACCAGCTCCCAGTTAAGCTGGTCTCCACTGGACTCTTACCCTGTAATTCAGCAACTTTTCGGTGAATTTGAGTTCCCATCGCCCAGTGTGCCTGGTCGGGTAGCCTACTAACTCGACACACCACCCGGCTCCCCATCTCATCATCTCCACCTCGCTTCACCATGTGGATCAGTCGGGTCTATCTACCGGCTACCCTGGTCACCCTGGCGTGGACTGCCCTGTCGCTCCTCCATCTACCCGTTGAAGGACTCCTCCAATATTCAGGGGCGGAGTTTCTCAGACTCCGCTCCCAGAAGCCTGGACCTCCACCGGCGGCTCTACACCTCCACCCGGACATCGCCCTCCAGCCTCGTCCGAGGTATATCCACCGTGGGTCCCGGCGGGCTGTCCACTCTGGCAGCTCTGGGATTACCTCTTTCTGGTCCTCCACTCGTCGCCAACACAAAAACACCGGCCGGGCTCTGGACCACAGGGTGTTAGCCAACCTGGCTAGGTCGGTTAGCACTCCCCACAACAACAACGCCACGGACGTCAGCTTCGGTCTGCTAAATATCAGGTCCCTCTCAGGTAAAGGACATCTTGTCCAAGATATCCTTGTCGACCGCAAGTTTGACTTTTTATGTTTAAACGAGACGTGGCAAGTCCCCGGTGACTTTTCACAGCTGAACGACTCCTCTCCGGCGGGGTTTGTTTACATCTCGAAACCGCGTGAGTCGGGACGTGGCGGAGGTCTCGCGATACTGTATCGCGAGAAGTGGAAGGTCCTGCCTGTCTCTCTGCCTCCTCTCTCCTCACTGGAATGTCTAGCGTGTCAGCTACCCGGACCTGTCCCCACAATCATTGCCACTATATACCGTCCTCCCAAACCCCACAGCAACTTCTTAAATGAATTCTCTGTCCTTCTTACACACCTCGCCACTCTCTCACCCAATATAATCCTGCTTGGAGATTTCAATATCCACATGGACAATCCTACCCTACCCCTTACCACGGACTTCTCTTCATTACTTGAAAGCTTTGGTTTCCAGCAGTTTGCATATTTCCCCACACATATCAAAGGCCACACAATAGATTTAATTTGCTGCTCAGGTCTCACCCCCTCCAACTGTACCGCCGACACATTACACATTACGGACCACTCCCTCCTCTCACTTAACGTCAATCTTCAGCTCTCCATCTCCAAAGCCCCCCGCACCATCTCATACCGCAACATAAAGGACATTAACTTGGACTCCCTTTCCTCCTACATCACCACCCTCACCCTGAACCCCACCTCCACCCCTGATGATCTTGTCACACAATATAACGATGGACTGTCCAATATATTGAACTCAATTGCTCCTATCAAATCCCGCTCTGTCTCCTTCACTAGATCCGCACCTTGGTTTACCCCCCATCTCCGCTCCTTAAAATCCAAAAATCGACAGCTAGAAAGACTCTTCAGAAAAACCGGTCTATCCATCCACAAAGACATCCTAACAACTCAGTTGTCTCTCTATCAGGACTCAATCTCTCATGCCAAATCTCAATACTACTCTGGACTCATCTGCTCCAATGCTGGTAACCCCAAATCTCTCTTCTCTATCTACAACCATATCATTCAACCCCCGGACTGCTTTCCTCCCCACATGTACTCCTCAGACACCTGCAACTCTCTCCTCAGTTTTTTCAATAACAAAATCAGCAAGATCCATCAGAACCTGGGCTCCACATCCTCACCTCTTCCCTCATCTGAACCTCTCCCTCCCTTCCAACCTTTTTCCATCTTTATACTCCCTAATCCCTCAGAAATTGCTGACCTCATATACAAATCTAAACCTTCATCCTGCCTGCTGGACCCCCTCCCCACTCCTTTGGTCAAATCCTGTCTGCCCTCTCTGCTACCCCTCATCTCAGCCATCATTCACTCCTCTCTGTCTACTGGAACTGTTCCCACCCCCTTCAAAACTGCAACCATCAGTCCCACCCTGAAAAAACCTGGTTCAGACCCCAACGACTTCAATAACCTCCGCCCCATTTCCCACCTCCCCTTCATTTCCAAAATCCTAGAAAAAACTGTTGCCTCCCAACTCCACACTCATCTCACTCACAACAGTCTCTATGAACAGTTCCAGTCTGGCTTTCGTCCCCTCCATAGCACTGAAACAGCCCTCATCAAAATCACTAACGACCTCCTCATGGCAGCTGATTCTGGTTTAATCTCCATCCTCATTCTCCTCGATCTGAGTGCGGCCTTCGACACCATCTCTCATCCCATCCTCCTCCATAGACTCTCCTCCATAGGCATTACTCACACCCCCCTCCACTGGTTTCACTCATACCTCACTGGCCGCACTCAGTTCATCCAACTCAAATCATTCACCTCACAGCCCTCCCCTGTCACTTCTGGTGTCCCCCAGGGTTCTGTCCTAGGCCCCCTCCTCTTCATTATCTATCTCCTTCCCCTTGGCAGCATCCTCCGTAAATTTGGCATACATTTTCATTGCTTCGCAGATGACACCCAGCTCTACCTCTCCAGCAAACCCGACGCCTCCCTTCCACCCTCCTCCCTCACCCACTGCCTCTCAGAAATTAAATCCTGGTTCACCTCAAACTTCCTCAAACTCAACTCCAATAAAACAGAACTCCTCCTGGTCGGTACCAAGTCCACTCTTTCCAAAACTAACAGTTTCTCCCTCTCCATAGACAATTCCACAGTATCCCCTTCCCCTCAGGTTAAGAGTCTGGGTGTCATCCTTGACAGCTCTCTATCATTCCACTCCCACATCAGTAGCATCACCCGGTCTGCATATTTCCACCTACGAAACATCAACCGTCTCCGTCCATCACTCACTCCTCACACCACAGCTATTCTGGTCCACAGCCTTGTTACTTCACGCATTGACTACTGTAACTCACTCCTCTTCGGTGCCCCTCACAAATCCCTCCATAAACTTCAACTTGTCCAAAACTCTGCAGCCCGCATTATCACCAGAACCCCCTCTTTTCACCACATCACCCCTGTCCTTCAGCAGCTTCACTGGCTCCCCATCAAGTTCAGAATCAACTACAAAATCCTCCTGTACACTTTCAAGGCCATCCATAACCTTGCCCCCCCCCTACCTCTCCCATCTCCTCCACATATCCACCCCCTCACGCTCCCTCAGATCCTCCTCCTCCCTCCACCTCTCTGTCCCCTCTGCCTGGCTCAGCACCATGGGGAGCAGGGCTTTCAGTCGCTCTGCTCCCAAACTCTGGAACTCTCTCCCCCCGGACCTCAGGAACATGGACTCATTACCCCACTTTAAATCCAATCTCAAAACACACCTATTCCGAATCGCATACTCACTTTAACTGTCTTCTTTCACACTTGTATGTTGTTCTTATTTATTTTAATTATGTTTCTAGCTGTGTTTTTATGCCCTGTAAAGTGTCCTTGGGTGCTCAGAAAGGCGCTTTTAAATAAAATGTATTATTATTATTATTAAAGTTACGGATGGATATAGCATTTTTGACTGAAACTCATTTGATTAGCAAGGACCACACCAGACTCAAGAAGGGGGGCTTTTCCCAGATATTTCATTCTACATTTAGTACTAATTGCTGAGGTGCTGCCATTCTTTTCCACAGGAATGTACAATTAATACAATCTAAGGTTATCTCGGACAGGGACGGTCGTTTTGTCATAGTACAAGTACATCTTTATAATTTACCAGTGGGGCTTGCATGTGTCTACACTCCCAACTGGGACAATGCAAAAATTTTTAAAAACGTTTTTTCCCTCCTTCCAGAACTGAACAGTCATAAACTGATTTTGGGGCCTGAACTGTGTCCTTGACCCTACTCTGGAGTGCTCCAGGGCTACACCAGGGTCACTAAGTAAATCTGCAGAGACAATTAGCTCCTTTTTACAGGCCTACGGGGTGATTGTTGTCTGAAGATACAGGAATCCAGGGTCTAAGCCGTACTTTTTTTTTTTTTTACTATTTTTTTCGCCAGTGCACCAAGCATATTCTAGACTGGACTACTTTTTGCTGGATAAGAGACTCCTCCCCTTGCTGAGGTCTATTGAATATGAGAGCATTGTTATCTTTGATCATAGCCCAGTGAAAACGTCCCTTTATTCTCCAAATAATGAATATCCAGATTGACTTTTTTTAGAAATGAATCAGTTGCCCGATACAACCTACTGCAGCCTCCAGGAAACACTAAAAGCATATTTGTGTTGCCAGATAATATCATACAATACAAATCGAAATAAAAGACAGTCTGCACACCTTAATTAGCTCATCTCTCTGATAACTGACCTCTACAGAAAGAGAGTAGAATTACAAACAGAGTTTGATACTCTTTCATCCGGGGCTGCAGAGGAGCACCTTAGATCTCGCCAGGAGTTTTATGAGCATGGAGAGTGAGCAATAAACTGCTTTGCCATCAGCTGAGGCAATCCTCAGGGGCTGGGTTTATAGAGGAGATCGATACCCTGGGTGGAGTTATGACTTATCAAAGATGTTTAAATGACCAATTTAAGAAATTATCTTTATGCCACAGAAAACTGCGATAGCATGTGCATGGCACAGTTTTCCAATGGCCTTAAGTTGCTGAGTGTGGCCCCCAGGATAGAAAAGAACTTGACAATACCATCTCAGCATCTGAAATAAATCAGGCAATTAATAAGATGAAGAGTGGTAAAGCTCCTGGCCCGCTGGCTTTCCATTTGAGTTCTTTAAAAAAATTGCAAAAAAATTAGTCCCTCTCTTAAAGAAGGTTTACAGTAAGGCACTGGAACAAAAATCTCTCCCCCCAACTATGACCCAAGCCCCAATTTTAGTCCTTCTCAAAAAAAGGAAAGGACCATCAGAAATGTGAATCATATTGCCCTATGAGCCTGCTCTGTTGTGACTATAAAATTCTAACAAAAGTTCTGGCCGGCAGACTGGAATCGGTCATGCCTACAGTAATACACCCGGATTGGACTGGCTTTATTATAGGAAGGCAACTTTGTGGTAACTTATGTAAACTTTTCAATGTTTTGAACTCTTCGGAAACTCCACCCATAGCAAACTTTATAAATGTTTGGATAGATTCGCTTTTGGATCAACTTTGTAATTGGATTTATATGCTGCACCCCAGGCCACAGTTCGTACAAGTCGCACAATTTCAGGGTTTTTCCAGATAGGTAGAAGGGACAAGACAGTGCTGTCTGCTAAGCCCACTCTTATTTGACCTAGCTATGGAGCCGCTGGCAGTTGCCCTTAGGGATGTCACGGGCATTGATAGGGGGGGTCTAACTCACAAATTGTCCTTATATGCAGACGACCTGCTGCTTCTTTTATCAAATCCGGTGATCTCTTTCCCAAGGGCATTAGAGATCATCTCAACGTTTGGTAAATTTTCAGGATATAGGATTAACCTTGCTAAGAATATGCTCTTTCCAGTCAATGACCAGGCCCAACAGATGTCATTCGAAGCTTACCTGCTGACTGTAACCCAGGATGCCTTTACATATCTGGGTGGAACAGTAACCCGTAGATACAAAGACCTATTCAAAGACATCTTTAAACCAGCTCTAGAGCAGGCCAAGCAAGACCTTACGTGATGGTCAACACTCCCTATATCCTTGGCGGGAAGACTAAATTCTATCGATGACAATTAAGAATAAGAAGTACTGTATTATGCCTAGGTTCCTTCATGTTTCAGACAGTATCGGTTTTCATCACAAAATCCTTTTTTAAGGAGCTTGACAAGTCCATATCTGCATTTATTTGTAATAAGGCTGTTCCTCTGATACGGAGGGGATTCCTGGAGAGACAGAAGGTGGTGGGAGGCCTGGGACTACCAAATTTTATGCAATACTATTGGGCGGCTAACATCCATAAATATACTGGGCGTCGTGACCCAAGGAGGGGGGTGACATGGTGTGAGTTGAAATTGAGCAACACCCCACCCACCCTATTTTCTTATCTTCTCTAATATGTGTTATGTTGCCAGTATGTCAGTAAACAGCATCTTACCAATTATCCTATAGTAAGTAACTCCCTTCGAATTTGGTCTCAGTTCAGGACCCGCATTACACACAGACAGGCCCTGTCATCTCTCCCAATCACAGCTAATGCACTCTTCCGACCCTCTATTATGGACGCTGCTTTTCAGGTGTGGTATAGAAATGGTCTGGGGCGGGTGTGTTCATGTCTTTTGACCAATTAGTGAATGGATACAATATCCCCTGCTCACAATTTTTCAGATATTTGCAAGTGCATGCCTTTGTTAAGAAACACTTCTCCCCTTTTCCTTCACTCTCGTTAGATGGTTGGATAGATGAATGGCTGGAACGGGATCTTATGCATAGGGGGTCTGTGGGTAGATTGTATAGTGATATTCAAGAGATTAACCCCCCTTCACTTAGTCATGTTAAGATTGCATGGGATCATCTCAGATAACTCCTAGAAATTTGCTGTAGAAAAAATACACTCAACATCTGTCTGTATTAGACATGGTTTGCTCCAATTTAAAGTATTCCATAGGCTTCACCTTTCTAGGAGTAGGCTTGCCGGGATATATCCAGATGTTGACCCAACTTATTCTCAATGTCACAAAGCCCCTGCCACTCTTGGTCATATGTTTTGGTCATGTCCAAAATTAATAACATTTTGGTCCTCTATGTTTGAGACATTCTCTTATATCTGTGGCAGGGAGATCAGCCCTGACCAAGAAACAGCAATTTTTAGTGATCAGATAAGGGTGTCTAAGGCCCAATCAGACGTTATGGATTTTTCCTCTTTACTGGCTCGACACATTATTTTATTTGAATGGAAGTCAGCCAGTCCCCCTACACACAGGCGATGTGATGGCACATTTGAAGCTTGAGAAGTTAAAGCACTGAACCAGACGATCCGTCAGAAGATTCTATTTGGTCTGGCAGCCATTTTTTGATTATTTCACCACAGAATTCCCTACCAGAGATGCTGGAACTTAAATAGGACATTCCTCTGAATCTATGTAAAAAAACACTTTTTATCATTGGAGCTTTTGTATGTATGAAGTTTGTATGTTGTGCCCTCATGTGGATATTGGTGGATGTGTTTGTTTTTGCATTTGAAAAATTAAATAAAAATATTTTATTGTATGTATATGTCACAAGGCAGAGGGTTAGTATTATCCTGATCTTTGCAGACTTTTGGCATGTTTTTAAATTTTGGGTTTTATTTGTGATGTGTTTTTATTTATGCTTGTGTTTTTATGCATGTTTTTATTATGATCTCACCCCTGTCTTGAGAGACATAATTGCTGATCACCTGCACCGGTGTAGTTGTTGGATTTGATAGACAATAGGATGGACCAATCAGGATACTAAGAGTCTCCGCTCATCCAATCCATGGCTGAAGGGAGGGTCCAAATCAGAGAAAGCAGGAAGAAAAGCAGACTGCTGAAGATCAAAGGCTGTGTCCGAAATGGCATACTGCCTACTATCTACTTACCTACTCAAGCAGTACCTACTGCATACTGACTACTCAAAGATGATTTGAGTATGCCGCGGCTGCCCGAGCGTTTACATACAGATGCATACTAAATACCCCAGAATGCATTTCGTGCCGGCCTGACACAGTGCCGGGAAAATTTAAATAGTCCTACCACAAGCTACACAGAACGACTGCATTCCGGACAAATTATATAAATTCATTCAATAATAATATTTTTTTCTAGCGAGAAAGTAAGTGTTTACATAACGATTATGAGCCCAGTTGTTTGAAATAGTGGCTGTTTGTAAATTTGTCTCGGCGTTTTCGGAGACCGAAGCGTCCGCTTGGTGGGTGTTTGCGTCTATTTACCGTAAACACCGGGCAGCAGCAGCTCCCCCTTCACGTTTCCAAATTATTGCGACTGTTTTCATAATCAACATCTACACGACACAAACCGGGCGGCAGTGGATGAAAAAATCACACAAACATCTGTGTATCCATGGTGATAATGCTATACACCACCTGCTAGGCGTGTGATGAGCAGCAGAGGGCTGCAAAATGACCAACACACAACATAATTATTATGACCTTGTTCGGTTATTCCTTGGCAAATACATCATTTCCCGACTACATTCTTTTCATGTACAATGATAATTTCAGAAACCATCAGATTTTCAACCACAAGTAAGAATTAGTAAAGCTCACATACATTGTCAACTGGAAACTCCCCCGTTTGTATATTCTGAACCATGTGCTCTCTACCAATAATAATTTTTATTAATCAGAGGTCTGTGCTTAATATGAGCGACCACTTTGATGATGCATTCAGAGATGAGAAGATGCTCAAACTTGATGTAATAAATACATCTTTAATAGACACTTAAATAAATAAAGTCAATTCATACGAATAGTTAAAAACATTACCTATAATCCTAATTTGAAATACAAATAAATCTGGTAAAAAGATCAAAATATGATAAAATGATAAAAATTGTGTAATGTATACTAACTAAATATTGTTTATATATATATATAATCATTATTGCAATCACATGCCATCGATTTCTTTGCAGCCTCGGGAAAGAGGGCCATATTACCAGCTGAGGTGCGCAATGCATTGTGGGGCAGAAGCAGTACGTGAAGCAAGCTCCGTTCCACACTCAGAAATCGAAGCCGATTGAGTATACATCCGGGCATTTCTCGCATACACAAAATTTGCATACTGTACAGTGTGAACGCACTGCCTACTCAATTCAGAGGCGGGGTTAGTAGGAGTAGTAGGAGTAGTATGCCATTTCGGACACAGCCAAAGAGGGAGCGGCGACAGGAGAGGAGACACTAGGGCTGTGTCCGAAATGGCATACTACTCCTACTACTCCTACTAACCCCGCCTCTGAATTGAGTAGGCAGTGCGTTCACACTGTACAGTATGCGAATTTTGTGTATGCGAGAAATGCCCGGATGTATACTCAATCGGCTACGATTTCTGAGTATGGAGCGGAGCTTGCTTCACGTACTGCTTCTGCCCCACAGTGCATTGCGCACTTCAGCTGGCAATGTGGCCCTCTTTCCCGAGGCTAAAAAGAAATAGATGGCATGGGATTGCAATAATAATCAGTGCTTAATTTGTGCCGGAGCAAGCCGGAGCGCGCTCCGGACAAATCTACAAACAGACGCTATTTCAAACAACTGGGCTCATAACCGTGATGTAAACACTTACTTTCTCGCTAGGAAAAATATTATAACTGAATGAATATATATATTTTTTGTCCGGAATGCAGTCGTTTTGTGTAGCTTGCAGTAGGACTATTTACATTTTCCCAGCGCCGGCCGGCACGAAATGCATTCTGGGGTATTTAGTATGCATCTGTATGTAAACACTCGAGCAGTTGCGGCATACTCAAATCATCTTTGAGTATTCAGTATGCAGTATGTACTGATTGAGTAGGTAAGTAGACAGTAGGCAGTATGCCATTTTGGACATAGACTAGGGCTGTGTTTTATTTTAGAGACCGCATCAGGCTGAAAAACTCTCTGAATGACCTGCTGATACATCCACCGATAACCCTGCAGACGACCAGCTTCACCCATTTCCCCCCTCCACAAAAGCAGCTTTATGACTTTATTTACTCTATGACTTTATTCTCCTAAGTTTACAACTTTAATCTCTAAGTCTTTACAAAAAAAAACAACAACAACTCAATGTGTCAATGATACTCTGCTGTAGTTTTGTCAGCGTTCTTATTTCTAATGTTTCTGGTTGCGGTAGCAGAGCGGATCGGTTCGTCTCTAAAGAGTATAATGTTTGGTTTGCAGATTTTAGTGAGTTCAGAGATCATGCGCTCACGCAGCCTGAGCTGACTGTCTGCTGTTTTTGGATTTCTTGTATTTTCTTCGAAGACGCGCTGCATCTCCAAGTGAGTCCAGCCTCTCACCTGAAATGCGCAGCTGTGCAGCGGCACACAAAGAATTCTGGGATACCAGGGCCACGAAAGCGTGCATAAATGCCAGTTGAAAAAGGGGCAGGAGCAGTGTGGTTTTGAGACCGAATTTGAAGCGCGCTTAGCATTTTGTGCCAAACAGGACACCGTTCGTGCCATGTGATGACCTCACGCACGCTTCAAATGCGCCGTTCGACGGTGCAGTCTCTGAAATGGGACACAGGAAGGGTCCATAACGGCAGTGTGCTCAGCTAAGTGCGCTTAAGCGGGCTCATTCCAATGCGGTCTCTGAAATGAGACGCACTGCCGTTATGTGCCGTTATGTGCCGTTATGTACCCTTCCTGTGTCCCATTTCAGAGACTGCAACCGTCGAACAGTGCATTTGAAGCGTGCGTGAGGTGGATGAATTGTGCTTGTATGTATCTACTATTTTGTGTCTGTGCAAGGTCGCACAGTTAAAAAATAAATGCTGCGCTCCGTGGGTTTTCTTTAAGTCAGTCGTGACGCGAGCCTGAGGGCGGGGACATTTGGCGACTCAACCAGGAAGTCCAAATGTCACCAAATGTCCCCGCCCTCAGGCTTACGTCACGACTGACTAGAAAAAAAGCAGCGGAGCGCAGCATTTATTGTTTTAATTGTGCGACCTCGCACAGACACAAAATAGTAGATACATACAAGCAAAGATCATTCCCACAAAATTCATCCAATGATTGTTTTGTATGAAGGAGTATGAGGGCCATATTGAGAATTTTTTTTAAAGACTTTGAGATTTAAGTCGTGAATTTACAAGAATAAAGTCATTAATTTATGAGAATAAAGTCATAAGGTTCCCTGTTATTTCAGAGGAGACTTGTTAAAATTAGGGCCATGAAGCATTTAAAGTAACTGTGCTTCATTATAGGTTTCACAAACAAGGAGATACTTCATCCTTTGGCACATCAGCATTACATTGTCATAAGTATAAGGACTTAGAATATATGAGAAATACATCTTTTCCACGGGGAAAAAAACTGGTGTACTTGAAGGAAATCGCTGCTTTTGTGGAGGCAGAAATGAATATGCTGAGGATATATCCGTTTATGCAGCCGTAAATATCCGTGAATGACACTGAGCTTTAGTTTATGATATGAATCCATAAGCCATAATAAGGTGTTGGTGTCTCTGCAGGTGTAGGTTACCGCCGGTGTCAGAGACGTGGTGCTCGTCGGATGTTGACTACCTCTGGATCACAAATGTTGATCATCAGTTGGATTGTTTCTTCAGAAACCACAAAAACTCTCTGAATGACCTGCTGATTCATCCACCAATAACCCTGCAGATGACCAGCTTCAGTCATTTCCCCCTCCACAAAAGCAGCTTTATGACTTTATTTACTCTATGACTTTAATCTCCTAAATTTACAACTTTAATCTCTAAATCTTAAAAAAAAAAACTCAATGTGTCAATGATACTCTGCTGTAGTTTTGTCAGCTTTCTTATTTCTAATGTTTTTGATAGTTGTAGCAGAGCGGATCAGTTCGTCTCTAAATCTATAATGTTTGGTTTGCAGATTTTAGTGAGTTCAGAGATCATGCGCTCATACAGCCTGAGCTGACTGTCTGCTGTTTTTGGATTTCTTGCATTTTCTTTGAAGATGCGCTGCGTCTCCAAGCAAGTCCAGCCTCTCACCTGAAATGCGCAGCTGTGCAGCAGCACGCAAAGAATTCTGGGATACCAACGGCACGAAAGCGTGCATAAATGCACGCTCGATAAATGCTAAGCGCGCTTAGCATTTCTTAGCATTTCGTGCCAAATGGGACACCGTTCGCTTTGCGTGATGACATCATGCACGCTTCAAATGCGCCGTTCGACGCTGCGGTCTCTGAAATGGGACACAGCCACAGCCTCGGGCCACGGAGGCAGTAGTAGTGGTGGGCAAGTAGTGGTTCATTTCAGTGAACCGGATCATTCCGGGTCGTTCAGTAAAAAGACCCGTTCATTTCGTTCATTTCGGTCATTTCGGTCAATCGGTCGTTAGTCAGTCCACTCGTTCAGACGCTGAACGAACGTGATGAGCGAACGGACTGACTGCACTTCAGACTCAACAGCGCAACAACATGTGATCTTGAAATCTGAAGCATTACACCCCTCCGGATCCGACGTTGCGAGCATCTCAGCTCTCCGGTCCAACGTTACGACCCCCCCGCGGTCCGACGCTGTGACCGCTGCACTCCCCACTTCCCACCCCCGGTCCAACGCTGCGATCGCGCTGCACTACTTGTAATATAAAATTATAGTAGGAATACCAAAATATATAAGGTTTTTAATGGTTTTTATTATTTTGAGGTGCATTAAAAACAATAATAAAAAGTACAAAATGTCAACAGACAGTGCAAATGCGTATTAATAGTTGTCTCTCTGCCTCTGGCTGCAGCAGCAGCTGTGTGCCTTTGTGTGTGTGTGACTGTCCCGCTCGCTTGGGCTCGGCTGTCGGCTCGTGTGGCGGCCAGTCAACTCGGTCTTTCGGTCAACTCGTTATCCGTCTGGATCTTTCGTTCACTCGGTCTTTCAGTCAACTCGTTCACCGTCTGGATCTTTCGTTCACTCGGTCTTTCAGTCAACTCGGTCTTTCGTTCATTTAACCCGTTCTTTCAGTCAGCTCAGTAGTACTGCTGCTGCTTCTCTAAGCCCCACCCACACACAGAACGAGGCGCAACGATAGGATAAGACAGGCAAGCACGGAGATAGTCCCTCTTCAGCCAATCAAAAGAACTGAACGGACTGAACGGGTCATTTAGGGGGGGAGAACTAGTTCATTTCGTTCACCAAAAAGAACTAGTTCTGTTGATCCGTTCGTTCAAGACCGACACACCACTAGGCAGTAGGAGAGCGAATCGATGCGGACAGATACGCAGAACTTGCAGAAGAGTTGCCGCAACCGAGAGCTAGCTTTCACCAGTGAAGGATTGTTACAACGCGGAACACACGCAGCGGCAGAGTGGGGAAGCTTTGCCAGCGTTGTGAGTATCCCTACGGGACAATAACACTCTGGGTTGGACGTATACTGGTGGATTGTTGTGTGGGTTATAGCCTATACTGGCAGAAGTTTTTTTCTTGTTTTAGCAGTTCGCTGGAACGCAGGAGTGCAGTGGAGGAGACTCTTTGAGGAAGACGGCGATCGACGACCGGGACAAACGGCTGCTCCTTTTAAAGTGACTTTTTAAGAACACATGGTTTTAGGTGCTGGACTTCTCTTTTTTTTAAGCTGTCGTTTAATTCCTCTCTTTTAACCCACTTTTAACAAGGGCAATTTAAAGTGTTTTTAGGGTTTTAAACATTGAGTGGATTTTATTGGTGCGATATTGAGTTACTCCTAGCTCAAGAAAAACAAACCTGCTTTGCACTGAACGTCATCACTTTATGCCTCTTTTATTATTGCCAGTGTTGCTCTCACACTGATCTACCAACGAAACCTGTCAAATAAATCATTCTCCATTTCTCTCCAAATCACCAGTGTTCATCCAGCTACAGTACCTCACATATTGACTTTTGACTGATACAGACTTAGACTGAGATAGACTGTTAGACTCTGATTGTTATCGAATGATGTAGACTCAGACTGTCCTTAACTCAGACAGTTATAGACTTAGACTGATATAGACACAGATTGTTATTGACTTTTATAGACTAAGACTGTTATAGACTCAAACTGTTACCGACTTAGAATATTACATACTTCGACTTCTATAGACAGTTATAGACTTAGACTATTTGAGACTGATATAGACTTAGACCAGGGATGGGCAAACTTTTTGACTCGCGGGCCACAAGGGGTTCTAAAATTTGACAGAGGGGCCGGGCCAGGAGCATTTGGATGGAGTGTTTGGGCCGGATATACTAAAGCATTACATGTAGTGTGTGCAAACCTCATAGCACAGTAAGAACACTACAGCCCAATTTATTAACTGTCTTTCAAATGTGAAAAATAGCCCTTATCAGTTAATAAGTTTGTCTCAAGGAATATGCAAGATATGGCGTTTACATACTATTTTGCACGATACTGGGAGGAGGAAATGTAAATACATTAAAATAGCATATGCACTGTGATTTATCAAGATTGCATCTGTTTTTAATAAGTTTCAGTCGAAGGTGCAAAGTTAAAGAAATCAACATTTATTGAAAAATGGAATCACTTTCAACATTCAAAACATATTATTACACAACGAAATACTCAAGCTCAATAATATCTACTTGTGTTAAACCCCGCAAAATCATGGATGGATTGTCCTGACCGTGCGCTCTACAAACTCGCCACGGACGCCCTCACCTTCACGCGCAAACAGTACACGTGTATCGTTGCCAAGCACACAGACGTTGGCTGTATTAAATATCCTACCTGCAGCTGAAAATTGAAATTGAAATTAAGAGCGATGTGCGGCGTGTTAATTAAGCTACTGTACCGCTGCTGTGCGTAAATGCGCATTGCTCTTAATTAAAAGATGCACTTCCAAACTTTCCATATGCATTTTTTCATAACACAGCAGAAAAACTCACCAATTTCAGTGGGAACAGTGTTGTTGGTCTCCCTTTTTTGCCAGTGCATCAAAGTCTGGAGTTAGTTTTGTTGTGGCAATTCTCAGGACAGATCTGAGGTGTTGGTCAGTTAATTTGGATCTATGATGGGCTTTGTTGATTTTCATGACGCTAAACGTCTGCTCACACACGTAGGTCGAGCCAATCAACACCAGCATCTTCTGTGCCGTCCTCCGGAGGTTTGGAAATGTGGTCTCGTTAAGTGAAGCGTAAAAGTCATTCAGTTTAAGAGACTTGAACTTCTCCTTTGAGACGGAGTCAGACTGAAGATCGATCAGTTCCAATTGCAGGTCCTGCGGTGCTGATTCGGGGTCTTGTGACAGGGGACAGGACACCAGTGGAAGTGACTTGTCAATTTTTGCAAAATCGCAGAACCGACGGCAAAATTCTCTGTGCAGGTCATCCAGTGATTTGCAGTATTTCTTCGCATTTCGGGCGGCCTCTTTCTGCACGGCTAGTGTGGGAAAATGTGCGAAAGATTTGTTTGACATTTGCCTGGAGAATAAAACCAGCTTGGATCTGAAGGCTCTCACATTTGTGTACATGTCATGCACAAACTGATCTTTCCCCTGTAGCTTCACGTTCAGCTCATTCATGTGTGAAAATACGTCCACAGCAAACGCAAAGTCAAAAAGCCAGTTTGTGTCGCTCAGCTCAGGGAATTCGTCGGATTTCCCCATTAACTCCAAAAATGAGCGAATCTCCTCTTTGAGCTCCCAGACTCGTTGAAACACTTTCCCAAAACTTAACCAGCGGACGTGAGAGTGGTAAAGTAGGTCATGGTGATCCGCATCAGTTTCTTCCAAGAACGTAATGAAGCTCGTATGAAGTTAACAAGTTTTACAACACGACATGATTAAGCTGCAATACAGACTTACACAGAGACTCCTGATGAATGATGCAGTGAAGAAAAATAACATCCTGGTCTGGGTTTTCTTCTTTCACTTTATCCTGGATTCTTTTCAGCAGCCCGACGTTTTTTACAGTTAAATTTGGCGATCCATCCGTGGTGACATTGGCAAGTTTACTCCAAGGTAGCTTCATTCTCTCGATGATAGCAGACACCTGTTCATATAAGTCCTCGCCTCGTGTTTTCCCTTTCAGTGATTCCTTCCTTAAAAGCTCCGTTATCTCAAAACTGTCGTTAATCCCTCGGATAAAAATTAGGAGCTGAGCAGTGTCTTTTATGTCGTTACTTTCATCCAGTGCTAGTGAATATAACTTAAAGGACTCCGCCTTTTTGTTTAACTCGCTGACTATATCTTCGTCAATCAGTTCCACTCGGCGAGTCACTGTCCTGCATGCTAAACTGATTTTTTCAAACTTGGCTTTGCTCTCCGGACACAAGAGACCTGCTGTCTCTTTGATATTTCCGTCTGGCCAAATGAAAATTCTAGATGGCAGCCATTTTTCAAGATGACCACCATTGAAAATACAGTAATATTGCATTTTGCAATAAAATCCCATAGACTTGTCCTATTTGGATGATCTTGGTGTCAAATCATACATTTTCCATTATGCAGAATCCAAATTTGGACCCATTGACTTACTTACTGGCTTCCTTGTACCATATTTCAGTCCCATAATCCTAATATTCTGGTATTTATGAGGTTTACATTATGTCCGACTTGGGTAAAATGGTTGGTAACATATATCTTAGTGTTGTTAGAGGTTTAGTGTGTGTGTGTGTGTGTGTGTGTGTGTGTGTGTGTGTGTGTGTGTGTGTGTGTGTGTGTGTGTGTGTGTGTGTGTGTGTGTGTGTGTGTGTGTGTGTGTGAGAGAGAGAGAGAGAGAGAGAGAGAGAGAGAGAGAGAGACTGAAAAAAATGTGTCTGAGTGTAAAAAAAAAAACAAAAAAGAAAAATGCTTGACCTGCCTGCATTACATCTCACTTAATTATTAGGCAACACTTCTCACTCGCACATACACTTTCTTACAACATTACTATTAATCTGGCTGGGGTGGCACCATGCAGTCATGAAGAAGCTGACACCCAGATCTTTGTGCATGCCAGGCATGCCACAGAAGCAGGCAGCAAGGTCATCATGGTCAAAGCCAACGACACAGATGTTGTTGTCATCGCAGTGAGTGTTCTGCAGGCACTTCAGAACCTCAGTCTGCAGCAGTTGTGCGTTGCCTTTGGCCAAAGACAGAACCTGAAGTGGATTCCTGTTCATGACCTGTGTGGCACTCTTGCAGAAAAGAGCAAAGGGATGCTCTTCTTCCATGCATTCACTGGTTGCGATGTTGTTTCAGCATTCCGTGGCAAAGGGAAGAAGTCTGCTTGGCAAACTGGAATGTTTGTGATGAGGCTTCCAGTGTCTTCAGCAAACTCAGCCATTACCCACCTGTATTGGATGATGAAGACCTGAAAACCCTAGAGAAGTTTGTGGTCATGTTGTATGACAGATCCAGCACAGCTGAAGGTGTCAACGATGCAAGGTTGGACATGTTTGCTCGGAAGCAGAGGCCATACGAAGCCACTCCTCAAACTCGATCAGCACTTAAGCAATATGTCACGCGTGCATCCTACCAAGCAGGCTGCATCTGGAGTCAGTCAATAGTATGTCAACCAGAAACACATAGTCCTGCCAACTGGGGCTGGAACAAGAAAGGAGATCTGTGGCAGATTGTTTGGACAGAGCTCCCACCCATTGCAGAGAGTTGCCAGCAGCTGGCCAAGTGTGGATGCAAGTTGGAATGCTGCGGTCGATGCAAATACTACTGCTTTGGTCTGACCTGCACAGCACTGTGCAGCTGCGGGTGTGAGGTTTAGAAACACTGTAGTAAAAGCCTACTCATCCAAACAGCCTACATGTAAAAAGAAAAAAAACAACCTGCCTCGGTGGGATCACCACCTTATCGTGGTGGGGCAGTTTGTGTGTCTCCATGACCCCTAGAGCTATGCCGGCTGGAGTATTGTACTCCTGGCAGGGTCACCCACGCCAAACAGCTCGAAGGATAGAGACCAGACAAAATGTGATCCCATGGTGCTACCATCCATTTTAGGTAAAATTCTAATTTATCAGAATATTAGGATTCTGGGACTGATGTGTGCAGTGAGGACACACCCTTGCCCACGCCCTTGCCCTCCTTGCAAACCCCCCCACCCCGACCCCCACCCCACACACACACACACACATACTAGACCTCTAACAACACTAAGATATAGGCTACCAACCATTTTACTCGAGTCTCACATGATGTAGACCTAATTAGGATCAGAATATTAGGATTCCAGGACTGAAATATGGTACAAGGAAGCCAGTAAGTAAGTCCATGGGTCCAAACTTGGATTCTGCATAGTGGAAAATCTATGATTTGACACCAAGATCATCCAAATAGGACAAGTCTATGGGATTTTATTGCAAAATGCAATATTACTGTATTTTCAATGGTGGCCATCTTGAAAAATGGCTGCCATCTTGAATTTTCATTTGGCCAGACGGAAATATCAAAAGAGCAACTTCTAAGGAGTATGTGTGCCAATTTTGGTGCTTTTATCCGCAAGTGAACGATTATTACAGTTATCTGCCCAGCTATGACTCTTGAATTGCAGTTTGTCGGTGAAAAAAGTTCTGTTGACTCTGTAAATTAGCTGCCAACCTCTGAGCAGTAGCCGCCCGTTTTTGTGTTGACTGCTTGCTAGCATAGTTTGCATGCTTCGTGGCAAAGTGACGGCTGATATTGTACTCTGAAAACCACGCCAGCTTCTTGGCATATCAGACATACAGCCGTTGATCGGACTTCAGTGAAAAAGTATTTTGTTGTCCACTCCTTATTAAACACTCGGCATTCGCTGTCCACTTTCCTTCTCTTTGGTCCGCTCATTTTCACAGAAGGGCTCAAATGGCGACGTGAAACGAAGTGAAAATTAAAGTGAAATAAAGAGAAATACACGCCACTCCAACAACGGTCAATGTGTTTTGAGTGCGTCATCTATTGGGGAAACGTGGGCATTGCAGGGAAAGGGGAAAATGAAGGAGGTTTTTACTATAATTTGGACAAGTTCGGCGGGCCTAATGTGGCCCGCGGGCCGTAGTTTTCCCATGTCTGACTTAGACTGTTATGGAATGTTAAAGACTCAGACTGTTATAGACTGTTGTTGATTCAGACTTTTGTTGAATCAGACCGTGCTTGACTCAGACTGACAGAATAAGACTGTTGAAGACTCATAATGCTCTTGGCTCAGATTGTTATTGACTGTTCCAGACTAACACTGTTACATGGTCAGACTGTTATAGACTCAGACTGTTATACACTGTTATAGGCTAGAATGCTCTAGACTCAGAGTGTTATAAACTCGGACTGTCATACCCTGTCATAGGCCTAGACTGTTCTAGATTCAGACTGTTTTAGACTGTTATTTACTCAGACTGTTACTGGGTCAGGCTGTTAAATACTGATGTAGACTTGGACCATTATAGACAAAAATCCTGACAAATTACACATTGTCAAATTTATTAAACTAACAAGGAGAAAGTAACATCATGTTTCATAATAAATCAGTGCAGGTCAATCATTATTTTTGCACTTTGAGTCCACATTACATTTTTCTCCTGTCGCCTGTCTTATGCTAATAATTAAATGTTCTTTTAATTTCCACTACATGTAGGCTATTTATTATTAATTTGTGTGTGGGTGGATAATTTTTATTAGGGTTAAAATAAAAATTCTGGGCAAAAATGAGGCAAACCAAGGCCGAAAATTGAAACACCTTAAGAACTTATTATGCCAGTTATTAGCACCATTGCATTTATGACTACGACTGGGTACTAAACTCACTAAAATCAAGGTATAGCAATTGCATGAATTAATATTAAATTAAAATTGATTCATTCAATTGCATAAATTATTATTAAATCAATATTAATTTATGCAATTGAAATGTGAGTTTAGAATTTCTGAGTCAGTGTGTCGCTGCTTGTTCTGAGTGGTTTACACCTTTAGATGGCGCTCACCAGGGCAAAAACAACTCAAAAGTTCTAAAAGAAGAAGTGGTGTAAGCGGTAGAGCGGAGGGATTTTCCTGTTCTGTGTCATGTTCCTCTCATATTCAGAATGGTGATCTGGATGTTTGGAGTTCAGGTGATAAATTGAACCTGACAAGAAGAAACCCTTTGCAGAAACTCTTTCCCTTTTAGCATCAAACACTTTGCTAACTACCATTAGTGGTTCTCAGATATATATTGAAATACTTCCACTCCACAGACATGTTGCTGGCTGTGGGTTTTGATTGCATCATCACATCTGTTTCAGCCATGTTGTTTTGGGAAAAGTGTTCCGGACGAAAATTGAAAATGCACTTTCGGGCCATTTTCAGCCAAAAATTTCAGGTGCATTCATTATCTTTATTCTCAATAAAGAAAGATATTAAGAGGATAGGCAATTTTTTCCTGTTTTTTGCACCCCATCTGTCATGTCTTCATCCCCCACCTGCGGGGCACACCCCCCAACCTTTGAAAAGCACTGACCTATTGTAACATGGTCTACAGGCTGTTCCATGCAGTGAGCAGCAGAGATCACCCAGTGGTCAGAAACTAGCGTCCCTCCACAGAAACCATATCCATCAGCCCTATGAAGCAGGACCTGAACATATGCATGCACACACACACACACACACACACACACACACACACACACACACACACACACACACACACACACACACACACACTTAGTTTACTTAGTCAAACAGTTATTGCAACAGCTGTAGTAAAAATAAGCTCTGTAGTTGAGGCTGTCTCCGTACCTGCCATGGACTCCCTCCTGGTCTCTCCAAGACTCCACCCACAATGCGAGTCATCACCCCTTCCTCTCCTTCCCTCTCATCCTCCCACAGCTCTGTCATATTCACTCCCTTATTCCCTCCTCTTAGTGCAGATGATGCGTTCACTGTCAGAAGCTCCTTCGTCTCTGTGAGGTTAACTTTAGGGACCCCACTGTTTGTGCTATTTTCCTCCAGCATGGCGTCCATTTCCATGGAAACATTAACCGTCTCAGAGTGACTCCACAGAGAGCGACCACCCACCATCAGCTCGCTGTGCTGCTGGCCACATGGGAACAAAACTACATGCCACGCCACATGCCACAGAATAACAAGAGCTCTTAGTAACACTGTACATGCAGTACTGTGTGTAGTATTAACAACAGTATAATAACTATTGGCAGTATTCGCAGTATAAGGGGTATGGTATGTATTCAGAGTAAACACAGTATTTGCTGTATTAGTATTTTTGTTTGTAGTACCTGTCTTGGAGCAGCTGCGTCCATCAGGTTCCAGTTTGAACCCTAAAGCACAGCCACACTGAACTCCAGCACTCCCCGGCAGGTCTCTGCAGTACTGCATACAGGCACCATTTCTATAGCGACACTCAAACACAACTAAACAAACAAAACAAAAAAAATCACAGTACTGTGAGTACTACTGAAATGACAACGACACTTCACAGAAGCTTTGTCTCACAGCACTGACATCAACCCAGAGATGCTGTCTCCAGAGTCTCAGCTGTTAGTTACTTGAGTTTTAGCTTTTATCAACTTTGATGACAAGTGTTTCATTGCGTTGTTAAAGGGCATATCTATCTGTCTGACAGGTGTGGTTACCTGCATCACAGATCTTGCCATGGTACTGTGGTGGACAGAGACACAGGAAGTCTCCTCGGTCCATGGTGCACTTTGCTCCATTCAGGCAGGGGTTAGTCTGACAGGGGTTCAGATCTACCACACAGCACAGACTCTTGAACATAACACCACATACTGATCTAGGTAGGTGACATCATCAGGTGTTCTGACCATTTAATGCTTAACTGTGGTTAAGCATTAAATAGATCTTTGAGATCTGCTTCAGATGAAAGTTTCAGTTTGTTTCATGATGTTGAAAATACTCACTGATGTATTTGTACCAGAACTCCATCTGTGACACAAGAAACTCAGAGTTAACGTGAGAAGCTTTGATCTTTGACCTGAACATACACTGTAGGCTTTCAGTTTGAATTGCAGACTCTAGAGCCCCCTATTGGGCATATTAAACTAACACCACATTTTGTTGTGCTTTGTGGTTTGGGCAGCCTTTTTAGGAGCATGACCCTCAGTTTGGACCTTACTGTCTTCTCTCTGGTCTGGAAGATCTCAGCAGCCTCCTCCTGCGAGCAGCTCTCCTCGTAACACTCCCTCTCCAGGTCTCCAGGTAACATCTCCTCCAGGAAGAAGGAGTTAGCACGACGCCTCCTGGAGGCTGAGCGAAGAACCTGACCTGCAGATGACTGATCCAGAAACACTGAGGAGGAAAAACACACATCAGATTAACCTAAGCTCTGAACACCTGCTCAGGTGTGTTTTTTTTTTAAGCCAATAAGACATCATACATGCAGATTATCTGACTGTATCCCTGCTCTGATCAGCTCTCTCTTTTAAGTCACAGCAGAGTATTTATACTGCAAACACTGCAGTACTGTTCCTCTCACCTGTACCATGGATCAGAGCAGAGCAGGTGAGCAGGAAGCCAAGTGTCCAGGTGAGGGCCAAGGGTGACGTCATGTCTGCAGGTGAACACAGACAGGTGAGGGCCTCAGGACAGGATCAGCTACTCTTAGTTTTACTCTTAGTTCTACTGTTAGTCTTGGACATGTCACCAATCCCTCATTCAGTCTGAACAAACAAGATCAGACTAGGCAGGTGTTTGATATGATCTTCCACCAGGTCGGCTTTAACCATTGGTTCCTGTTAATTTTAAGCTCCATCCAGCCTATTTTGTCCCCAAAACGGACATGCAGATAAGTGTTCATAAAATAATCTTCTTTTTTTTTACTTTTTTAAAAACTTTTTCAACTCATATCTCTTAAACAGCTTCAGCCCTGACCATTATAAAATTAATAACCAAAAGAATTTGACGTTACATCATTTTCATGCTAGTTATTGTGCACCATGTCACTGTTATTCTTAATGGTAAAAAACACAAAATTGTCATATTTCCCATATGAAATGACCGAGATGAATTTTTTCAATACATAGAGTCTGGGCCATGTCAATGATGAGAAGTAAAATCAATTTTGGTTCCTTTTCTTCTTTTTTTTTGTAGTGCCAGTTTCTGTATTTTGAGCTTCATTCGCCTTACTTTGTCCCCAAAATGGACATGCAGATAAGTGTTCATAAAATAATATTTTAACATTTTTTCTTACTTTTTTTGACTCAGATCTCTCGAACAACTTCAGCTCTAACCATTAAAAAAATAATGAATAAAATATTCTATGTATTACCCTTTTTATACCAGTTAACCAATATATGACCGCGCTAATTATGGGCATAAAAAAAATTTACTGCATATTTGAGATGCGATATCTCCTCACCTAATGATCCGAAGGACCTGTGAATCATTATGCACGTCTATCCACTTGCTCTGAAGTGAGGGCAAAGTTGAAATGGTCCAAATGTCCCCCTCTCATTGTCCCATACTGCAGAAATTGGACGTTGCACACTCAACTCATGGTATGTGCACTTAGAAACATGGGCGCGGATTTGCACCCATGCATACACGTACGAGCACACAAACTTTTCCTTACACATGAGCCCACTCTAAGACATTCATAGCTAGTGGCACGTAAAGTTTCATTTAATTCTGATGATGTTTAGTGGATGAAATAGCGCTTCAAACATGCTGAGTCCACAAATGAAGACCATGCGTGGCACCAAAGGGGTTAAAATTATGCGCTGGCACACTCTCTTTTATCACTGTTGGAAAGTCAAACTAAGAGCTCTGGTGATCGAGTGACTGCAAAAGTCGTGCCGTCTGCAGAAAACCATAGACTAGCATGCATGCAGGTTCTCTCAGCAGTTTCTCATTGAATGGGCGGAGCTAACCAATATCCACTGTGGTGAAAACACTCATTAAGAACATCCAGTGATAGAACCTAACCTCAAAAACCCTGAAATATCCCTTCAATCTAAACTCATTACACCTCCACCTGCTGCTCTGTCCTGGTTCTAAGTACTATCGTCATGTGACCTCAGGTCTATCTCAGTCTGGACTGGCAATGCATGGATCAGTCCCCCTCAAATTCAAAACCCCATCAGAGAAACCCAGACCTGGACCTCCTCTCTAAAGGACCCTGGGAGCAGCAGCGAGCCATGGGTTGAGAACCTGAGAAGGTGAGCATGGATTGTCTTACCTGCTGTCTCCTGTGTGGACATTTGCCATCTGCTTCAGGAGAAATGAAGGGCAGGGTGCAGCTGATTGGTTGATGGTTAACCACAGTTCAAATATTGACACAGAGACACGGACACAGCAGGATGCGAGACAGCCAGGAGGTCAAAGGTCAGTGCCGCCTCTGATGATCCTCAAAGATGAGACCTGTCAGCTGATTTTTACACCTCATCTCAGCTCTGAGGTTTAAACACTGAGGGAGGAACAAAAGAGGAGTCCAGGGAAGAGTCTTACCTTGTGTTCACACCAAGCATGAATAAAACCATCTTCTCGCTAAATTTGAGCGTATCAGAAGAATAACTCGTTTAATTTTCACAAATGACTGACTTGATTCACAGGGTTGTATCGTGTCTGTAGAGTCCAAACACACAAGTGATAATGGGAGAGAAAGGGAGAAAGGGATCTTGCATGTCATTTCAGTCTGTTTACATCAAACATCGCAGAGGTTGATCACACTATGAAGATCTATTTTGTTTAAACAACTTAACAGATAATCAAACCTCCCCACTGTCTTTTTTCCAGCTGAGCTCTTTTTCACTCTTGTCTCAGAGTCACGAACAAGTTTTATCCTCCAGCTCAGGTGACTGCACACTGTCTCTATTGCTTAGTCCTCCATTTCCACATGAAATGATCTATGCCAGGGTATCCCCTGCTGATTAGTTCTCACGATGCAAACATTTGCATGAGTTAAGATATTTTCAACTCACGTGAATAGGCATTTGAAGTGAGTGTAAGAGTAAAAAAAGGGATATGCAAATAAGTGAGAGGTCTATGGTTGTGTTTTTTCTTTATGTAGACATAATTTTAGTATTTGTATATGTTCTTAAATGTTTGCTATATGTTGTTTAAAAATGTTAACAGTAATGTTAATATTCTGATATAATTTAGGCTACCTAGGGGGTGCAAGAGAGAGGGAGAGAAGAAAGAGGAGGGAGAGATGAGAGATTGACTGAACTGTACTGTGTGTCGGAGAAGCTCACTAAAAGTTAAGACTCAGAACTTGTTTGAACAGATTTATTCTTCCACATACACCCATGTCGCTTACATTGGTGGCAGCGGTGGGATGTGTGCTGTGAAAATCGCCAGCTGGCATTCTGCTCAACTTCGTAGCCCCGATGCTGAATGCTAACATTGGCCAAGAGCTTGGAATAGCTTTCTGTACAGTTAGTTAGCTCGCCACTACTAACCATGTTTTGTTTCATTTTATTAGCTGCAAAGAGTTTAAAAACCAAATGCTGGTTGTCCATCTTCTGCCCAAGAGGTAAAGAAAAATAAAAGAAAGGAAGACAAGTCATCATGTCAGACAAGGAACACCCTGCTGGAGAGAGCTGATGCGGAGCCCCTGCGCCAGCTTTACTGCTACCCAGCAGTGCACATGGAATAACGCAGGGCATTCTTCGCTGCCACCATTCCTCAATGATGGCCGTGTCTTTTAAGCTATGGGCTCCCTGCTATGAGGTAATTCAAGAAGCATGTTACAGGGACAGTGGTGTGGACCAACCAGACTACAGCCCGAGCTGTTTATCGTGTGGGATACACTGCACTTGTGTCACTTTCATCAGACACTTCAGCAGCAACTGTGAACACACCACTTCTGGATATGTACAGACAGCATTTTATTCCAGCTCAATGAGCTGATCCTGACCTGTAAACAATGATTAACTGCATGCTGACTACCGATGGGCCTCCATTCTCACACATTTAAGCTGGCTCGCCTGACATGAGACACTTCTGGAGAGAGTTTCATTCTAGGGTTCCCAACCGTACCGTAAAAACCGGGATCATACCGTATTTGAAAACAAAAAGACATGTCCCGTAATGAACTAATACGGGACGCTCCTTTTCCCGTATTTTCTGACAGCGTCTCTCTGCCTAACACACTGTCACAGGCTCACATCAGCAGCTTGGCAGCTGAGCTATGGGACGAGTTACAAAACACAGCAGACTACCAGCTATGGGTTGTTAACAAGAGGGCGTTATGCATAGCAACTGTAACTGCTTCTCATTTACACAGCTCTGGACACAAGTACTTGCTAAAACAAAGAGGGGTGTGTGATTATGTCCTCTCTGGTTCCATAGGCAGTTTTAGGATTTGCCAACAGGGGGTGCAACTTGCCAGAGAAGTTAGTCTTTGTTTTTTGGTTTGTTTTTTGCAAGGCCAAACCTGGAAAACTCACATTTACTGACTTCCAATAGTATTTGATGTTTTAGTTTGTAATATTTTAAGGAGGTTATATAATTAAGATGAACTGTAATGAAGTGTTTGCACTTTGACTTCTTGAATAAGTCAAATATTGTTTCAATATGGTGACATTGCACTATATGTTCAATGAAGAATTATTATTATTATTTTGCACACAATAAATTCTTCAATGATACATTGATAATGTTTCTTGTGTAGTCTGTCTATAAATTAAATACAAATTAAGGTTTAATTTATGGTTATGAATTAATGTTTGTGTACATGCCTTGGGCTCGCTTATTCTAGTTGCATTTACTTTATCTAATTGCATTTACTTGGTATATGAACAGGACTTGGTGTAACATATTAGGCATGATGTTTGTATACTGTGTTCTGTGACTATTATGACCCACCCTAAATCCCCACATTTTTCGGCCCGGCCTGGAATATGGGACACCCAAATTTTATAAGGGACACCAAAAAAATTTGCGGCCCCTTATTCCAATTTTCTTGGAGTTGGCAACCCTATTTCATATGCTCATCCTTGTTGACGGTCTGCTGTGCCAAAATATCAGACCCCTTCCAGGCGACATTGTATCTTGTGTAGCTGGGTCAATATATTATGCTAATATATTGTGTTTTTTATTTGTATGAACATCATCAAAATCCATTTAACATGTTTTATTTCTTTAATAGTATGAGGACTATTTTTTTTTTGTGCGCTTTTTTTGTTATTGAAAACAATGTTGTAAATAAGTTTTGTTCCATGTTACCTGTTGTTGGAGGTAGGGCTTTAGTTTATGCAACACACATTTCACGGAAGCTGTGCGTTCCTTGCCAAAACGGGATGGCTTTCATGATGGTAAGACGTGCTGTGATGCTCTCCTTTACTGTTTGAGCCAGTGAGTTAAAAAAAAAAAGTCTTAAATCTGTTTGAAAGTGCATTAAAACTAAGTGTGAGTTTACAATGAGTATGTTTATAACTTTTACAGTTAGTTTGGGTTGATTAAAGTGTTTGTTTGTTTCACTCGCTGCAGGGGAGAGATCATGCTGCTGTCTGTGCACATGTGTGATGTGTTTGCCCTCTATGCTCCATTACAGTTATAAAAAAAGATGCAGACCCCAATGATAATCTGAGTGGCTTCCTATGCAAATACCAGC